GTAAAAGAAGGCATGACGGAATTTAGCAACTTGCTTGCTCTAAAAGTCGAAGAAACTGTCGCTCCGGTATGTACCTTGCTATACAACACGAACAGATCCTGAGAGCTCCCGACAGATCGAGCTGGAGATGGACTTTTGATCGCAACTGTCCTCATCTGTAAGGCAATATGCAATACTGTGGTAAGACACTTTATTAACATCATATGGCAGATCATGTCCATAAACTTGTGCCAAGTATCCGATAATCATGACTCGGTTAGATCTAGCAGTTGAACGTTGAACATCAAGAAAGGGTATCTCTTAGGGGTTGCTTAAGGGAAGGACCGCCGATCAATCTAGTAGTGTAGAAATATGTCTCAAGGATTACGAATATTCCTTTCCTCCATGGGTCCTCCATAGCCTCCAGTTGGTGACTTTCCTGATAAAATCTAGTACGACATTATGAATATAATAACAATTTGATATACATGACTGTCGTACATTCGCAATACACAAATCTTCATTGAGTTTCATCCACATCGCCCTTTTGTTGCTCTTCCAGAATCCATTAATCGTTGTTGTACAGTCAAAGGTCAGTCTAACTTTTGCCCAGGAAGATTTTGCCAGCTTCACTCTACTGTTCATGCAAAGGAAACTTCTCATGGCGGTAGCCCCGCCATTTCTGCATACCAAAGCAGATATTATCCTTCGATCGTCCGATGGCGTTGACTTTCGCGTGATCACGCTCTTTCTGAAGCTCGCCTCGTCGTCTTTTGACTCTATCATCAAGCAAGCGGCACAATCAAACCAGATCGAAGGTGATCTGCCCGTCGTGCCTGTGGTAGAAAACCACAGAGTCCTTGACATCTGGCTCAGATTCTGCTACCCTTCAACTCTTGCAGAGGATCCTCCTCTGCATGAATTTGAAGATATCATACCTGTCCTTGAGGCAGCCAGGAAATATTCTTTGAAACCGCTTGAGCACAAAGTTCGTCAAGCGCTTAAAAACCATATGGAGAAAGAGCCTTTGAGATGCTTTGCAATTGCAATGCGTGCTCAGCTCAACGTTGAAGTCACGCTCGCCGCAAAATATACTCTCCGCCAATCTCTCATTCCTGCGAGCGTTCCTGAAATCGACCTCATCACAGCAAAGGAGCTGCTCACACTACTTACCTATCATCAGAGGTGCAGCAAATCGTTGCAATCCTTGGGGGCGGATCTATCTTGGATCACCAGCAGTTACCCGAGCGTGAATGCGACAGGGTACCAATGGATCATTAGCGGCTCCTGTGGCTGCGAGTCCAGCAGTCGATTCTTGCTCAATGGTCAACGACCATTGAAATGGTGGAGTGATTACATGGAAAAAAGTCTGGTGTCTTTGTACGACAAGCCATCTGGCCAGACGGTCCTTGAGGAGGTCTGTGACACAGTCCGGGGCGTTCGAGCTATTGGTTGCTCGCGGTGCTGTTCAAATATCCTGGTAAATATGACGGGATTTGCCGAGTTTTTTAGCAGGGAGGTTGATGATACGTTGACAGCAAAGGTGATTTGATGGCTTGTTCCTTTGCTAGCAGCGCATCAGGCTCACAATATCGCAATTGAAAAGGTTCATCTTGATGTGCTCACCCTAGCAAGGGGGTGGATGAAACAGGGCGTGTCCTGGGGGAAGGGCGGGAAGAAGAAGAAGAAGAACTTGCAGTGAGGGGCCTGGGCCGCGAACTCTCAAAACTACTGTACATACAAGTTGGCATGTGACAGGTTACATAATTGTTCGAAGTAAGTAGTCTGAGACTGTCTGACACTAGTCTCGAGATCAAACTGTACATTATGGAACACTTCGACTGACCAATGTACTCAGTAGAAGTTGAATGTCATGTCTCAGTGCCAAACTCAGGTGGCCGTTCTAGAACGCCTGCTTTAAGAAATTTGTGCCACAAGACAAGCCAGGCGCTGATGACATGCTAGCACCGAGCTGATTATTGTCCTGGAAGTAAGCGAGTCACTCATCTACATATCAGATGAATAACGGGATGAATCTCTTGTACTCGTGTTCATCAGGAGCAATCCGCAGAACTGGAAGATCAGTAAAGCAGGAAACGCCGTAAGCCGATTGATATATCAGCGAGATCGAGAAAATACGATCATGGATTATAAAACGGGAATCAACAATGCACGGATGGTGCCCGAAATTACAAGCAGCTGCCTTGTGATTAGTGGTGGCCACCAGCGTGGTCAACGGACGTGCAGCCGGGGAATAGCTTGACACGGACAGGGGAGGCGGTAACAGCTGCAGCCATACATGTCACAGGTTTCACCGGTGACAGGCGTTTCGTGGTGCGATGATGGTTGACTTCGAATTTCTTTCTATCCTTAGGTCCGGGTTTATTCCTTTTACGTGGTAGGGCAAGTCTGTGACAACATAGACGAACATTGGAGGTGTGGCGAAAGGGCCTACACCGATGACTGCACGTGGACGTGACCCCAAGAAAGTGAGAGCCTGAGCACTGCTGCAACAATATACATATGGTTGAGGATGGAAATAAGAGAGATTGTTCTTTTGGATTTTTTGAAGGCGTGCGTTCTCTACCTTCAGAGCCTCGTATTTTCCTTCGTATCTGTCGTAAATCAACAATACTTGCTGGAATGCACGAATGCTTACCGCCACTTTGTTTCTGTGCGCACGATGCTCAAACTCTCTTGCCCTCTCCGCCAACTCTTTCATTCGTTCGTCTAGTTCTTCTTCTTCTTTCGTGCATTTCGCGCATCTCTTTGTGAATTCTTACAATTTTCCCTCCACCTCTGCTCGGCACTCTCAGCGACTTCGTACTTTTTTTTGCAGCACAGCAAATAAGCACTTGGCTTTGCGGCGCTCGTTCTCATGAGTCGTGCATGTACTTTTGAGGTCAGCATGCTGCGCCTGGAGAAGGTAGTACTCCCTTTGCAGCTCCTGATGCTGATCATCCAGCTCATCGCGTTCCTTGTTCGCGCTCAACAAATTCCATCGCAACTGTTCCAAACGCTTATCCAAGCATTGGGGTTTTCTTGCGGAGGCTAGAGACGCGCTCCATAGTCAAATCCGGATCATCGGAAAGTGTAAAATCAATATCGACAGCTGAATCTCTACGGGGAGATTGTGTGCCAAGTTGTGTGAGCGATTGGTGAGGGTTTAAGGATATTTAAAATACACCCTTGCACTGGATATGCTTGCGACAAGTGGGACATTTAAAAGGCGGAGGTCCGTGTACAATGTACTAAGTTCACATCACCAAAATTACCGAATCCAGAGATCACATGATATATTGAATTTTCTGACGCCGCCAATTGTATATACCTGTGATATCCGACATTTGAAATATCGTAGCGATACAATGACATCAAACATACCATCTGACAGACACAAGTCATCCAGTAGAGTAGCTGTCAGCCAGATATCAGACATATCCAGATACATCCAATGTATTATATAGAGTAATACAACGAAAAATGGGTGAAACTGAAGTAAAGTACCTAAAGGGCACCCACCGCCAGAGCACTAGTGTCGGTGTGGAAAGTGTTCATGAATTGCAAGTTGTTGGTACATCAATAAAAGCTAGGTATGAGATAGGTGCTTGATAGTAACGACCGTGATCGAAGAGACTTTATACACATACAAGGTAACATTCCAAAGGATAACAATAAATGGGTAGCGTTCAAGACTGTCAGGTATTATTGACCAAAAAAACCTTTCACTCTCCACATAGTGTCCAAGGAAGCAAACTGGGGAATCCGATTAGCAGCGTCATCTGCGGTTATGATTTATTGATTAGACGACTCCGAGAACGCTTACCAGTTAAGCAAAACCTTCCTCTCCGATGACTTGTGTTACAATGGATTCTAGTTCTGCATGGGATAACTTGTGAAGGGCCGGAGTGTCATGCAGTGATGCAACAAGCTGGGCTCGAATTGAATTACAAACTTCTGATAGTCGACTTTCCGATTGAAGAGATCATGTGACGCTCGAGGGTAGTGGAGGCGGGGGCATCATGTTCGGACTACTGGGAGCAGACGAGGATGGTTGGGAAGAATCAAGGTACAGAGCCTTTGGTAGAGTGGATGGAACCAGCCGATGCTTGGCATTGGCTGGACTTTGGGATAGCTATCGGAGGTGTTTCCGGAGGTGTAACAAAGGTGCCGTCGCAAGATGGTGCAGCCATGGATGTCGTTTTCGTAGAACTGCTCTCAAAGCCAAGGAGTAAACCTAACTGGTGCCGATGGCGCGAATGCCGGTAAATTGGATTCGGACGATGAATTTTCTGAAAGTCGGCACACCGTCGTCAGCCTCACATGACTATTCAAAGCCCGCCGGCAAATTCCTACCAACTATGGACGCGCTACACTTGATTTTTGCTTATCTCCCTATTCTATACCAATATCAACACCATTAATTCCAATCCAATCAATTGACACGTCTCTGCAATGGTCACCATCACTCACACTGAAGACCGCCTTGACTTGGCTGACGGCATGCTGTTGGCCCATGACAATATTGTCGTGCTGGAGATCTGTCTGGACTCTGGATGGCCGACTTAGGTGAGTGTATGCGCATATATGCATATATTATGTACTTATTTCATCTATCAGATGGATCCAGCATCGTCTACTCACATGGATCTGAAATATCCTTCTAGCATGCTTTTTCTGTCCGATCAGAGAACTTGAGAGATTTTCAGAGGACGCTGACAGGTGAGTTTTTCGGGAGCTTGCCACATTGTCGAAGCGTACCTTGACACTCCTTTGATGATCCCGCAAGCCCATCGTCCCACTCCCACGAAACCACCGCCTCCACCTTTAAAATCAACGCGCCGACAAAGACCAAGGCGACCAGAACCACTAAGTTTGAGGTGCTGAATCCTGCTGCCTCAAGTTCTAACGCGCCATTGTCATCGGTTACTCCGAAGTATTCTCCAGACTCAGTTGATGTCCCTCACTACACACCAGAAACAGTGTCAGGCATTCCCTTCGGCAGGTAAACCTGAAGCCCTGCAAATGTCATGAAGCAAGTATTGAACATTCTCCAGGACTCCACGATTGCGTCGAAGATCGGAAAGGACAAACAGTCTAGTTTCTGGGGGGTGTACAAACGAGTCGCAGAGGAACATGACGATGAGTTCCTTGAGCGATACACTACTGACATGGACATTGTCTTGATCTTCGTAAGTTTAGCGTTCTTATCTTCGGCGCATTTTGAGACTGATGTTTGATTAGTCTGGTCTTTTCTCGGCTATCAGCGCGGCTTTCATCGTCGCGATGGAGTCTAATTTCAGTCCCGACCTCAGCGACATCACGAATTCCCTTTTGAAACGGCATCATCGAGTCTGAAGGCGTCATTCCAGATTATATTGATGGAATTTGTGTCACTGGTACGTTAGAGCCACTATTTTTATTCTTAGGCTAATATCTTTTTAGATGCGAAAACCCTGCAGATCGCCCGTCGAGTCTTTCTCGAACAAAACTTAAAGCTTGTCGGTGCTGTGCATCAAATCAATCATCAGCACTTTCCACTTCCCTCGCATCAAGATTCCTACCATGTTTGCTGCAATGATTTCCTGCCCTGCCAGGCTATGGCTTTTATACTGTCTTATCATTCATCTTCGTGAGTCACTTCCGTTTGATCTCATTCATTCCATACTTAGCCACAAAATCTTGCAAGGTGCCATCCCTCCACTCGTTGGTGGTACACCATCCTCGTCACCATCGTTTTCGCCCTCGCTACTAGCCTCTCCATCACCAATAACCTTCACCTCATCTCCAAAGTCAAGATCATGATCGACTTCAATTCAGCAGCCTTGCCGCTGTCTTCATCTTCCTCTTTGTCATACACCTCCTCGCAGTTCCCCTGGCAGGCACCTCCTTGCAGCTCCCCAGCGCCTGTTCAACGCAAACCTTCTCCTTTGAGTGAAACTCCGACGTCTCCTCCACCTGCTGGACACAAAACGAAACGAGCAGCACCGGTGCCTCGAGCTGGTGCCCACGGTCGTGAGAGTTCTAGTAGCTATTTGTACTGTAAGATTTTTTTTGCAATCACCATGGTTCGAGAGTTCGAACGCGTTCTGAACTAGGTTCGGAACTGTTCACTCAGTTGTACCTCACTGCTTTGCACTACCATTAATTCAATGCATCACGTTGTTATATCCGAACGCAATTGCAATGTCTGATGAATCTGAGCGAAATTCAAATGCATTATGTACATAGCAATGTTTGATATATCGGTACACTAGCCTAATGCCAGACTATAGTCATATGGCAGTCGCAATGTCAGAATTGAGTTTCCTAACATTGCCTTACATTGAGACCTTGCGCCAGATACATATGGCAGTTATGGTGGCTCCGACATGGTAATATATGACCATCTCTGGATTTGGTAATTTTGGTGATGCAGGCAACAGTTTGGCGATCGTCGAGTTGTTGTCAGTTGGCGAGAAATAGTATTCAATTCTTTAGAGGTGATGATGAGCTTGATAATAGTATACGCCACCATTATTGACAGCCTCAGTAAGACGTAGTGCAGGTCCAAGACTCGAAGGGCAGAAAGTGTCGTGGTCACAGTTATGTAACGTGACTATTACTGACGCGTTACTACGCGCTTCCGATCACTGTCTAACTTTACTACGACCGCAACCCAACTTCCAACCCGTCACGGTGTGTACTAAACAGTACTACTACGGTCTTTCGTGTACTATTATTAATTTTGCTATGAACATTCATCTCACAGATCTAAAATGGTGAGTTCAAGCCACTAGCTACGATATACCACGATGCTAATAGTTCAATGACAACACCATAGACCAAATTACGAATCGACGATGACAACTTGTGCCTCAGTCCCCTTCGATTACGCTAAAGCAGACATAATTTTCCTTTCAACTGATGGCGTTGGGTTTCGAATATTCACGCTCCTCTCTCTTGCCTCCCCGTTCCTTGAGTCATTGCCCACGCGTCTCTGCTAGCTATGTTTGTGATTCTTTGTTCCCAGGTTCAGAATTTAAAAAGACGCAACTTCCTTCTACTACAGGAGACAAGGTCGTTGGAAGAATGTGCAACATGCCAACACCTTCCTTTCTCGATCACTTCTGACGTTTAATAGACGTTTTTCTCTTGACAAGACTCTGTCGAGGTAGCTGAGAATACTCTATAGCGCTATCCTCCGTTTCAATTAACAAGTTTTAAGTTCGGGCGCTGCAAGTCTCGGGGGACTTTGAGTTGCCCTCACTGAAATCTGGGGCTCACTGAGTCACGTATGTACAAGTCATTACGTGACTATAACGTCTCGATCACTACCTCATGTCCACCTTGATACTAAATGAACCTAGTCTAACCGGTGGAAGAATGTTCTCGCATGTAAGTCGTCCGTTGAACCTTAAGTCTGCTAGTAAAGTTCATGAGTTGTTGAAATAATCGTGCTAGATGCTCATACCACGGAGAGGGATCGAGCTATAGCCTCCCACATCAACTCTGTTGCGCTTATAGACATTGGTCGGAATGTCACTTCTTGCCACATCCCCAGTTTCAATATCACGACGTGGCTTATCTTTCTGCGTATCTCTTTAATCACCGTCGCGTATCACCTCGCTTTGCACATACACAGGTTGATTTGAACACCAACGTACAAAAGGGCCACGAGGCCAAAGAAGACACTATGTATGTACTAATGAATGCCGAATGCAGTGGTCTGCACCCTAACAGGCCTGCAAGCGCATGGCCAGTTCGATTCCCTTAACTTTCTCAGAGTCTCTTCATCATCCCACAAACACACCCCACAAATTTCAAGTTTCAACTGGTGAGTTCATCTTACTAGCTACGATCGGCCATATTCATGACACCACAAAGATCATAATCGCCAATGGAATTGCCAACATTGCCAACACAAACTTGTGCTTCGGCCCCATTCGATCATGCTAAAGCAGACGTTATCTTACGATCAGCTGATGGCATAGAGTTTCGAGTGTTCATGCTCTTCCTCTCCCTTGCCTCTCCGTTCTTCGAAACATTGTTTGGCCTCCCTCAAGCTCCTGACGGGGCTTCCGATCAAGAGATGAAGGATGGCTTAGCAGTCATCGCCGTGTCTGAGGACAGCAAAACTCTAGATACGTTTCTCAGGTTTTGCTATCCATCGACGCTGGCGGAAGATCCTTCTCTTGACAATCTCACAGAGATTCTCTCTGTACTCGCAGCTGCGAAGAAGTATTCACTAGACCTGATCGAGAGAAAAGTATGTCAGGCTCTGGCGAATCCCAAGGTTCTTGAGATAGACCCCCTTCGCTCCTTCGCTATTGCGAGGAACGCGCGGCTCAAGCATGAAACTATCACCGCTGCCAGATACAACTTACGGCAACCCTTAATTCCTGCGTTATTTGCAGAGATCGACCTGATCACCGCATCCGACTTTCTTGCCCTACTAACATACCACAAAAAATGCATTATCTCCGTACAAAACCTAATGAAGAATCTCAAATGGATGACGGATCATTATGTCAATAGGAGTGGCTGCGGTTGGCTGTTCAGCAGTGGTTCCCACTATAATGGGGATTACTGCCGCTGCGAACAGGGTACCGACAAAAGATTTTTTCCTTGGAATGCCGCTCCAATTGCATGGTGGACAACATATATGCAGGAGGTATACGAGCTACTACAGGATAGCCCGTCTGGCGATACTGTGAGGACGGCAGCGGACAGGACAATCCAAAAGGTCAGAAGTGCGAACTGTGCTGCTTGCTCTGGTCGGGTAAAAGAAGGCATGACGGAATTTAGCAACTTGCTTGCTCTAAAGGTCGAAGAGGCTGTCGCTCCGGTATGTACCTTGCTATACAACACGGACAAACTCTGAGAGCTTCCAACAGATCGAGCTGGATATGGACTTCTGATCGCAACTATCCTCATCCGTAAGCCAATATATAATACTGTGGTAAAACACTTACTTGACGTCATCTGGCAGATCATGTCTATAAACTTGTGCCAGTACCGTCCAGTGTCCAATAATCACGACTCGATCAGATCTAGCAGTTGTACATTGAACTTGAATACCAAGGTGTAATATTAGGGGTTGCTTAAGGGAAGAATCGCGTGTAGTTGTGTAGAAATATGTCTCAAGAATTACGAATATTCCTTTCCTCCACGGGTCTCCGATAGCCTCCGGCTGGTAACCTTCCTGTTAGATTCTAGTACGACAAATGCATGTGCTGTGAATATAATGATTCAATATATATAACGTACACTGTGGGCAATATCTTCATCGAGTTTCTTCCACACCGCCCTTTGTTGTTCTTCCAGAATCTATCAATCATTATTGCGTTCTCTCTACAGTCAAATGTAAGTTTAACTTGTCGCCCAGGAAGATATTGCCAGCTTGACCATACTGTTCATATAAAGGAAACTCCTCATGGCAACCCCGCCATTTCTGCATGCCAAAGCAGATATCATCCTTCGATCGTCCGACGGCGTTGATTTTCATGTGATCACGCTCTTTCTAAATCTCGCCTCGTCGTCTTTCGACTCCATCATCGAGCAAGCAGCACAGTCAAACCAGGTCGAAGGTGATCTGCCTGTCGTGCCCGTGGAAGAAAACCACAGAGTCCTCGACACCTGGCTCAGATTCTGCTACCCTTCAACTCTTGCACAGGATCCTCCTCTGCATGAGATTGAAGATATCATACCTGTCCTTGAGGCAGCCAGGAAATATTCTTTGAAACCGCTTGAACACAAAGTTCGCCAAGCGCTTAAAAGCCGCATGGAGAAAGAGCCTTTGACATGCTTTGCAATTGCAATGCGTGCTCAGCTCAACGTGGAAGCCACGCTTGCTGCCGAATATACTCTCCGCCAATCTCTCATTCCTGCGAGTGTTCCAGAAATCGACCTCATCACAGCCAAGGAGTTGCTCGCACTACTCACCTATCATCAGAGGTGCGGGAAATCGGTGCAATCCTTGGGGGTGGATCTATCCTGGATTACCAGCAGTTACATGAGCTTGAATGCGGCAGGATACCAGTGGATCATTCAAAGCGGCTCCTGTAACTGCGAGTCCGGCAGTCGATTCTTGCTCGATGGTCAACGACCATTGAAATGGTGGAGTGATTACATGGAAAAAAGTCTGGTGTCTTTGCGCGATAAGCCATCTGGCCAGACGGTCCTTGCGGAGGTCGGTGACACAGTCCGGGGTGTTCGAGCTATTGGTTGCTCGCAGTGCTGTTCAAATATCCTGGTGAATATGACGGGATTCGCCGAGTTTTTTAGCACGATGGTTGATATATTGACGGCAGAGGTGACTTGATGGCTTTGTTCCTTTACTAGCAGTGCATCAGGCTCATGATATCGCATTTGAAAAGGTTGATCTCGACATGGATTTGCTTAAACCCTTCGTTCCGGCCCGAGTTCCCTTATCAACGAAGGCTCGGAATTTCATGGGGGCGAGCGGTCTCGACGCTGAGCCCTCCGTTGCGGGCCCGGCGACGTCGGCTACCCCCGGGCCATCAACGAAGACTGCCACGAATTCAAAGGGCGAGAAGAAGAAGAAGAAGAAGTAAAGGAGCTCTCAAAACTACTTAGACTGTATAAGTTGGCATACAAGTTGCTGTATAGTTCTGAGCAGTCTGACACTAGTCTCGAGACCAGATTGTACATTCTAGAACACCACGATGTAACTGACTTATGTACTTAGTAGAAGTATCTCAGTGCCAGAACCAGGTGATCGATGCGCACGCCATTCTAAAACACCTGCTTCGAGACTACGTAGGAAAATTGTGCCACAAGACGAGCCAGGCGCCAACGACATGCTGCTGGCATTGGGCTGATTATTGTCCTGGAAGTAAGCGAGTCACTCATCTACATATCAGATGAATAACAGGATGAATCTCTCGTACTCGTGGTCATTAGTAGCAATCCACGGAACTGGAAGATCAGCAAAGCAGGAAACGCCGTAAGCCGATCAATATATCAAGAAAATTACGATCATGGATTGGAAAACGGAATCGACAATGCACGGATAGTGTCTGAAATTACAAACAGCTGCCTTGTAATGAGTGGTGGTCACCAGTGTGATCGACGAACGCGCAGCAGGGGAATAGCTTACACGGACAGGGGAGGTGGCAACAGCTGCAGTCATACATGTCACGGGGTTTCACCGGCGACAGGTGTTTCATGGGTGCGATGATTTACTCGAGGTTGACTTCGATTTTATTTCTGTCGTTAGGTCTAGGTCGTTCCTTTGACGTGGTAGGGCATGTCTGTGACGACATAAGATGAACATTGGAAGTATGGCCGCTGTGGCGAAGGGGCTGCACGTGGACGTAACCCCAAGGAAGTGAGAATATTGCTGCAACGACATGCAGAGGGTTGATGATGGGAATGACACATCGTGAATAACTGAAGGAAATATTGGAGATCAGAAACAAGAACCTGTCACAATAAAGCTCGATGGCGACTTACATGAATGTCGTCTTACTACAGTTCATATTTCGGTGGCCAAGAGGCTGGAGGAGCGAACGAATACTTGCTCACACGAATTACATTTGGTGGCTTTCAAGGATGATTCTGAGAGCATGTCGTTGTTCAAACGTTCAAGTCGAGTCCGATGTTGAACATTCTAGGTCCTAATTAGTAAGCCAACGTCTTGATCCAGAGATAAGGTTCTTTCCATCTTACGACCAGGAGGACCCGAGGTAGGAAATTTAGCGCCAATTGTATTGAAACTAATATGTAAACGAACGCCGCCGAGGCTCAGTTTCATCAACGGATACTGTACACGTATTCCAAGACTATCGAGAAAGACAACCCAAATGAAAACGAAGCGGAATTGAAAAGAACATGGTTAATGGCCGCGAGCGAAACCCGAATCTCTGACATGCATAGCGACTGTAAACGCGGATCAATGAGATCATGGCATGAGTGAGCAAGGAAGAAATTCATACCACTTCAAAACGTTCAACGCGATCCGAGCCAAGCCAAATCCCCAAACACGGACGAAGAATCTTTCACCCAACCCTCTATAAACGTACTCTTTCCATGTTCTCGACTCTTCTTCTCCAGCGCCATGATCTTTCTGGTAGTGCTCACCCCGTGTTCCTCACAGAGTTGCTTCAGGATGATCCTCCGACTCAATCCGGGATATCCGCTCATGATTTTGAGTATGTACTCTCCCATAGCATCAAGACCGGTTTCACTACTCTTCGTCATAACCCAACCGCGGTTGATCCGGAAGATCATTTTAGCTCCTGGATCATCGATCACAAAGCGAACTGCTTCACCGCTCGCAGTGAAGAGGAAGTAATCGACATTTCGGTCGGCTTCAAGCATCTCGGCTTGACGCTCCGCAGCAGGGGTGCGTTTACCCTTACAGGGATTTACGCCAATGTCTCTGAGGCTCGTGAGATGCCGACCTTCCTTCTTGCCAAAGTCGCGAATCATGTTAGCGCTGGGATCAGAGTCGCCGAATGCCCAAAGAGAGTCTCCCTTGGTTCCGCTTAGACCCTTCGATACTGGCTTCTTGCCACAAGTCCGTTTGTGAAGAGACCAGTCTTGTTTCTGGCAGGATCTAGTGGATGATGCGACATCATGAGGGAGTTATGAAGACAGAATTAAAGGACTTCTACTCACTGAGAACAATAATGTATCTCGAAGTTAAGTTTCGTTTTGCAAACACTGCACACCATGAAGCGAACACCTTGTCCGATTTCTTCTGGCGTCTTCGTGCAGTTTTCGCAGCGGACAAGAGGTTTATCCCTGAAAGTCGTTTTGACCTGTGCTAAAGCTCGAGCAACATATCCCTTTGTATTCTCCATGACGTGTAGGACCCCCTTCATCCCCCCGCTACGATTGGTGATGTCACTTACGATTGACAACACTGAGGACATAATAAAATGTCCTGTTCATTAAATGTTAGACTCGCATGATGCTATATGAGCGGGAAACACTCGCCGATAAACTTATTCCTGTTGATAGTCGCGACTTCGAACATAAGCTTTGTGCTTTGGGATATTTGTCTTCGAGGTGGAACATCCGGGGTCTCTTCCCACCATGGATTTGGCAGGTTCGATGCCTGTTCCCACCATGAGTTCGGTAGGAATGCTGGTTGAAGGGATGACTCGGTTAACTCCAAGACACGAGCGAGAAAGTCGACAAAGCTCTTCCCGCCCTGCGTCAGAAGATTCGAAACTGTGACCTCCGGGCAAAGAGCCCGACAATCTTGCCCCCAAAACGTAGGTGCTTCACAAGCCCCCTTCAGGCCTTCATTGATATGTCTCTTCTTCTCCGCGACACTCAACAACAACCAGATGGTGTCAAAGTGGCCTTCGTCGAAAAGGTCACGCAGAATTTTGGCTACGTTATCTTGGACCCTGCGAAGATCCTGATGGAAGAACTCCATGGCGTCAGGATCAAAGCAAGAGTCGTCTAGGAAACGAGACATCTCCTTGAGGACGTCCGCTGCGGTTGAAGATGCGATCGCCGCCTCCCACTCCTTATCCCACTTGAGCGCGTCTTGCTTAACATCAGTGATGTTAAATTTCTTGGACAAGAGTGGAGGAAAATCTTCAGGTGTCTTTACAGTATCGTCGTCGTCCTTGATTGGCGATGCCATGGCTAGATGATGAGTGACTTGTTTGCCGCTGGGAGGGTATGGAAGATCAGGGATATTGAGGAGACGCGTTTTATAGCTAACGCCCCATGATGATAATCAGATGCCATCATATCGATAGTCAAGTGAATAATAGTTCCATGATCAATGATGAATCATGATAGTCTATAAAGAGACAAGCCATGATCTTCCAGACGTAAAACCCGCACTCTGTATGATGTAAAGAACTTACTTATCACCGAGTATATTCCACCCGAGTGCATCTTGCTTGATTTCAGTGATGTTGGCGAAGAGAGGAGGTCGATCTTTAAGTTTCTGTGGCCCTCGGCTGACAATGCAGACGATGACTGAGGGCTCTGAGCTGCAGAGCGTATGTGAGATCTAGACCAGACGCGTTGAAATATCATGACGATCGGATACCGTTATATCGATCTAGTCAAATCGCAAGCATGGGCGGTGGAAAGTAGTTCATGATCAATGATGTTAGTCCGTAAAGAGAAGGTCACAGACGTAAAACCCTGCGCTCTATACGATAAGCAAACATTCCTATTTTGGCATTTGCTCCTCGAAGAGAAGAGAAGCCTGACAACGTTGCAGATGAGAAACCCAAATTTGGCAATAGAGAAAGAAACCAAATTTGGCAATAGAGGAGAAGGCCAAACTTGCGCCCTGTGTGTATGAGGATAAAGAACTTACTTATCACCACCGCGAGGCTTGATGCGGTCTCATGACTCACTTCGAACTTTCCCCAGAATATTGATACAGCGGCCTTGTCACAATACAAACTGGGCATCGAGTCTGGATTCTACATGTGCGTAATATCACAGCATATATTCATTCCTGATTTGGGACTCCGTGGCAGAACCGACGATTGTACTGAAAGCGAGCAAGTCACAACCTGCTAATTTAAAAAAGGGGTTCTTGCACTCACGGTAACAATACCCGGAATGGGTGAAGCAGAAAAACGTGAACACAGAATTCGATCAACATATTAACGACACCGAGAAAAAATTGACATGGTCATTTAATCGGTAGCGGTGGTTCCATGGGGCAATGATCATGCCTTTGAACTTCTCACTGTCCTTGGATCTGAGTGACTTGAATCTCGCTCTTTTTGTTACGGAGTGGAGCAACATATCAAGTCTACGAGATACATGAGTACCGGGGGTATAGTCAAGCGAGTATAATACCCTTTTATCCTCGGCAGCCGCAATATCCACAACAAGGGGTCGGTGGGAAGAATGTTGCCTATGATGCTGCTGAAATGGTGTTGCATCGTGGTCAATGGAAGGAGAGCGTTGGAAGAATGAGGAGAAGCGATTAATGGCCGCACGTGGACGTGACCTCGAGGAGGCGAGAATACTGTTGCTACGACGTGCAGAGGGCTGGACATGGACATGGCGTGTTGCGGAGTACTGAGAGCATGAGGTCAGCACAAGAGCCAACTGATATGATAACGACACACATGAACGCGCCCCTGCGTGCAGTCAAAAAAAACATGTGATTACCTCCAAAAACGGCTTATCAAATACGTCCTATACCGATACGAGTTAGAAATTAATGTGCTCCATCATTAAAGAGCCATGAGGTGATGCACACTTTCGATTCATCTTTTGGTAACTAAGAAAGAACTCTATCAGTATAGAGTGGGCAACGTACTCCGAGTCAGACTCACATTAGACAATAGGTCATCGAGACCAGTTTATCTTATTATGACATGGATGTCCCACAAGTGCGCATTGTGGCCATTGCAACCCGTTACTAGCAGCTTTCCATCAGCGGAAAGAGTTGCACAATACACGTCAGCTTCGTGGCGAAGGGGTTCACAGGTAGATATTACACAAATGCACTGTTCGATCGCGTGAAGCACTTGCTAGGAGCAAGCTAGCAGAAGGTCATTGTAAGACAAGGAGATGGCCAACAATTGTGATGAGTGACGTGTGACGTTCAACCATGTGAATATCCTAATTGAGCCAACGGAGATAAACTTCTTTCCATCTGACGTCCAAGCTGTAAACTGGTCAACTATGTTCAATTGTAGAGAGCTGTGTTGGCATCCCACATCCGCATTGCATTCTTCTTGTATCCATTGGTCGCAATCTGTTTGGAATCGGGCGAGTAGCTCACAACGATGTGTCATCTTGATTGGACCAAACAGTTTCGCCGCTCTCTACCGTGACAGACCCTTGCAGTTCCCTCATCTGATCCACTCACAACTCGCTCACAAATCAGACTCCAACTCAAGGACCCACGTTTCTTGTGTGACCAGTCCATTTTGCACTGACCTTCCCGATCTCGGCTTTCACGACCTATCTACCCTGGCATCACTTGTAACAATTTCGCCTCTGGGAGATAATGCCATGGTGATCACCCCCACTCCATCCTTCTTATCTCGCCAGTTGTCGCTAATTTTTAAACCGCTCTCCAAATCCCACCCTCGGAGCAAGCCGTCGTTCGAACATGTGATGAGTCGTTGTTCACCAGGCACACCTCGTACTTACTCGGTACAGTCTTGCAATGTTTGGCAAGACATTATCCTTGCCATCTCCTGCGTCTCACTAATGGGGGAAGAGTGTGTTATTGCTTATGCCTCTCCTGTTTCAATGATGGGGGTGGAGGTCTCTAGCATCTCACTGGTGGGGGAAGAGGGCGTCATCACCGATGTCTCTTGCATCTCAATTGTGGTTGAATAAAGATACAGTGCCAATGGTTCTGAATCCGTATCAACCCTTGTCAATAGAAGCACAATAAAAAACGTTCACGAGAAGCTTGTTAAGAGGAATTCGAACCTGACCCACAGGGACAGGGGTTACCTGCGATGGCGAGGTCCTATCTTTCACAAGGACGTGTCAAGTCAAGTATCGTTAAACCGTCGAGAAGGAAGGTGGGCAAGGGTTCATTTGAGCGCCTACTACTGACTACCAAGGCCCGGGCACGTTCGGTGCGTTATCTTCACCGCTTGATGCTTCGCAGGTGAAGCGATCAAAATTAGCGCTATGCGCAACTTCCTGATCCTATACTTATCATTTTTGGGACTTTGTTTGAAGATGGGCGTGGCTAACAGATGACAGGTGCCACATTTCTATTTCTTAATCCTCGAACTTCTTTGCAGGACAGTGCCGTGAGGCATGCTACAACTACACATGCTATGCAGTGAAAGCATTACTTGATCGATTCAAAGATCAAGATTCTGATAAGCCTCAATGCACATCAGTGGGCAAGGAAGTCCAAGCCAGGCTACCCGCTGCCCTGCGGCATGCAAGGGACTATCGGGGAATCAATTACAATAGTATATAGGTGGGTACCGTTCGTCTCAAAGTTCACCCATCAGAACATTCGCATCTAGAGTTGACTTCAAGCTCTTGAAGAATCCGACAAATCTCTGCTGATGGAACAAATGTCTTCTCCGTTTTCAACGATTATTCCTACCTGCACATGCGCATCATCGCCTTTTGACCACCCAAAAGCTGATATCATCCTGCGGTCCTCAGATAGGGTCGATTTCCGTGTCTTCAAGCTTTTTCTCGCCCTCGCCTCCCCGCTCTTCGAGACTATGTTTGAGCTCCCCCAACCAGCAGCAGTTGGGACGAGTGATGATACAAAGGATGGTCTCCCTGTCATTTCCATGCAGGAAAATAGCAAAATATTAGACACTTTCCTCAGATTCTGCTACCCTTCCACATTGGCGGAAGATCCTTCGCTTGATAACCTGATAGACATCAAAGCCATCATCGGGGTTGCGAAGAAGTATTCGCTGAACCTGATAGAGAGGAGGGTTTGTCAGGCTCTCGCTAGCCCCAAGGTCCTCGAGGCAGAGCCTCTTCGCTGCTTCGCAATCGCCCGGAACGCACGGCTCACAGATGAGACTATCGTCGCTGCCAGATACACCCTACGACAACCCTTGATTCCCACATGCTTACCAGAGATCGATATGATCACCGCGTCTGACCTTCTCGCTCTTCTCACGTACCACAAGAAGTGCAGCGTTGCAGCAGCGTCATCGCTTGCCAACTTGGATTGGATGACGAACTATTATAGCAATCCAAGCGGTTGTAATTGGTTGTTGGACACACGGCAAGCAGACTTTCGGGGAAAACTACCAGATCCCCCCTGCAGATGCGCACGGAGTGATAAAGCCAAATTCCACTTGTGGAAATCTGCTCCGTTCTCTTGGTGGACTACTTATATGGAAGAAACATTCGAGTTATTGAGAGACACTCCTTCTGGCGATGTCGTGAGGTCGGAGGTAGAAAAGACGATACAGAAGGTCAGAGATGTGGGCTGTACCACTTGCTCCGCCCATGTCAAGGAGAAGATGGAAGAATTCAGCAACTTACTTGCCCTCAACGTCGATAAGGCAACGGCTTCGGTACGTAGTATCTCTGTATATGCATTGCAACACTTCTTAACATCTTCGATGACAGATTAAACTAGAGATTGACCGCGACTTCAGAATCTTGCCACCTGTCATGGGTCTCGGCAACTACAAGCTCACAATCCCGCTTCCGTTTTTTGGGCAGAAGTAGCAAGTCCTGAAGCGAGCAAAAGCTGCGGGGGTTCAAGCAATACTCGGGGTATAGTACCGTACAACCGATGGTCTCGCTAAGTACGTAGGTTATTTAGACAGAAAGCCAATACACGAAAATTCAAGCAAGTTGAAATATTAAGCTTGCTGCCTCAGGCAACCTTACTCTGACCTGTACCTATCTTCGCAGGCGACAGTTGTCCTGCCGGACCGTCGGCCTTGCGCTCCCAAACGCAACGAACGAAGATTGAAGAAGAGATGTGTTACCAGATAGAAAGGCTAGATACGAAAGTTCCAAGCAAGTGATAAACTTGCTGCCTCAAGCGGCCTTACTTAGAGGAAGTTACTCTGGCCTGCCCCATGCTATGCATATCCTGCTGGTCCGTTGGCCTTTCGCTTCCCTTTGGCCTTCGTCGCCTTGATGGCGGGTTTCGTGAAGAGGTTCTTGGTAAATGGCAGCAGCCTCATGGACCTTAATCCCGTCTGTTACACTCGAGAGCCAGTCGCACTGGTCTGGTTCGTGGTTCGTGGTTCGTGGTTCAGGGTATGGTCTAGTTCATGGTTCGGTATAGGGTCTGGGTTAGCAAGGAAGTCATTATGCAGTCGGCGCAGAGCAGCCTCGACAGCCTCTCCGTAGAACCACATCTCAATGTAGCCCGAGATAACGCACAGACAGGATACAGAGGGCAACGGACATTTGATAAAAGGGTGATCATGGGCAAACAAAGCCTTGTTAGGTACAACATCCAACTCGGGGCGTAAACGACAGAAGTGCAACAGAAGGTATTCGGCAGAATCAAGACGAGTGTGCTCCTTCGGGATAAGGGCTGAAGGAAGTTGGCGAGCCGCCTCTATGACGACAGGCACGGGAAAGTCAGGAAGGGATGTGGTCTTCGGGAAAGAAAAACTACGCAGGATCATCGCTGACCGCGATGTCATACAGTTTCGTCAGGGATGCACGTAGTACAAAACATCAAGTCAGTGGGAAGTTACATAGGATTCAAGAAGGAATATCAAGAAGATGTGAGAAGTAAACCATCAACTTATTCGTCGTCACTCTGGTCCCCCAAAAAGGCTAGAATGCTCGCGCCCGCAGTTTTCTAAGGAACATCATGATTCCAAAGACAAGAAAATGGAAATGATTCACGAACCTTCCTCTTGAGTGGTGGGTCCTCGTCCTCATCGTCACTTCCTGGTCCCGACTGTTCATCCTGCGATTCCCTCTTTTCTTTCTTCCTTTCCCGCCGGCGTTCTGCCTCTGCGAAATCTTGCACATCCCCTAATACACCATGTTACTATAAGCTTGGTTTTCAACGCGAGTCGTTCCAAGTACATACTAAGTTCTTGTGCGAATTCTCTCTCTGCTTTGATAGTCTTTGCTTTTTCCAGAGTGAGGCGACCCGTCATTCCTAAGTCCTTCAGAATTTCTTTCAGTCGTTTAACTTGGCCTGACGGTGTATCCAAATCTGCAAATTCTTTCTTCCATATCTTGCGTACGCCGCAAGCAACCACTATAGCCTAAGCAAAAATCAAACCACGTCTCGCATGTGTTAAGTAGAAACACCTCTACCTTGAGTTTGGAGACAGTCTCATCATCCTTAGATGACCCTCCTGCGTTGCTCTTCTGTGTCTTCTTACGTTCTGTCGAGGCTTTCTTGTTTGAATCCTATACATTGTCAGAAGTAGCACAGAACACCGATTGGGAGAGCTAAAAACCTTTTCTTGTTTCTTCCTTCTTTTCTTCGGGGGTTCATTGACGACTACTGACACATCGGTGTCATTCTCCTGATTGCCTATTAATTTTGTGAAACGTAAGTCATCAAAATGGGACACACAGGTTCGCTGTGGGGAAGTGCATGTTTCAGAATGACGGTTTCCTGAGGCTTTGAGGTGGAAGAACTTGCTCCGTGCTCGAGCTCGTCGACCACCTCATGTTTCGCATTTTGCTTGGTGGATGACTAGTGAGGAGAACAGTTCACCCAGAATACAGAAGTGAAAAGGAATGTGTTTAACCTTAGGTTTAGATAGAGGGTTTTCCTTTGAAGGCGATTTCTTAGGTGACAGTATTTCTTTCTTTGAAGACGTCACAGCAGATTTGGATGCATGCTTGGCATCAGCCTCGTCCCCAGAAGACTCGACGATAGACTGTACGTAGTGAATAAAGAAGACCAGTCGCAAGATAACAAAATTTCAACTCACGGCTGATTTATGTTCCTTCACAGCGGTTCCGCTGGTCAACTTCTTGGTTCTGGATGCCTTCTGAGAGCGCTGTATGCCATTAGTGACGTAGGTATTTTGAAGAGATTGCGCATACTTTGGAGCCAGAGGGTTTCGTTTCATGCTCGCCCTTACTTTTCGGAGGTTTGACTTGCTTCTTCCGAGCTGGAACTTCGTCTTCAGATATTTCAGACGCTTCAGACTCCACTATAGTCTAGAGGTAACAGAACAGGGTTCGAGTGGCTGCACATAAAGGGATGCCACAAAAGCTCACAGAGGACTTGGGCACCTGCTTCCCTTTCTTGTTCTTCCCGGGCGACGCCTTGGGCTTAGAGGCGCCGTTGCGAGGTTTGACAAGCTCTTCGTCGGCCCCTCCCTTGCGTTTGTTGGAGGGTTTTGGCTGGCTTTCTCCATCATCTTCCTCATTCAGTGGTGTTGTTGAAACATTGTCCTTCAGAAAGTTAATATTAGGAAAGCAGGTCAATGCCCGGACGTAAACTTTGCCTTACCAGATAGTCGACGACTGTTTTCTTGATAGACGTCTTGTACTCTTTTGCGTCTAAAGTTCCAGCTGAGAGGTCAAGGCTTTCCTCTAGCCGCTCACGCACAATGCGTACAGTGAGCTTGCTACAATGGGCAATGGGCATGAGTCGCGACAAAGTTACAGGACACGGTAACAAAGATATAACATGCCTCAATTTCCCCTCTGCACGAGCTTCTTCTAATAGCTTCGTAGCGGCTTGCTGTATTCTCTCAGTACTTGGTGTGGCCATTAGTCTTGTGAGTTGGCACCGCGCAAGAGAAGTGATGCTTTGCGGATGAATGACATTGATTGCTCGTTGACACATACAATGAATCACGTGGTGCAACCGATCGCTGTGATCCGGGGGCCGGATCGGGCAGAATATCAGGGAATTGGCAGACTCCGGGACCGTCCGGCTGGGTCCGGCTGGGTCCGTCCGGGTCCACCTGCGTCACTCAGTTGGCGTTCTGTATAATCATAATTATCGAGCTTTTACTTTCAAATCAAATTTGATTCGCATTGGTGGCAACAGTAGAACAACATGACAGCGTTTAATCACTTGCTGCGCCATCTTGAACAAGAGCCAGGCACAATCAGTAACACCTCACTCACTTCTCTTTTCCAGTTCATCACTCTTGCAACCCGGCTTAAAAACGACATCATCCTTGTGGAGCCTTCCTTGAGTCCAACTTCAGATCCACCATTTGTTCTATCACCTGCAGTCACTGTGTTTCTTAGTGCAGGCTGTTCAATCTCTCCAGCTGAAGTCAATGATGCATGGTCCCTCCTCAAGGATGTCATTTGGAGTGGAGGGATCACTGTTGATGTGGGACGGCTATGGGAGACACATGGCACTCAAAGGGGTCTAGGTAAGTTCATTTGATTGTGTTGTCACCTCTGTTTCTTTATCTAACGATAGAATGGCCCCAGCTGAGTATCTGCTCTATCCTCCTAGCCACTCATGCCTTCATCCCGACTGCCAACGTCGCGCAAAGGGCATGACTCTCAAGAAGGCTGCTCAAACCTATGTGGTGTTGTTCACGCTGACGAAAGGCCCATGCATTGCAAAATCTGTCCATCTCTACTGTCAAAGTAAGCACTTGCACTCCGCACTCTTGCTTTGAGTCATTATTTTTGTCATTGACAAGGTCAACTAGCTTGTGGAATTGATTACCACCATAATTACAGTGTGTTTAAAGGAGAGCGCACCTATTACGAGCACCAACCAGATAGTGTTCAGGCTGCGGATCATGTGTTCATCGAGAAGAGTGTAATTGAGCTCTTTAGGACTGCAATGGATTTCTCATGGTGCGCTATATGCTATGCTCTTGATCTCTCCCATCTGACTATAAAACTTGGTTGCACCCAGGACTTCAGCTACGAACTGTGCAAAGTTGTATAACCTTTGCCTCTCACATGGTAAGCAGACACCTGCAGACTTTAAAGTCAAGTTTGAGCTTTCTGTCGAGCATGTTTGGGATGGTTATGTAATAACTTCACTGCTGGAGGACTGCGAGCGTCGCATGAACACCCTCATTGCTCCCCACACTGGTGAACAGCGAGACCGATTCACGGAGGCCATGATCGCAAGGAACCGCCGCATTCAGCTTTATGGCTATGAGCAAGTCCGTCGCCACTACTGCAATAGATGCACAAGCATGTATGAAGATGAGCAAGGTGTCGGTGAGTGTAATAGTTTTGAGGCTATGCGGGGCTAAGTCGTAAGATATATACAGTCACGCATAAAGTGTCCGCTGTCGTCGTCGATGGTGTCACTGTCGGCCATCCATGCTGCGCGGTTTATAACTGCCACACCCCGCTGTCTAACAACCACCATCACTTTTGTCATCTACACTCTGGTCAAAATGACAAGTGCGTGATTATCGGCTGTGACCTGCCCATTGTACGTGGCCGACGCACGTGCTCAACACTGGAACATCGTCAAGTCGAGGATACTCACGAGCTGCGTGGTCAATCCAGATTCCAGCTCCAGGAGCGCCTTGCTCGTGCCAGAACTACCATTGCCACCAACACATCTCTCACAGATGATCCACCAGACGAAGAAGAGTATGAGTTCAATGAGAATACCAGGAGAGCACTTCCTGCTACCAGTTCATCCCAGGACAGACCTGGAAGGAAGAAGTTCAGGGCAGTCTTTGGCCGCCGGCGCACACACAACGAGCAGTTGATTGTTGCTCCATGCGGTATGATTATTGCTCGAAGGACTTTCTTTGGAGCGGAGGGAGTAGCCAGTGTCAAGGTATGTATCATCATTCCATGACCATTTCCTCAACTCATGATTATCTGCAGCAATTCATCAAAGAAGTCTATGCAGGCGAAGACGCTGTCAAGCCCAATCACATATTCTTCGACAACAACTGCACCCTTGCAAAACTTGCAATGGGCGATCCTTTCTTTGACAACATTGGCTTGTCCGTCGACGTTTTTCATTTCAAATGCAAGCATTCACAGACCGACACATTCTGCCAGGAGAATTGCAACCCAGAAGCATTCCCTGAGCTCCATAGCGATGATGGGAAGGGTTGGCGGTTCAATTCCTCCGTGGCAGAACAAACAAACAATTGGTTCGGCAAGTATCACCCCATTGCTCGTGAAATGCTAGCTCACAAATTCAACTTCTTTTGTGATGAGTTGATCTTACGGAGGAATCATCGGACAGAGGAGAAGCTGGGCAAGGATGGACACAACCCACGCATATGGCCATGTCAGCAGGTATTTGAGTAGTCAGTAACCACGAATACCCAAGGCTATATTATCTTGCATCCGTTGCTCTGCATCGCCGACCCCTCCTGGGCTAAATTCTACTCAACCTGTCGCCTCACACAACAACCTCCACCAAGTCGAACTATACGTCATCAACACTGTATTGTGCTCGTGCGTTCCTGTTAGTTCTACTACATCCATCAACTCACAAGAATACGATATAGCAATCCCACGCCGGCTCAGCTTAGGTTTGGATATGACACCGACGTATGCACCCCACCGAAAGCCAGTAAACTTGATATCAACGTAGCAACTGCACAGGACTCCAGGAGACGTCGCAGACCACTGGAACGCTCAGGAGCCACCGAGAAGCATCCTTCCTCCCAATTCCACAGCACCAGAGCAGACTGGGCAATACTCAGCGAGAGCGGAGGGTACCAATGCGGTAATGCTGCCGCTAGTAGACCGGTGGTAAGTCCAGGATGTCAGCATGCATGGGGCGCAATGATCTGATTCTTGACCTACAGCAACCACGAAATGGTTCTTGGAACGTCATCGACCAGATTTTCCACGAGCCGAAGAGTCTATCGTCCTGGGGGATTCTCAATTACTCAAGGGTTAATGACCAAACAATCAGTCGCTTCGTCAACACTTTGCTCAACGCATGCAAAAAACTTGGTGCCATCAGTGTTTCTATCTTATGCGTATCTCAAACTAATCCTGTCTATCTTAGGAATGAGTAAATGAGATGTCGAATTTCATTTCTAGCTACTGATCGTTGTCTGGCAGATATATCCCCACCTGCAGCAAGTCAATCATGTGCTGGCGCGTCGTCTGTGGTGAATGTAAGTGCTACGTCGATTCGTCCACCAACGCGTGCTTATTTTATGTTTGGTACGATTTCCGAAGGAGAATACGCGCTCACGGGACAAGAGGAGATTGAGGATATCCCGAGGCCATAAACGCACGCCCATAGACACGTTTAGTCTGCACAACCACTTTACTCGGTCCTCGGCCACACATCAGAGGCTTGGAAGATGGTGAATGTTAATTACGAGAAACAAAACTACAGGAACTAAATGGACACAAGTGTAGACTGTGGGCAATGCGAACAAAACTAAAGAATGAAGTCTTAACAATCAGAGTTGTGTGCACCTACTTGTGCGGCCGTTTCGCCTTCTTCATGAAGGAAGTCCAGCTTCCTTTCTCTGTTCGACCATAATCAATGTAGCGTTGGCGAAGCGATGTGTTGGGCTTGAAGTCCCACACCTTGCGGTTGTCATAAAACGTTGATGCCTTGAATGGTACACCAAAGTGGCCGACAAATGCATCTGCCACACTGCGTCGTCCATCAACCGCCCTTTGACAAGCATTGAAACCACGAGAAATGTCAACCACATAAAAGTCAACGGGCCAGATTGCGACTTTTTCGACGACAATGGCATCATGGCTTGATGATCCGCGTGAAAGAAGACTTCCCGAATCCTCCTTCTTCACGATCGGTGTTGAGTGCATTGACGAGATAGATGATGAGAGCGAATGAGAGTCGGAGGCATCAGAAAGATCAAATGAGTCGGCAAAAGGGCGTTGTTTGCGGCATGGTAAAACACGGCGGGGAGCCTGAGGAAGTGGAGAATGGTGCCGCTTGGTTGTGTGGACAGATTTTGTCGTGTCATCCCCATCACTATCTGTCAATGACAAGATAGATGAAAAGCGCCGCTTGATTGGTGGTTTGAATGAGCGCCGCTTGATTGGTTGAGCTGGCGAGTCATTAGGCACTTCATGCTCATTGTCTGATGCGACTGGCGACAGTGAGGGCATACCAGAGCGAGGTTTGCGAGTATGTGGCACAGGATTGGTAGGAGGTAGAGATGGTGTACGTGAGCTCCGTGCAAGAGATGCAGCACGCACATACTTCCGTTCGCTCGTCAGGTCTGTCATGAGGTTAGCGCTTACTGGGCGTGTCAGTCTGTGAAGGTGCCGGTCAAAGTCTACACACTCCCTGACACGTGCATCCCTCACAAAGAGGATGCCAGCATCGCGCTCATGCAGAGTGACCATGTGGCCCACATCAAACCGTGTCCATGTGTCGAGGGCACGGTTGTACCGCTGGATAGGAGCAATCCTTGCAGGAGCAGGAATATCGGGGACCTCAGAGGTCATGCATAATTTTTGGAGGACCGAGAGTGTGAAGTAGAAGTTGGGTAGTTTGAAGCCGTCTTGAAATTCGTAAATTATGGGCTCAACACCATTCTGAGTCCATGCGTACACCACAACAGTGTTCTTCTCCCGAGCCGCAGCCTGGAGACGTTCAAGTTCACATTGGCGCCTTTCTTCATTCATTTCCTCTTCACGAGCATTTTGCTGCGTAAAGATGGCAGGCATCTGCGTTGCATAGCGTGGTGCTGCTCGGGCTTTGGGTTGTGATGGGCCAGCAACCATGCGTGAAGGAAGCTGCACAGGTTCACTAGCATCTGGAAGCTCAACAGCGCGACCCTTGCCCTTCTGGACTTGTGCAGGAGGCTCAGGAACTTCCGATAAAGAGGCCAAGGGTGGGGACAGACGGACGTCCAAGTCAGAGGGTGCAGCATCAAGAATCAATGCTGGCTGCGAAGGTGGGGGTGGAGGCATAGGTGGACATGCTTGAGGCTGATGAGGTGTTCGAAGCGCCAATGATAGATCCAACACAACAGCGGAGGTATGTCCTTTGACGGAACAACCACCCAACAGGCTGCAATGTGTTCGGCATGCAGCGTTCTCACAATGTGCATGGGGGCGCTTCTTGCAGACCAGGGCAGCACACATAAGGAGCAATGTGGCATTGCTCAAGGCAGCAGGCTGGACGACAGCGGTTGGGACTAGCTGAGCTGGCTGGACGATAGTGGTTGGGGCTAATTGAGCTGCGGCCAAAGTGGGGGAGCTGGAGGGACTGGTTGAGCCCCGTGCCCAGCGAAAGAAATTGCATGGCACTTGCTGCTCGCCAGCAAATTTCTTGCACTTGAGTGATTGGAGTCAGTTGAAATTCAGCAGCGAACGAGTCTGGGAAAGATAGCACTTACCACTGCCACCCAACGGCCCTCATTTCCATTCTCGTTTGACTTGCACCGTCGCCAAGGAACCTCCTCTTTGCAGTTGGTGCATGAGTGGATGAAATCAGGTTGGGGTTGAGCCAGTCGAGCATCGAGGACAGCCTGCCATGATGGTGCACCCCGCGAGGTGGATGGGGTATTCATGGTTGTCAAGAAACCTGGTGATCGGAGGATATCAGCCATATTCATCTGGCGGGCACAAAAATAAACTTACCAACGTTATCTAGTAGCTTGAGGATCGCATAAACATTGAGAAATGAATGACATGCTGTGGAATGTAGTAGTTAGTACTCAGGAAATACAGGTCGTATTAGAAACTTACAGGTAGCATAGAGATTGAGAGAACACATACCGGGCGGACGTGCAAAGGCGTGCTGGCGGCAGTGGTTGGTTGAAAGCAAGAGATAAAGCATAAAGATAACCAATGGCGCATCATGTCGTGAACCGGACGGATCCGCACTCGGGCGGACCCAGCCGGACGGACCCGGAAAATTCCATTTCCCGGATGTCCTCGGATCGGGTAAGTTTGATATCTACCCGCGCATAAAACTTGAAGCTTCAAGACAAAGAAAAGTCATATTCACACTAGTGTATACGGGCGCCTGAACAAATATATATATAAGAAACCTATAACCTATAGCTTTGCCTTAGTCGACACTAGGGAAGCGCCGTGCTGCAGTATCTTCGCTGCATCTGACACCATCTCATCCACAATCTGCTGAGCAGGCAGCACTTCATTGATCAGTGCTGCCACTCTTCCTATTAAGAACGTTCTAGCCTCTAGCGACTTCTCTGGGTGTTGTTCAATATCCCAAGTCGCAGGAATAATACCCTTGGATGTAAGTTCCTTAATCTCCGCCTGGCGATTGTTATTCCTAAAAGAGACATTGAAACAAAGAAGCTAAACCGTAACAAGGTGGAAACATACCAGTCCTCGACGTACGGCGTTCTCCTGACTCGGAGGGGTCGTCCGGTAAAGATCAGAGTCGTGACGGCGTCCTCGTATCCTGCGGTTACGAGCGCATCTTTGTGTGCCTTGGGCGCATTTGCTTCCGTGGATGCAACAAATCTGGTGCCTACCCAGACCGCTTGTGCTCCCCACGCCAAATTTGCGGCGAGTCCGCGCCCATCGTACACCGCACCAGCGCCGATAACGTACACCGGCTTCTTTGTCAGCGGAGAGACATGTCCGCGACATGCGTCAACGACCGCAGGAATGAGGACTGATGCCGGGACATCGCCTGTGTGACCACCGCCTTCCCCGGCCTGAGCGCAAATTAGATCAACTCCCATTGCAAGTGCTTTCGGGACATGTTTGGGATGTCCGACCATCTGGGGCATAGTGAGCACACCGCCCTCGTGATATAAGAAGAAACTCACGTTCATGACGGGTATACCTGCGCTATGTAACTTATCGACTACCTGCTGTGGTGGCACACCGACAGCGCACACGAAAAGAGCCGCTTTCTCCTCGATGATGATATCAATGAGCTCATTTAGTTTCCCATTTTGGTAATCATACTGTAGAGGATGATTCAGCGCCGGAGAACTGACACGTAGCACAAGACTTGCGTTTGTTTTCCTTGCATTCCCGCCAACCTGAGGGATGAGTAGGTCAACCCCAAATGGTGCATTTGGATTCTTCAAGTCCTTCTTGATAGCTTGAATCTATGCGACGGAGTTGTATTTAAATATCCATGTGAGCTCAACTCTCGCAGCGATACGCACCTGCTGCCTGAGCACCTTTGGGGTATAGCCGTGCCCACCGATAACACCTAGTCCACCTGCATTCGTCACTTCAGCTGCCAGTTCCGGACCAGCCGCCACATTCATGCCTACAAAGTCATAAGAATCCTTGGAGGGTAACACTGGAGTTATGGCACGAACCTGCGAGCAATATGGGATGTTTGATCCCAAAAAGCTCGGTGATTGGTGTAGATATGATGACAGACATCGTGTCAGATGGTGGAGAGAGAGATGATGGATTTCAGAGGGAGACGACGTGAAACTCGTTTGAATCAATAACAAGGGCCGGTAAGCGCCTGTTATGCTATACAATAATCATGTGCATGTAGTGTTCCGAGTCGGAAATGTATGCCTCCGGTTATTAGTAGCCGAATCATCCACGTAAGGGAATTACCATGCCCACCAACTCCCACCCCGCTTACGGGTACAGTAGAGTGAAAATCATGTGCCATGTACAAATCATCTCAAGTTATCCTGGTAGGTATATATGACAGCAATGGAAGGGTGTAAGATATATGAATGAGTGTGTGCGTGATATACATGAGATAGATGTCCATGTCAATGAATAATGCCCCCTGAACAGCCAGGCGACGCAACAAAATGAGACATCTAGATCAGGAAGGGTTTCCGGTGTCAGGTGGAGGGGACTTGGTACCAGACTGCATTAACCGGCGGAGACGAGCCAGCTCACTCGCCAAAGTTCTATTTCAACCAATTTCGTAAGGCCAAGGCGTGGGGTAAGAAAGAAGTACTGCGTACCTCGCAGTCTCCACTGCCTCATCGCTTTGATGAGATCGGAGTTCAACCTGTGCCTTCACTTTGATGATCTCCTCGCGGAACTCTTCTTCGACCTCTTTCCTGATTTTCTGCTCTTCATTTTTGAGGTCCTTCACAGAAGCTTGCTGACGCTGCGCCTCCTTCATCTCATCTGCGAGAAGCTTATACTTCTTGCCAATTGATTCGGCTTCTTTTTTTAGCTTGTCCTCGCGCTTCCGCATCTCTTCACGAAGTCTATCGGTATCATGCTTCCAACTCTCGGTCATGCTTTTGATGCTATCCCGCAATGTAATGTACTCGCGTTCAGCCTTCTGGGAAAGGGCTGTTGATTCAAGGAGAGCAGATTCCATCTCGCGCAGGGACTTTTTGGAGGTCGCAGTCTCCGTTTTCAGCTGAGATTTCAAGGTTGCTGCCTCGGCTTCAGCTTTGCGGGCCCGCTCAAGAACCTGCAATTGGTCAGTAGAGAAATTATGATAAGGCTGACTAACCTCTTGTAACAACCTCTCCTTTCTCGCTACAACATTGTTAAGACCTTCATTTTCCAGTCTGAGGCGTTCTCGGCCTTCTTTCAAATCCTCGGTCTGTCGTGTCAACTGTGCAACAGTCCGCTGTGAGAGACGAAGCTGAGACTTGGTGTTTTCCAAGGCGTTGCGAGCATTTATAACACCGGCCTGGAGATCTGCCAAAACTTTAGTTGTCCCCCCAGGTGTAAGGGAGATGCGTCTATTAGGAGATGATGGAGCCTGTAGCGCAGAGGTGGAAGCATTCAAATTGTCTGAGTTATTGCCAACATGAGTGTCAATCGGTAAAATTGCTGGCGAGGAGTTAAGAGCTGGAGAGAGACCATTGTCGGCTAACGCACGGGCATTCCCTAATAGTATTAAGTCACCACGTTCACGATGAGGGAAATCCTGGTTGCAGGGGAGGTAAAGAAATACTGACCTACGGAAGCTACAGGTATCCCTAAAACAAAAAGTTGTCAATATAACGAGGGAACAAAGGCAGGTGTGACGTACGACTCAGTGTACGCGTTGGACTAGACATTCGTTTAATGTTCACTGCAGGTCCGGGACTGCCGCCGAAATCCATGGGGATACCTTCGCGGATTCCATCGCGTTTCAATATTGGTGCCGCACTTTCTCTCCTCGGGAGCGGAAGGTTTGACTCGCGACCAGCGAGGCCTTGTAAAACATCGAAACTGGAGCGACGTTGCATTTTTGGAGTTGAAAAGCTCGTAGTGTACGACACAGGACAAGGACTTATATCCAAGACGTCCTCCGACGAGGGTTGTGGAGAGTGAGAGGGTGCCATAAAGCCAGGTGGGAGCGGGCGTGATCCACGCAAAATGATATTTTCCAAGCTGTGCAACTGTGCCTGTTGATGCCGAATAGAATGCTTCAAGGTCGACATTTGGTTACGAACAACCACTATGAAATAGAACGAACCGAGATAGTTGAATGAAATCTGAATGGACAGGTGAAGGAGTTATACCTGTATCGTTTTGGGGTACTGACGGGCTCGAAGCGCGTGCAGAACGCAGGGAGCCGCGTGAAGAAGACCTTGACTCGGAGAGCGGACGAGAAGGAGAGTGCAAAGAATTAGACATGCACAGGCAATATGGATATCAAATTGATCGTGATGGAGCCCTTGTCCGCAAGAAATAATCAAAATTTCAGTTGTTTCAAAGATTTAAGGCGCTGCCTTTAAATCAGCGGGTCCAAGAAGACCCTGTTAATGCTCTTGAGATGCAGCCAGAGCTGTTGTAGGCTGTGGTTAGCGCTCGCAGTTGGCCCGAGATTGCCAGAGTCTGGTCAGGCCTTGTTTATCTCTGTTTGTGATGTGCCAAGAAAGACGCGGTCACGTGGCTGTGGACGCGTTTGTCCAGTTTCTACTTGAAGCTTGTTCCACGACAATGAATCTCTTTCAATCCAAGTTTCGTCTGTACCACTAACATCTGACAGATTGCTCCAACATGGCTGAATGTGGCATCTGTTTAGAGGATATCAAGAAGCCTGTCTGCATTCCGTGTGGTCAGTCCTATTCCGATTCAGACTTCTGCATGCGATGACCTGTTCATGTCATCTAGGTCACGTTCACTGTGAAAAATGCCTACGTGCCCATATAAATTCCGGAAATGATGCTTTGAAATCTTCGTGCCCGTCATGTCGAAGCATATTCCACATTGGTATGTTTCATGTTGCGCGAGGAACTGTCTGCTCAGACTACTTACTATCATGCAGCTATGCCTGATCTATCTTTTGTTCCCAAAAAATACCATGATTTCATGGTTCCCAGCGTGCGCAAGTTGTACTTAGATATTGCTTCTCCTGCTCCGTTGGTTGCCGAGATCGAGCAACTCAAAACACGCGTCGCTGCGTTGAGTAGAGATAGGGATGCTCTGATGGAGAGATGTGAGGCACACATGGCAGCTTCTCGTCAGTATGCCACAAATGAGAAGGATGCTCGTTTAGAAGCCAAGGCTGCTCGTGAAGCCACCAGCCGGCTGCAGGTGAAGTATGATGCTTTGGAAAGAGAATTCCTGGACCAGTACGTCTTCTACCAATGAACTTACATCCTGTTGCTGACTCGCACCAGTTCATTCATGTCCCAGACATCTCCCGACGGCCGAAAACGTAAAGGCAGGGAGAGCGCCGATAACTCGCGCATTTCCTTCTGCCAAGAAGAACTTGTCACCAAGTCAGACGTGAAGCTCGAAGAGCTCCCTGATGTACTCGACTTTGCACCTTCACGCCTGAAGCGTGCGCTTCCCAGATCAAGCGTGGCTTCATCCTCACAGCGCGAACGATCCCACGATCCTCCTCCTCGTTTTGTTAAGCGTCAGCGGCGCGCAAGACATTCAGATATTGGCCCGGAATCACAGACTCAGATGCCTGCACCGTGCGAAGGTTGCGAGGCGTGTCACGGAATCTACAGTCAGTAAAATCATGTAGACAAGGCCACATGGATCATGCCCTCTCACTTCTCTGTACAGTGTAGATATTGATACACATGTATTGATATTTATTTGCAATGATAATATCTGCTTACCATTTAATTGTGCCGTCCCACACAATGGCACAGATTCATTACTAGGTAGACTAGGGACTCGATACTGCCAGCCTACCAGATTATTGTATCCACCATATCGTAAGCATTGGACTCGTCCGTGGTTATATAAGCCAGACTAGTCCAATTGTGAACTAAGTATAAAGCTTCTAACATTACATACTTAGGCCTTAGGCTTTAAGTGGCGTTGATAAGATCAGCTAGTAGTAGCTATCGTGCGTAAACCCTCGAGATTAGGATTAGCCCTGAATACAAAGATAAGTAAAGTAATTCACACTGGTGGACATCACCGTGACTGTATGCATCCATTTTTTCACTGCCTGAGATAGCTGAACACTCACTTGAAGCTTCTTAGCAACCTCCTTTTTTTGTCTATCGAGTGACTGGATCGGATCATCATATGGGACAATACATACCTCCCCACCCTATCACCTCACCCCTGAAGTCGCGAATGCCCCAGTATGAACCCTCACTATACCCACTAGTCCGCCGTTCCTGCCGCTATTCTAGACAGCATTTCAATGAGAACAAGACCAGTGATTTCAATATATTTACACGGATATACATGTGGTATCGTTTAGAAGAAACGCCTTCGTTTATAAAGGGTTCTCTAGGCGCGCGGTTGAAAGAAACAGGTCACGTCGCTCCCGGAAGTACTTATCTGATATTCGCTCGTTCCTCGGCCTAGATCTTATCGATCATCACCTATCAAAGGAAAAATTCTCATGGGGAAAAAAGACCCCAGCCACCCAACCCTGCACATCCTCCCAACTCAAGTTCACGCGTCCTTAGGTCTGACTGGAGAGTCGGGACCCGTGGCAAACACGGCGTCCTGACTGCCGCCGAGATTTAACCCTGTTGATCCATCCGTTCCTTCTATCGTTAGCCGACAGAAATCAATTGAAATGTCGGCCAGCTGTGAGCGCATTCCCGCGACCTAGTGGCGACACACACTTGGGTATGTGAGATATTTGATATATCGTGACAGTCACGGTACCTCGAGGCGGTAGTTTCAATGAATCGTCAGTACGTATACTCCGAGTCCGTCAGTGATCGGAACGGCACGTACCCGATGCGTAGTGTTCTGGACAGAATTCTGCCACATATGGAGCAGAACTTGACACCGTGACTGCCAGGTAGGTGGCAGAACCTCCTGGGCAGAATGTCATAGGCAGAACTCAGGATGTACAAGTTGGAGTGCCATTAATTTTTTCCCTTAATTCTGCCACCTACCACATTAACAACAGAACATGGTTTTGCCAAGCTCTGCCAGCTCTTCCGGCAGAACTGCAAGATAGTTCTGCCCACGACACTACCAGCGATGCGACCGTGACGATGATCTGCGGTCTTCTGCAGCTGTACTTGATTCATGGGTATATCATATAGTAGTAAGTGATGTGGCAGTCCTCTGAACACATGGACTGGAAGCATGTTCATCTACAAATTAGTAGCCAAAACAACTCATCATAGGCGTGTCACGTCTTGACGGGATATCACCGTGTTGATTCATTTCGAGGACTCGCAAGGCGCTGCTAGAGTCAGGTACTCTGGTCGGGGTCCTGCTGAAACCGCTCCTCGGATCAGGCTACTTGGGTAGATCAGACAGGTTGGCCGAGACTTGTGTCAGAAATCATGTGTCCGATGGCGCAATCTATGCGACCAGAACCTCGTGAAATGGAGATGCAGCCACGGCGAGGGCCAATTTTTCATGTCATCTTCGACGTCTTGGGCTCGTTGTTGACAACATTAGAGGGAGTAGAACTAAGAAGAGGACGCGAGTAGTAATAGGTAGAAGGGGTATGTTAATGTATAACATAAGCACGTGCGCAGTATATTCTTTATATTTTATTACCTTGCCAAGCCTCACTTTATTATGCGAAATAAATTGTATGTAAACAACTATTTAATTTTCTCCGGATGAGAGAGCTCCGATACTGGTAAGATCCATTTTTGACTAGAGACAAAAAGCTCAGGATTGTCCGGCGGATTCTAGCCTATATGTATTCCTATACATAGCGTGCAAGAAACGCTTTTTGGTTGTATCAGCCTCCCGTTCTGTGTCAAGAAGGGGAAATGAAAAGATACCCTCGGATACGGTGTAGATAGCCAGAATAAGGATGAAGTAATAATGAAGGCCTAAAAGGCATGCAGGGCCATTGGAAGCGAAACAGACCACATGTCAGTGGGGAGCACCGCAAGGCTGTTACCAAATTCTCTAATTCACTTCTACTCGCATCAAATTACTTATAAGATTCCGAATTGCGCCTTTGTCATGTTACCCTTGCCTGCTAACTAGTCCTCACAATGCCCGGCGAAGCCAAAGCGCCATTCAATAATGCAAAGGCAGATATCATCTTGTGTTCTTCAGACAATGTCTACTTCCGCGTCTTCCGCTGCATGCTCGCACTTTCCTCTCCATTCTTCGAGGCGATGTTCGACCTTCCCCGACCAAGTAGGGACCACTGTAAAGATGAGATGTTTGACGGCCTAGACGTGATTTGGGTGTCAGAGAACAGCAGGACACTCGACATGCTATTGAGATTTTGTTATCCGGCAGCGGTAAAAGATCCCGGTTTGGAGGACATTAATGACGTGGAGCAAGTCCTGGAGGCTGCAATGAAATACGGGATGGAAGATGTTGAAGAGAGGGTGAGGAAAGCCATGGTTACCCCATCCCTCCTAGAGAGCAACCCCGTACGCGTCCTTGCGATTGCATGTCGGTTTAGTCTCGAACCAGAAGCCAGGACTGCGGCACGATATTCGCTTCATCACACAGCCCCAACACATGATTCCCTTGCTGCAGAACACCTTCCTAATAACGTCATTCAGGGCCTTGTCGCATATCGCTCTAGGTGCGGCCAAGCGGCCAAAACGCTCTGCGACAATCTGGACTGGCTGAAGAAGTCACAGACGCACAGTTTCTACGAGTGGTGGACAAACTGCTGTCCATGTAACTCAAAGGCGGACGTCAGGTACCTGATACATGGAACTTATCCGCGGGAGTGGTGGGCGGATTACATGGACAAGACATCCATTGCCTTGGAAGAATCTCCTTGTGGTGCAGTATTGACGAAAAACTTGGAAGAAGCTGTCGAGAGGGCAAATGGTTGTCCCTCATGTCGACGGAGGGCGCAAGACCAGATGGTTCAGTTCACCGGGACTTTTGCTCGGGAATTGGACAAAGTCATTGCCGAGGTGCGCGAATAGCCGAATTGCGGTTGTCGTAAAATCTAAACTTGCCTCTGCAGATCGCTTTAGATATCGCCATTTGATGCGAGGTCGACACGACTACCTGCACTGCACTTGCGCATCAAAAATCAGTGGAGACCGCTAGGCTCAGCTATTTTGATCTATCACAGCTGAACCAGCTTAGAATTACCCTGTTATCAAGGACTTACTAGTAGAGCCAGTATCTGCTGTACGAGCACTTCTGGTGAGTTAGACATATAATAGATATTTAGACTGTAGAGAACTTTCCATCTAATGACAGAACAACAACCACTTACTGCACGTTACTTGGTATCGTGATCATCGTACAACTTTTGCGCTTTCCCTAGAAAATCTGTGTGCAACACGTTCCTATAATCTGGAAGCAAGTCGATGCCATCGAATGGTGAGAGCAGGATTATTTTTACATAACAGTTCAAGAGCAGATAGGAATTAAAATTAAAATTAAAACCAAGTTTAGTTAGAGCCATCCCAAAGGGGAACTTCAAGTCATTCTCATTCACATGTTGTCTCAGACTCCTTCCACGCTGCGGGCGCTGGAAATGCTTGTCGCAGAAGTTACTGCAGGAAAGTTGTAACCTAGCTCTCAGCAGAATCCTCCCACAATGGACACATGTACAACTTTGTACAAGTACACCAGCATCGAAGACGTTGATTCACGGCGGATACCAGTCGACGCTGGAGCCCCCTTTGACAGAGGGGATATCATATTACGCAGTGCGGACAATGTTGATTTCCACTTTCACAAGCTATTGCTGTCCCTAGCATCATCTTTCTTTTCAAACATGTTCTCTTTACCTCAGCCTGACTCTCTCGATGATGCTGCGGACCGGACAAAAGACGGTCTCCCCATCATACCAGTAACAGAGAATAGCGTCATTTTGCAGAAGCTGTTGAGCTTTTGTTCTCCTGTCTACGACACAGACGTGCCCGCTCTCGAGAACTTGGACATCGTCATGTCTGTCCTCGATGCCGCCGATAAATACGACATGAAACGAGTCGGTATATTCATCGTTAGAATGATAACGGCTCCTAGGTTTCTAGAGAAAGAACCTATGCGGGTCTTTGCTATCGCATGTCGCTACCGCTCGGAAGCAGAGACTCTTGTGGCGGCGAGATATATGCTGCGTTTTGCAGTGTGGGAGCCTGCATATGTGTCTGAATTGGACTTCATCTCTGGTTCAGACTTCCAGCGGTTGGTCAAGTACCACACAAATTGCGGTCAAGCTATGACCCAGCTTACCCGTCTTTGGTCTACGTATCCCCTACCGCTACTCGACTGCAAGTTCTGTCGCAAGAAGGGGGTTTCTCGCTTGTCCCTCAAAGAATATCAAGATAGTGTCATAGAAACACTCCGCATTCGACCATCTGTGGAAAGCCTTCTCAATCCCGAGTGGATTGACAGTATGGTTAGGAGGGCTGGAAGTTGTATTGGTTGTAAAGAGAGAGCGCCGAGGGCGCTTGCTGAATATGCAAAGGAGCTTGCCTTCCCGGTAATGGCGATTATCCTGGAGGTGAGTTCTCTCGCGTTTGACTGACTGCCTGTGATTTACCTCCTCGCAGATTCCCCTGGACATCGATTTTCGCTGATAATATTTATCTCACCATGTACTAGAATCAAGTCACAAATAGTTTCATGCTTGGCACACTTTCCTAGGCATATTGCAGTGGGCAGGTTCTCTTTCCAGAATTCCCTTGGCACGCAGGATAATGCGAATATCCGGATTGATGGGATTGAGATTTCGTCAAAATACAATAATTTGCAGCTGTGAGCAAATGTCTTTACCTCTATCCTGTTTTGTCATTTCACGTTATACAGCTTTCCCGATTCTAAATATTGCACACTGATGTGCACCCCAGGCGGGGTACAAGTAACCACCGCCGAGTCTGAATCAATCAGCGCGCTCCCGATTACTTACCTGACGATGCCCCTCATGCGATGAAATAAATACCATCCTTGTCGCCCGTCCGAACTATGTGCGTCGGCAAAATTGACCATCGAACAACTGCAACTACTATCGCACTGCGATGACAATGGGATGTCATACTGCGATCCTCCGAGGACTGATAAGGTCCATTTTTGTACCCTGCAATTTTGTGTCACATGCAAGTCCTCGATTTTAGGAGTAGATCCGACCCATGTCCCTGAGGTATGGGTACGGTGCACTTATTCCGAAAGTGGATGGTCTCACCAAAAGTTATAATACATACACAAGACTACGATTCATCTCTTGTGAGAAAGAAACGATAGCTTGTTCCATCAATCCCACATACGCATTGACAACTTGCAACTTAAGTCGTCCGCCGCCGAAAACATTATCATATTTTCGCTGTCATGTGTTTGAATACTCGTGTCTCCCTTCTATTGATCCCAAAAACAATTACTTTCGCACTCTTTTCTGGGCTAGTCCTGCCGGGTAAGAGCGGTCATGTTCGATCAACTTCTAGTCAGTAGTAGCACTGTAGCAGAGCTTGGGGTCTCGAGTCTCGACCAGGCTAACTTTGTTCCAAGCAGCACGTGATGAAACGCGGTCACGTGGTCTTGGGCCACCCTAAATCGAGTTGTCGTGATCTGTAACAACATCAACTTCGGTAAGTCGTTATCGTGTGTATGAGAACTGACGAAATTTTAACCATCCAAAGGATCCTCAACATCATTCAAGATGGCGATGCTTGAGACACCGTCTCGAATATGGCGTAGAATTCAAGCTGCAGACGAAGGAGAGCCACCTTCTCTTCCGTCACTACCTGCCTTCGATTCTGGTGCACAAGACTCAGACTCAGACTCAGACTCAAACCAACATTCAACTGACGATGGCCCTGTTATCTTGCCGGTGCATTCAACACCCGCCCCTGCCTCAGCGCACACGGCGACCTCAACTATCAGGCTACAATCAAGTACTTCCAGCACAGCACGCTTTGCAAGCTCTCTTACATCACGCTCTGTATCAGCCAAATCTTCCTCTGCCTCTAGAACATACCCATATCCTCGGAGCCCTGCACAAAGCTTCGAAGTGAGTGCCATTACCTCGCTTCCCCACGAGAGCGACGAGAATACAGAACCAGAAGACTTGCCTCTCGCACATAGTAGGCACAGTGTTCCGGAGTCTCATTTACCGCCAGAAGAGAATGGGGTGGACGATATGTCTTTGGAGGATGCACTACAGTCGGTCAGTCGCTCTAGTTCCCCGTTTTCTCCCGAAATCCCTCTGGACAATCCTACGCCGAAGAAGAAATACGATTACTCGATGTCATTGCGTTCTGAACTTCAGGTGAATGCTTTGCTGCTTGCTTCTCACTTTTAAGCTCAATGTGTCCCAGCAATCGCCATTTGACAAATACCGTAATGTTGCACTACGAAAACCATTCGCACGGACGAGAACGCCGTCACTTTCCCGGACGACGCCTTCTCCTGTCTCATCACCTCCAAACTCCACGCCTCGCAGCAACAGATCTATTCCACTACCTATAGAGACACCGTCACCGACTCCTGGTGTTTACGTTCCGTTACCTCGTTCGAGAACTGCCTCTCCAGCTGTCACTTCACTCCCAAGCGTCGTGATACAGCCCCCTGAGGATGAGAGCAGTGATGAACAAGAGCTTTCTCCAGCACATTCACAGGACACACCACAGGAAAGTGACCCCGAACTAGGGCAGGAGGACTCTGGCACGCAATCGGACCGCGAGCCCACATTTTCATCCGCATCGTCTGATCCAAGCAATCAAATCAACAACGACCGAACCATAGGTGCTCATTCGACAGCGTTTATATCGCCTGCCAGATCAGTGTTAGATTTCACACCCGTTCCGCGCTTTCGTACGCAGTTCAACATCCCACCTGCATACAATGAACCAGGTACAGATGCGGGCGAAGAGCTCCTCACACCTCATGCCCGCAGGCGATCATTTCTTCTTTCAGTCATCAACTCCACTGCCAGACCGCGCATGAAGTTTACCCCTCATCCCCACAACCGGCTCAGTGCTCTCCCTGTGTCGCAGAGCTCAAGTGGGAGCAGCGAAAACGCATCCGGTGTCAGCGCAACGCCCGTGGGTCCGATGCGCACCGCATTTGCTGGTATCACTCCTCGGCCTGGACGGGGGCGGGGACGCATGTCGCACCCTCTTGCGCAGGCGCATGTTCCAGACAGTGCATCCTCTACAGGTGAAAGTGAGCATCTCGCATCCCCCTCTGACATCGAGCTCCGCGGCGCATCGGCTTCGTTCCTCTCCACTGCGTCCTCACAGGATCTCACCACACACCCACGTGCCAACACCTCGTACGACCCTGCGCTTGGCACAGGTCAGCGCGGCGTGGCCCGCTTCGATGCGCCGAAGCTGAATCATTATCTTCACACACTGAACTCGAAACTACAGGAAGAGAACAAGGTACTCGTTGACCGGTTGAGGAAGTACGAAGAGGTGAAGGATGCTGATCAGCGACGGCTCAGTTTGGAAAGCATGGGCTCTGGAAAGGCGCGAAGGGTCAGTGCAGGGAGTGGACTGGGCGATGTGGAGGAGGCGGGGGAAGAAGGGTGGGCAGAGGAGAAGAAAGATTTGGAGGAGCTGGTCGAGAGTCTGGAGGCTCAGCTCGACGAGCTGGCAGGGGCGAAGGAAAGCGTGGACCAGGACCTTGAGACTGAGCGGCGTGAGCGTGCACGAGATAAGGAACGTTGGCGGGAGCGTATGCATGAGGTCGAGAATGGTGTTGCAGATATCATGGGTGACTTGGAGCAGAAAGTCGCAGAGAGCGAGCGAGTTCTGGAAGAGACGACGAAGGAGGCGGAGCGTATCCATGAACGACTTCAAAGCGAGCGTGACCTTGCGCTGGAGAGGGCTGGACAGGCAGAGGCGGCAATGGAGAACGGGAAGGAGCTTGGAGGCGCATTGAAGGAGGCCAACGCGCGGATCAGCATTCTCACAGCCGACCTGCAGAGTGCGACCGCACAGATCAAGGATCTGGAGGATGAAATAATGACGAGCGACCACCGTGTTGACGAGCTCGAGAAGGAACTCAAGAAGGAGCGGCTCTCCGCCAAGCTGGCTAACGATGATCTTCACAGCCAGTTGAGCGAGATGGGGGCTGAGATCATACGCTCTAGTGCTCGGTCATCTGAACTCGAGAAGGACCTCAAAGCTCAAGAAGCTGCTGCAAGACGTCTACAGCACGAGCTGGAAGCAAAGGCAGAGGAGCTTGCAGAAGCACAGCAGCTCATTGCACATTCTGGCAATGATATCAACGAGGAAGTTCGCGAACTTAAGACCTATACTGCCGAGCTCGAAGAGGCTGCTGCTGCGACAACTGAACGCATCCAAGACCTCGAAGAGCAGCTCACCTCCGCTCAAACCCACTTTGACCAGTTGGAGGCCGAAGAACAGGAGGCTAATGATCGTGCTGAAGCACTGGAAAGGGAAAAGGAAAGGGCATCGCTGCTGGTCAACCAAATGGAGGACGCTCTTGAAGCTGCGGAGCAGAAGATGCGCACCGACCAAGAAGTTGTCGCAGATCTCAAGGCCAAGATTTCCACCCTTGAAAGAGAAAGAGAACGTGAGAGGGAGATGTCTCGACTTCTGAAAGGACGGCATTCAGACGAGAGCAATGCTGAACTTGAGAATGCACTCGAGGCAGAGCTCGAACAGGCGCACAAAGAGATCGCGAGACTCGCTGAGCTCCTTCAACACTCTCCTGCACGGAAAGCCATTGATGCTGCTAAGGACCAGAGGATCGAGATTTTGGAGAAGGACAAGGAGGAGCTCCAGGCACGTATCAAGACCCTCCGATCAACTAGCTTTGAGGCGGCAACTCCAAATAAGGTGGTCAACCTCAGTGGAATCTCACCCATTCATCGGCATGTATTATCGATGTCTGTTAGGGCTCCAAAGACACCTGGAGGTCCTCTGAAAGATGTAAGCTTACATCATAATATTCGAGGATTCTTTGTTCATGGAAACTTAATAGCTTTCCTGGCTGAACAACACCACCGGCGATGCGTCAGTATCGCCGCTATTAACCGAAATCGCTCGTCTTCAAACTGAACTTGACCGTGCCAACGATAATATCGATCAAAAGCTCGATGAACTGGAAGATGCTGGGTTGGGAGTCGTGTCCCTCACTAGAGACCTTGAACTTGCCCGATCCCAGATTTCTCAAATGGAAAACGAGATGGGAAGGTTACAGAGACGTGAGGAGCGTCGACTTCACCGACTCCAAAGGCTTCGTTGTCAGAAATGTATGGTCAAGGTGGACACATCAGCATTGCAACGATTTTACGACGCCGATGAAAGGTGCGATTCATGGCGCATCCTTAGCGTGATATCCTGACACAATATTTCTAAGCTTTTTGGATGTGTCGCATAGTGGTCTCCTCTCCAACCCCCCGACACCTCCGACGAAGACCAGCGAAGCTCTTAGGTTGGACCTTCATGCAGTAAATAAGAAACTGGATACGATGAAACAGCGATGGGAGGAAGAAAAACGCCACCTTCTAGGAGAAAAGGCGGTCCTTGAAGATGCTGCGGACCGGATGAACATGGAAGTACGAAGCGCAAAGGAAGAAACGAAGAGAGCGACTGAAGCTAACCGACGATCGAGAGCTGATACTCGGGAAGTCGAGAGGGTGAAGGCTGCCATTGCTGACCTCGAGGCTGAGCTGCAGGCAGAGAGGACGCGTCTCAGACAGATGTCGGTGGAGCAGAACCGCGTCCAGCGTGAGAAGAGTGATGTGGCTCGTCAACTACAACGAACTGAGGCGGTGGGTCCCTTGACTATAACCAGAAGCATTTTAACCTATAAGTCATCAGGATATCGATGATGTCAAGAGACAGCTCCAGAAAGCCAAACGCGAAAATAATGAACTAGAGACCGAGTTGCGAAGTGCGTACCGTGCCATCTCTAAATTATCATTCCTGATTGGCAAGTACAGCCAATGCAACCATCGAACAGCAAGCTCGTCTCCTAGAAGGCAAAGTCAAAGAAAACGCAGAAACAATCGATCAGCTGCGGCAAGAGCGGTCTCTTCTTGCAAAGGACCACAAGGAGCTTCAGCGACAGTTCACTGAAGTATCAGAAGTGAGTGTTTCTTCCTGTAACAATATTGGATTGCGCCGACACTTGAACAGCGAGTCAACAAGCTTCGCAATGACTATGCAAGGTCACAGTCATCACACGACAACCGCCGCCATCAACTCGATTCGCATCTCGGTGAAATTGATGACCTCAGGCGTGCGCTCTCCAATCAAGCCGACGAACTACAGCGTAGCGAGGAGGAGAAAAACCGCATGGCCATTGAGAAGACCGATGTTGCACGCACTGTTGCAGCCCTTGAATCCGACCTTAGACGTGTCAAGCGAGATGCCGAGGCGTTTGGACGTGATCTCAAAACTCTGCGAACAGAGAAAGAGAAGCTGCAGGAGAAACACAGGAATGAATTGACGAAAGCTGAGCGAGCCAAAAAGCAGGCCCAGACTCAGATACGTCTCCTGAACGAGCAGCTCAACGGCCAGCATACGAAGCTAAAGACGGCCCAGGAGAAGCTCAAGATCAAGGATTATGGATTTGCTACGTGGGTGACGACATACTTTCGTGCTGTATCTTGATGCTGAACAAAAAAATTAGCGATGGCTACCAGCTTGTCGAGCTGAAAAAACAGCACAAGGAAGAGTGCAAAGGCCTTGTCGTCCAGATTCGGTACCTCAAGGCAAAGTTTACCCGCGAGTCTACCTTGCGAGATGATCTCGTATACCAGAAACATTATCTTCTTGTTCTCCTCTCGAACTTTGAGGCCAGGTACGGGCATTTTCTCTATCATTATGCTGTACGTTTATCTTGTTCGACAGTGAGAAGCGTATACTGGCCTGCATATCCCGGATAGGATATCCCAAACCGAAAAACCCACCAGCAATTATGAAGAAGACACGCTCGATAAAGAGTGTTGTGCTTAGTGTCATATTTATACGGCGTGTGAGGTATGTACCCAGTCATTGATCCCAAGTTTCCGTCTTGATTGATGTCTTTTCAGGCAAGTTAGTGAGGCTTGGCGAGAAGCAAGTTCAAACAAACAAGCGATTTCCACCGCGCTACAAGAAGTCCGTCGTCGAAGAGTCATTGCAGTTACCTCGTAGCCCTCACTCTGCGATGTCTTTTCGTTTGGCCAGATTGTTGTTATCATAGATGTTGTATTATTAGTTCGGTATCCTAAATCAAGATCTTGTACACCCTGCACCAGGCCTGGTAGTGCGGAAACCTGAATTGCGCGTTATGAAGGTGGAAGCTTCTTACGTGTCTCCGATACTATTCGCACAGCATCCTTGGAAAACACGTAGGACAACCCACTCCAAACCGTTGTCACGGCCACCAAAATTCTGAACATGTCAGGGTAAGAAAAGACATGAATATATGACCAGCTTACTGCATTTCAGGTACAAACAGGTTGTATTGTACAGGCAGGATGGGGGTGACAGTCGTAGCGCACATTAACGCGAGTTGAGCAAAGGTATTGTACTGCGAATGATAACTTAGCAGATCACAAAATGAGGCGCAAAGAGTCCTACCTTGCTGATTGTGGTGGGCCGTACTTCAGCGGATGGTATAGAAAAGTCCCAATATCGAGAGAAGGTTTTCTAAAGAAATTGGTGAACGCATACTAACAAAAACGCCTGACACGTACTGGTGCGGGGAGTGATGTATAACGAATGTAAAAGGCAGAAAGACTCAGCAACACATCGCGCCCGATGATTATTGAGGCCAGTGAGACTAGAGATGGGCATCAGCCGAATAAAAATAGGCCGCTATTGAGTTGAGTTTGCTTACTAGGAAGCAATCCTTTCATAGCCAAGGTCACCGTGAGGGTGGTCATGAGAGTTTTGTCCGCGGCAGGGTCAAGAATGGTCCCGAGAACTGAATGCATGTTGAAGCGTCTTGCCAGGTATCCATCGGCCTTTAGTCAAAGCTCAACTTTTGATCAACCTAACCATTCGTAGGGTACCCACTAGGTCTGACAATCCAGCATATACCAACAATCCGGTCGCAAGGAAGAAATCGTCATGCAGTATGGACCAACCGAGGACAGGGCACGAAAGTATCCGAGAAACTGTCAACAGATTTGGTATGGTGTATATGTTCTCGCGTAAGGGCGGTATTGCAGCAGAGCCTTTAGTCTTCCTGTCAGACCACCTGACACAAGAGGTAGAGAGGGCTCTGGTAACTGTGGTGAAGACATTTCTGTGTCTGACTTTGAGCTGAAATGAACCAGCATGTAGAGAAGATCGGATAATTGGACGGCATGAAGCGAAAGTGAGGCTGCGAAGAGGACGCGCGAGAAAGTTGCAGTGCAAGGTTAAGTACATCACTCTGGAGAAAGCAAAATTGGGAAGAGACCGAAATGGAAATCGCGGTCCATCCAGGACAGGGGCACGGATAGTCAAGTCTGTGCTGCAACGTCGCTTTTGGCCTAACACGCGCAGTAATATATTTATTGGTACGTATGGCAGTGTCGCTAGGTCATATACATAATTCGTTCAATCCCATAAGCCCACGGCCAATTTACTACAGTACAATATCCAACACAACGCCATCTCTGATGATACACAGCACCGTGTCTATGGCAGCAACACGACGGTGAAAACTTTAATTGGCACAAGCCTCCAATCTCACCTGCAAAATTTAGGTGAGTGTGGAATCAGCGATGGATCAAGGAGTAGCATAAAGAGCCTAGCTTACAGTCGCGACCACCTTCTTGACTTGTGCGATATATGAGGTATGAAATCTGTTCATATTCTCGAAGACAGTTTTTCGGCATTCGCCGCACTCAGTCGCTTTGATAATAGCGCGATTGTAATGTGACAGCCCCAATAAGGTTGACTCGCAAGGCCTTGCCAACAACTCCTTCCCACTCGAAACCAGATATTCATGGAACCAGCAGGCGACTCCTGTCGAGTAATTCGAGTGCTTCATAGATATCGTGCCACATCTGTTGCACCCACCCCGCATTGCGGCCATATATGATGAAGACTCTAGCCAGAAAAGAGAGCTCCCGACGTTTTGAGCGATGATGCCGCATCGATAATGGTAGACGAGGAGCCTGTGGTAATCTGCACCACTGATGTCCTGCAAACCATGAAACCCATTGCTGGGTCGTCCTAAATCCTTGATCTCAAGGGCACGAGTAGCAGCAATCTGAGCATGACGCTGCCATCCGAATTGACAAGAAAGAGCATATAACTCGAGAAAGTGGTTTGGGAAAAACAGGGCCATGACGAGGTCTCCTGCACGGCCGAGGGCCGCTTGCATGTCATACTTGCTAGCTGCTTTCAACACAACCTTTGCATCATCCAAGCTACGGAAGGTTGGGGCGGCGGTGGCAGGATAGCAGAGTAGAAGAAGGGATTCGAGGGTCGTGCTACCCTCAATCACAGTGATGATACGTACGGACGAAACATCTGACTGCGATTCGCTCTGCGGTAGCGCGAACATGTCTTTGAATATGGGTGACACGAGCGAAAGGATGAGCTTATAGACATGGAAATCGACACCATCGGCCGAACGAAGGATGATGTCACAATTATGATCATCGAATGGTGCTTGAGCTTGAGAGATGGTGATTTCCTCAGTAGTAGCTGCCATGACCCACAATATAGTAAGTAAAGGGCAGTGGGCACGCAGTACTACTAGTAGTAATCACTGGCTGCAAACAACTGCCGGATTAATACGTACGAGCAGCTTTATATAGTTCAGCTTCATCGTATCTCAATGAGGTTGAACACGATATTAATATTGGCACAGTAGACATGTATAAGGGTGGCTGGTCTGATGCATGCTGCGCCGGAGACAGGTCGAATAAATTGCAGCCTGGTCTGTGTACATTTGAAGTCTATCATATTGGATAGGGACTATGGTGATACATATGCTTGATTATGAAAACTTGAAGCTTGATTTGAAGGGTCAAGTGCCCAGTACTCCGAGTCAGAATCATGCACATCAAAGTTCACATCCATACACACTAGCTAATTAACTAGTTTCTACCATAGCCTACTAGGTGCTCCGACAGCCACTGAGCAATCACACGGTACCTGACGCCCCAATAGCAACACGATAGTGTTGCAGTGAGTTGTCTAAGAAGTTGCCAATTCCACCTACAGAAACGAGGTGAGCTTTGAATCGGTGATGAACGAGTCGGCAAGGAAAGCTCACAGTTGCAACCACCTTTTTAACTTGTGCGATATACAAAGCACGGAACCTATCCATATCTTCGATGACCTCGCTTCGGCAATCATCGCACTTTGTCGCTTCAATCACAGCTTGATTGTAATATTTCGACTCCATTATGGTCGACTCGCAAGGCCTCGCCAACAACTCCTTCCCACTCGAAACCAAGTACTCTGCAAACCACGGGACGATTTTCAACTCGCCGATGTTTCCAATCTCGAGCTTCTTAGCACTGTCCACGAGTCTGCATTTGCATTTCCACATTTGCAATTGCATTTCTGTGGATGACGGAGGTAGCCAGGAAAGACTGTCTCCGACTGTTTGAGCGATGACGCCGCATTGATAATGGTATACCAGGAGCCTGTGGTAATCTGCACCACTGATGTCCTGCAAACCATGAAACCCATTGCTAGGTCGTCCTAGATCCTTGATCTCGAGGGCGCGGGTAGCAGCGGTCTGAGCATGATGCTGCCATCCGAACCGACAAGAAAGAGCGTATAGGTCGAGAAAGTGATCTGGCAGGAATTGAGCGATGATGAGGTCTCCTGCACGGCTGAGGACTGCTTGCATATTATACTGCTTGGCTGCTTCCAGGACAGCCTTTGCATTATCCAGACTGTCAAACGTTGGGGTTGCGGCAGGGTAGCAAAGGAGAAGTAGGGATCTGAGAGGCGTGCTACTCTCGGCAACAGTCATAATGGGTACAGATGATTTATCCGACTGCGATTCGCTCTGTGGTGACGTGAACTCGTCTTTGAATTTGGGTGACATGAGTGAAAGAATAAGCTTGTAAACATGAAAGTTTACGCGGTTGGATGATTGTAGGACGCAATCACAGTCATGGTCATCAAATGGTGCTTCAGCGGTGGTGATTTCTTCAGCGTTTGACATGACGACGGAAATAAGGTCTCGTACTGGGGGGCTAGATAGGCGGAAGTCAATGGTATTTAAGTGCTGCAAAGAAGCCGACCAGTCAACACTAGGAGGTTTGCTTTGGAGGATGATTGAGGATCCTCAGATAGGTAGCATTTCTGAGACAGTTCGAATACAACGCGGTGTTCTCTACTTGGAATAAACCATAGATTTTTTTTAGCTAGAATGGGATATCAAGCTCCACCTTAGGACAGCCAGAATCAGCACACACAAAAATGGCGAGTTTCAACGTACTTACAGTATCAATCGCCCTCTCAATCTCCAAAGTGAAGTGTTCCCCAATAAACACGCTGAGATCTAGGAAGGCAGCTGGTCGACATGTAAGGCAGCCAGATGCTGCTTCCAGGCATTCCGCAATCAAGAATGGATCTGTGACGACCTTGCTACAAGGGCGCTCACGAAGAGCATTCCTGGCGCGCTCCATAAACTCGATGAACCATGCATTTACTTCGTATATCTTCCCATCAGAAAGAGGCCACGATAGGGGATGATGAACGCAGTCATCACATTGGAACCATACCCAACGTGATGCGAAGCCGGGAAACCACGAAAAGTCGGCTGTCAGCGAGCATGCAGCAACACTGCACTTTCGGTGGTACTGGAGGAGACGATGATAGACAGAGGCAGGGATGTGTTCTAGCTCTTCGACGTAGGGAGTGAAGAAGGGTTGGCGGACTGTATACTTTGCAGCTATGCGGGCTTCATCCTCCAAACCATAACGGTATGCGATGGCGAATACGCGCAGCGGCTGATCATCTAGAAACGCTTGCTGTACAAGCGAGCCCTTGACTCTGTTCATCAACCCCTTCATCCCGAACTTTCTCATCATCTCCAAGACGGCCTGCACATCGTTTAGATTGCTAAATACGGGATTGGAGAAAGGGTAGCAATATTGCAGCACCCTCTCAGTTGTTTGAGCGTCTTCTTCGAGTTTGATGGTGGCATGATCGCCATCGCACTTAAGGACAAGCCCTTCAAACGGCGGACATGGAGAGGAAGACCCTGACAACAGAAAACGCTTCAAAAGTGGAGATGCAACAGCGAGGAAGATCTTGTGGACAGCAAATTTTGCATCATCCGAGGTATGAATGATCAAATCTGCATCCGTGGCATCAAAAGGAGCGCGAAACGAGGAAACCTTGACAGAAAGAGGCGCAGCCCCCAGGAATTGAGACATGGGTAAGTTTCTGGAATAGAGCGATCAAAAGCGATTGTAGATGGTAAATTAGACAAGAGAAGATATACCCTTCGTGTTGTGACTCGCGGATGTGGCATGCAGTTGGCACGCCTGATCTTCATGGAGGATGAGCACCGCCGCTTCACGTTATTTGACACAAGTACTTCAGCGAGTCACATGAATCTCGTGCATCATGTTCACGAGGTCCTTCAGGCCCAGAAGTTACACTGGCCTATAATCAAAAGGCAGGCTGCCGCATGTCATGGAGCTTTGTTGGGAGCGTGGTGGCTGATGAAATGTAGGCAGCCGCGGCAGTCGACATGTAGGTTTGATTGAGGTTCCATTGATTCAGAATTGTTCGGTTGAGCTGATATGGTCTCTGAGCAGATCTGCAGACCTCTGGGGCCTGTGCAATCGCGCTCGTCCTACTAGTAGTACTACTTGAGACTCTAGCACAGACAGCAATTCTTACCGTTTACGTAAATCAACTTTTTTTTTTCACACCAAAATTCCTCGCCCCTCTATGAAGACACATCCGAAAGCAAGCTTGCCGAATTCACCTGGGACCCTGCTTTCCCAATCTCTTCGTGGCCATGTTCTGCTTGTGACCCACATTCTAATTATGAATCGCTCGGGGCTCGTATCTGAAGCTATGCAGAGCACCCGATAGTGTAAGATATCAGTGAAGATTTTTGGGAAGCGTGATTAATGGCGCAGACGTCGAGGAAGTTGTCTCTCTTTAATTAGAGCATTCCTTCACTGTTCCGCTTTCTCGCACTGAGTCCCTCTGCCTGTATATTATGGTGAAAAGAAGGAAATTGTACTCGGGTGTCTCCTGCAGGAGATCGTGGTACACAGTCAGGCGACATTACTGCCCTTGATTGGGTCGGACAATCATCCAAATTCAATAGTTGTCTTACGGCCGACATCACCTCTTACAACACTCCTCCATGCACCCTTCCATCTTTGTCTGAAGAAAGATTCAGACAACTATCTCTTCGCTGCGAAAAAATCGCGTGATTATGGATTTGGCTTCGAAACTCTACGAACAGCTTGATAACACAAGCGCTGCTCGTTTCGCGAGCTGCAGACTGCATCTACCTTGCATGGAATTCCTTGTCACAGACGCCAGTCCGGGTTATGGTCCATCCCAGGAGTCTCGATATGAGGTCAAGGCAGACGGGCTTCACAACCTGCTGATCACCACCAAAGAGCCGATTGTTCTCGCGGACAGTGCTCACTCAGCAAACCTTCGTGCTTGTCCGTCCCTGGGATCGATCTCTCCTCGAACTACCAGGCTTTGTCGATTTGCCCGATGTTGGGGACGATACGGAAAGCGAGGAGAATTATTGGACGTCACCTTCTTCTCCTTCAGACGAATCACCTAGCCGTTTTCTTGTAAAACAGGAGGTGTTTAATCTAGAATCACGAGCATTGCGGTTACTTGTTCGACTTGGGCAGGATTTCGGCGCATTTATGCTAGCGCGGCGGAGAATGATCGCGTCAGATCAACTGAGATCATGGTATTATTGCACAGGTCAAAGATGTGGCTTCTGTTCGAAACCTGATGGACACCAGGACGATAGAAATACTGTAGCTGTATGTCTTTAGGGATCCGAATGGTTTGCATTAGGACTTCATATATATCATACTGCATGCATGCGTATTGCACTATAGTTTCTTTTCAAAGCAAAGTCGGGTACGGATAACAATTTGATTCGTCAATTTTTTGACAACCTCAAGAACCACTGTATCCCACGTATCACGTTTTCTTTTTATATATCCTTACTGCTCCAGTTTTCACAAACAATCTCCTTTGAGACTACCTGGTGCGACTACTTTCAATAGCTGCCAAGGCCTCACGCTCTCTCGCACAGTTCTCGATCTCATAACTAATACTTTTGCTCATGGTCAACTATATACTGCATTATCCTATGGTAAAAGCCATCGAGATGCGCTGTGCTTATTTTTAGAAGGAGAAAGATGGTTCAAATATAGTGTACAAAGATATGCTTTTGTAGTAAAACAACGACCGAAGGTTACTGTTTGTTGTAGAGAGCCGACCGGAGGGATATACCCGTATCCTACCCATCCGCAGCCGGAGAGGTTAGAGGACGGAGTGCTATTACATCTATGTTATGTTACATCAGCGTTAAAATTTAAACCCAGCCCAACCTTATTCCTCAACCTCTCCAGCAGCGGCTGGAAGAAAACATTTGTAAACAGTCTCAGCCACAGCGGCAAAAACCTGCGGCAATTGAAAAAAACTGAAAATCGAGTAGGTATATGTACGTTAATTAAAATATATATAGTTATTATTTCCATCTGCCTCGGAGATGCGCCTCGGAGATCAGATAGATGCAATCACAGAAGCGTTCAATATCATCGGCATCTCACTCTCGCAATTCCTGAACGAAATACTGTCCAATAATATTTATTCAAACAACGAAATAGTGGTCAATCTTCTGACCAATGGTCATCGCATCACGGAGCTTCTTGTGAGGAACTCACAAACGACACAGGAGTGGGCAAGCGGCATCATGAGCGATGTATATATGCGGGAGATTGTTGATCTGTCAGCAAAGAAACACGGCTCTCATTTTGCTGTGTCACACACCTCTGTAGAACAACTAGAGGAATTTAATATGGATCTGCTTGGGAGAGGCATGCAGCGGCTCGCACCAAAACTGTGGGGTCTGTTAGATAAGCTGCTATTCGCAGGAAAGAAGTCTGTTGGTGTAGCAGTAAGCACCGAAGGTCCGGAAGATAGTGATGAAGACGATGTCTATTGGGAAGCGTTTGGTGACAGAGAATTGGATGGGTCAATGGGAGTTTCGGCCGATGCGTCAGCGAGACAGGAAAAGATAACGGCGCGTCATAATAAATTGGTGATGATCGTGAGTGACATTGAATGTGCATGAAAATGGGGGACTTACTCCTCTACTAGAAAAAGGTCGTTATTTTCAGCATAATCATGCAAACTGCAAACCAAAAATCAAACACGTTTCAAAGCATCTTTGGTATCTTTCTGCAGTCCGCACACGCACCTCAAAAGGTCATAGAGACACTATCACGGATGGGAATCTGTGTCTCCGTTGATTCGATCAATACAGCTGTCACGTCGTTGTCAAAGGAGGCTCACCGTGGCATTTCTGCTCTGGGGCGGACCCTTCTCGCATCCTATGCATACGATAATTTTGATGTGGACCTTAAATCGACTGTTCATACAGTTGACAAGTCAGAAGATACGCTCAAACATCTTACCGCTGGCCTCCTTTTTCCGCTACAGCATGGTACTACTCTCGACAACTTGCATTGCTTGAAAGCCTTGTGGGAAAGATCGCTACTCAACCCGCAAGTGGATTCAACGGACACGGCAACCAAGAAAGGATGGAAGGATCTCCTTACCATACATCCAGACCACTTAAACGAAGCTGGTCTGTCACAACGAGACCGCTTCAACTCCTGGAAGATCCTTTCTGACTTAATTGAGTACGGGCCTACATACTTCCGTCAATTCAAGGACCGCCTGGGACATCTGGAGTCAGTAGAAATGATCCCTGTGGCCAAAACAAAGATTCTAGCCTCACGAGCGATGGATATCAGTAATTCAACGGTATCTGGGAACATCAACTCAGTACTTGAGTTATTGAAGCAGGGAGATATTGAAGATCCGGCAGAATGTGACCCCCTGCAAGGACTAGATGTATCAGAGTACGTCACGCTATTCCATGGCGACCTTGGCACAGGCGAACGACTCCAAGCAGCACTCCAGCGACGCGCAATTGAAAACACACCTTGGAATTGCCTCCAGCACGTCATCTTTATTCCAGGTTTATTTCATTTGAAGATGGCAAGCGCAGATGCCATCTGGCGCACCTTCTTGCAGCATTCCTTGGCGCGACTAGATGAGAACGCGTTGATGCGGGATGTTGGGATTCTTCGATTTAAAGAAACAGGTATATATGGCTCGAAGCCTGGGTTTCGTAGAATGCACCAGCTCATCACCTATTCTGGTATCTGCCGGCGCCTTGATTGTTGGAGAGTTGAGGTAAAAAAACGTGTTTCCTCACATGTGGACTTGGATTCCTTTGCAGCGTCAGAGCCGCTATTTGATGATCTACTTGTGATAGCAGATGTAATTGCAAAGGAGTATGTTGCTGATCACAGACTTCGGCGGATGAGATCAAAAGATGTCACTCAGTGTGATGGAGAATATGAAAACGCGCTGCTCAACAAGTACATGCTACTATATGAGGAACTTTCATACGCTATGAATATTGGGGATATTGGGCGAGTGGAAACGTGCATTGTTGCGTGGATCCTGATATTTAAGGCAACCGGGAAGCATAAATATGCGACGCACATGTCAGATTTTCTATCCAATGTTCACTTTGTATACCCAGATGGCTTGCGGTGAGGTTGTATCTTTTTTGGTCAAAACACGAGCTGATTCAAATTATGGCTTAGGAGAGCCGTTCGATATCATATTCTTGTGAACCCATCGGGAAAGGCAGGCAGCTTCCGAGCCGTTGACTGGTGCATGGAATTAAATAACTTGTATACAAAGGTGACTTATTTCTACTAGTACACCACCGGAATACATTGGCTAATCACGTCTAGGTTATTCACGGCGGCAAGGGCCCTAATCGCACCATAGACCGTATAATCTTGGAATCCCCCCTTGTACAGGTTTATCGTAACTTACAACGGGTTTTCGAAGAAAATTTCTTGCATTCACACCTCACAACTCGACATGCTATCGTTGACATGACGCGGACGTTCAATGAGCTCTGTAGGTACATAGCACAGCACTCCCCGCATGAACCGGTGCTCGGACGAAAAAGCAAACACTCTATTCCCGATCTCTACAGTAAAGGTCTCGAATTAATAGATAAACAATGTTCGGATGCTGGAATAGAAGAGGGGGGAACATTAGAGGAGCATCCGACATTAGAGGACGTAGCAGTAGAGCTGGGATTGTGATAAAGACTTGGGGTTGGGTTAGACGAGGATGCGTTGGAAGTTGCTTGAGGTATCTGTTATCATATATGAGCACAAACATCCAGCACGGCCAATTCAACATACATTTTCCTTATTGTCGGTGGTTTGCGAGCTTGACGCAATACGAGACAGGTTCATTAAACAAATACGGCTGCGCTCTGTCGTGATTGATGTGAGCCACTGCTGCCAGCATGTGAAGACAACTTACTGGTATGTCCCTCTATGCCACATGTTACGACTGGGATGAGTCGAGCTATCTCTGTCTGAGTAGACAATCGGCAGAATGCCAGATAGACGTGAGTCTGCTCTCGATTGAGAGATCAAGGGTTCTGGCTAAGGCGAGTGTCGCTGACTCCCTTAGAATAGTGGTTCTTAGACAGTAAGGTTGGAGACCTTACTGAAGGACAATGTTCCAGGTAAAACCCAGTAGATTAAAGTAGAGAATACAACTGTAGGTAGGTAGGTTTATATACCAGTGTTCAAGCGGAGCTTGTAAATGTGTTATCAAGATAGAAGCAAAGAAGAGGCGGACAGCCCGCTTGGCGAGATAAGAGTCAAGATAAGAGATAGGCATGATAAGAGATAAGCGTGGTACGGACGGCCCGTTTAAGAGGTAAGAGGAAAATGAGTATAGGGGCCTCTTTAAATGTTATTGTAACATTACCCCCCTGTTACGGTTGAAGTCTCCGACTTCAATTATTCCTCGGTGTCGCAGTATTCGTTCATGTAGTCGTAGTGGATGGGATCTGCGTCAGTGTTGTAGAACTCTGGTTCATTATACCTGGTGGCGTAATCCCGGTTTGCCCTTTCTATTTCTTCCAGAAGTTCCTCATCTTTCCTGGCCTCCCATGCCGCTAGTGCTTCATAGAAGCCTTCATCGGTATAAGCCAATGGGAATAGCTCTTTCTTCGCCGCGTAAGGGCAATAGATGGAAAGATGGCCGGGTTTCTGGGCCTGGCATACGCGGCAGTAGTATTCGGGGCAGTTCTTATGACGGTGCCCAAGTTTCTTGCAAACGCGACAGACGAAATTGTCTGCGGAGAACTGGGGTTGTTTTACAGTGATGACGTCGGGGGTTTCGGTGAGGTCAATGACTTCACGCTTCTTTCCCTTAGAAGCTTTAGTCTTCGACACTCCGTGCACGGTAGCTCCTCTACGGATCTTTCGTTTGAAGACGACGGTGGGTTCGGGGACGGGGAGTGGTTCTTCAACTGGTGTCGGTTGAGCAATAGGCTGAGTTTCTTCTCCAGCCGTAACTGTAGCAGGTACGTCGCTGGGGGGAGCGCTAGTAGAAGGGCTTGGCGGGCGACCGACTTCGGTCTGGTTTCGCTCTTCAACAGTCCGTATAACTGACTTGCAGATAGTGCTAAAAGCAGAAGGAAGCAGCTGAATCTCAAGGCTGCGTATTTGTCTCTGGAGGTGCTGGCAGGCGAGTCTGAGGGCATCGTTTTCAATTTCTTTGAACCTAAGTTCAAGGGCGGCGGTGGCGCGTATGATGTGGATCTGGGATATGACGGGGGCGGCAGCGGACGCGGGTGCTTCAGCGAGCTGTTTCTCGAGCTCAACTGCGTGGGGAAGGGATAACAAAGTGGTCTCGACGATGGCGTCGTCGTCTAGGTTAAGGATGTTCTTTTTGTACGATGAGTTTCCGAGGGAGTGTGAGGATGATGACGATCCGGTAGGAGAAGGTGTCAATGGTGGAGTCATGTTACTTGGGATTTGTTTGTGGGAGAGAGAATGATTCGTTCAGTTCAACTTGTGTCTCTTCTTATACGTGCTTAAGAGTTCTTTCGAACTCCGCAAGTTTTCCTCGGGTATCCATTCGTTGCTTCCGGAGGAGTAGCCTATCCATGATACCAGATAGCGTCTTCGTTTACCCGTGCCCTTATGGCTAAGAATAGCTTCTACTTCGTATTCTTCTTCGCCATTGATAACGTCAGGTGGTGGTTCGGCGTAGTTCGGCCCGTGTATCTCTGTTTCGCGATAGGAGGATAGTTCAGAAGCGTGGAACGTGGGGTGGACCTTCCATTGTTCTGGAAGTTTCAGGGTGAACGTGATAGGAGATAAGACCGTGGTGATAATGAATGGTCCGTATCTCTTGGGCGCAAGTTTCCTAGATGGTAATGATGTCAGGAGATTGGTGGCCGAGAGCCATACCTTATCTCCCGTCTTCCATGGTCGGTACTTTTCATGGCGAGACCTTTCTGCCATTCGTTGCATAGCGATGTTATGGCAGGCAAGAGCTTCTTCTCGTATCTTCTGGAGGTTCCTGAGTCTCTCTTCTGCTGCCGGCGTATCTGATACTGATAAGATGTGTGGGATTCCTCGTGGTTCGTAACCCATCATGAGGAAGAACGGGGAAGTATTCCTGGCATCGTGCTTCCGATGGTTATGGACAAATTCGGCGATAGGAAGATGATTGGACCATTCTAACGGATTGCTTCTACAGTAGATCCGTAGGTAGGTTTCCAGTTCCTGGTTAAGTCGTTCAGTTTGTCCGTCTGTCTGGGGGTGGTAGGCGGTTGATGCGGCAATCTGATACCCGAGGAGCCGGGCAAGTTCTCGAGAGAATTTCGAAATGAACTGCAGTCCTCTATCTGAGATCACTTTCTCGTGGAGGCCGAATCTTTTGAACACGTTTTTGAGAAATAGTTTGGCCACTCCTTCGGAGGTGATGTTTTTGTTGCATGGTGAAATAATTACCCCCTTCGTAAGCCCATGGTCTACCACGATCATGATAGAGTCAAAACCGCCCGATACGGGTAGGTCGGTGATAAGGTCAACAGAGACTTGGGAGAAAGGGCGAGTGGCGGCAGAGGGGATCGGGCGCAATGGTGGGGTAACGGGGTGTGTGTCTGCCTTTATCTGCTGACATAGTGCGCATCCGTCGACGTATTTACGGATATAAGTTCCCATTGCCGGCCATCAGAAATCTCGTTTGACGAGTTCTTCCGTCTTGAATCGGCCGGGATGTCCCGCCGTGGGATGATCATGGTGTTTGAATAACACATCATGCCGTTGGGCTGCAGGTACGTAAGCTCGATGTTTGTAAAAGAGGACGCCATTGGTGCACGTCCAATCGGAGAGGGCAGATTTCATTGGAGGAAGGCACACTCCATCCAATGCTTCTAGGGCTTTCTGGTACACGGGATCTTCAGCGGAGTTGCGCGCGATACTTTCTGACAAATCATTGTCAATTAGTCGCACGAACATAGTATCAGGGAGGAGGATGCGATTTTCGTTATCATCTTTTCCGAGTGAATGGTCCGGGCGTCGAGATAGGGCATCAGGGGCGGCTAGTTTGGTTCCTGCGACGTGATGCAATTCCAACTGATAATTGGAAAGGATGAGCTGCCAACGCGCCTGTCTTCGTGTCAGCTTTTGGGTGGAGTGGAAGTATAGGAGGTTCATATGATCCGTGAATACTATCACGGTGTGGGGGCTTCCTTCTAAATAATGGCGCCATTCGGAGAGCGCTCGAATGACTGCCAGCAATTCTCTGTCAAAGATTTCATAGTTTCATTCTGCAGGGTTGAGGGATTGGGATAGGTAGCCGCATGGGTGGTACATCCCATTTTCATCGGTCTGCAGTAATACTGCTCCGGTTGCTGCTAACGATGCATCGGTAGCGATTGCGAACTGACGAGTTGGGTCTGGGTTTCTCAGCACTGGTTGCGATAAAAAGGCGCTTTTAAGGTGATCAAAAGTGTTCTGGCATTTGTCGGTCCAAACGAAAGGGTGGTCTTTCTTCGTGAGGTCGATAAGGGGTCGAGCGATATCCGAGTAGTGAGCGATGAACGTCCGGTAGAAATTGCAGAATCCCAGGAAAGACCGTGTATCTTTCAGGTTTCCTGGGGTCGGCCAATGTTTAATTCCGTCTACTTTGGCTGGTTCCATCCCTACTTCTCCTGGTCGGATCATCATTCTGAGATATTCTACTTCTCGTGCGTCGAAGGTACATTTTTCCGGTTTAACAAATAGTTTTTCTTTTCGAAGGATGTCGAGGATTTCGATGGTTCGCGCTTGGTGTTGCCGAAGATCCTTCGAGAAGATCAGAAGATCGTCCATGTATATGACTAACCATCCCTGGTTTATCTGTTTCTGGCAGAGATTGGTCATGAACGCCTGAAAGGTTGCGGGGGAGTTTGTTAATCCAAAAAACATGACTGTTGGCTCGAACAGCCCTTCTTGAGTGGTAAACGCCGCTTTCCATCGATCTTCTGGGTGGATCCTTACGTTATTATATCCCGATCTGATGTCGATCTTTGTGAAGTACTTGGCGTCATAGAGTTGTTCAATGAGGGATTTTGGCAAGGGTAGGGGATATTGATTTCGTATGGTCCAATCGTTGAGATACCGATAGTCTTGGCAAGGACGCAGTTCTCCGCTTTTCTTTCCTACAAAAAAGAATCCGCTGGCTTGAGGTGACTTAGAGGGGACAATAAAACCTTTTCTGGTGTTTTCTTCGATAAACGTTTTGACAGCTTCTCGTTCTTTTCCGGATAGCGGATAGACTTTTGACGTTTTGGGTACGAATCCTGGTTTGAGGTCGATACGATGATCTACCCCGGGTCTTTCCGGGGGGAGTTTGTTAAGACCATCTTTGGCGAAGACGTCCTGATACTGGTGGAGGAAGTGAGGGACGAGTTCTTCGAAAGTTTTCTTCTGTTTTTCTATTTCTCCTGCGACCGCGAATTCTTGGGCTTTATTACTCGTTTTCCCGTAGTTTTGTTCTCTTTTTGATGTCCCGTCTCGAACGAGTGGGGTATCGAAAGTTATATCTTCTATGATGCGCACGGTAGATCCATCAGTGGCATATTCGACGAGTACTTCGACATTGGCCAATTGATAGGCTAGTGGGTCAACGACTGGGGTTTTGAAATTTTCTGACCAGACGTCTTCCTTCGTATCATAGTTGGGTATTTCTTCATCAACTATTTCCTCCACAGAAGCGGTATAGGGGGAGGTGGTTTCCGTAGTTGCCACCTTCACCTGTATCGGCTTCCGTAGTTTGGAGTTCGTCCAAGTTCGGGTTGTTTCCTTTCTAACTTCTTTCTCTTTTCTGAAAAGCTGCGGGAGCGATTTCTTACGTCTTTTTCTGTCGATATTTCTTTCTATTGCAAGCGATCTCTTTGTTGATGGGAGTGATACAGTCTTGGCTTCCCAATCAATCTGGGGTTTCAGCGCAGCAAGCCAGGGGAATCCTAGGAGGATCTTGTCTTGTTTGGCTAGCTTTGCCACATTGAATTTCCCGATCATAGTTCGTTGATCGATTTTGATCGTGAGTACGCAATAACGAGAGATAAGTCCTCCTTGAGCGTCTGATCCATCGGCGGTGATAACAGGGAAAGGTCGTGAGAGTTTATGGGTTCTTATCTTGTGCCTTTTACAGAAGGTATCGCTGATAAAGGTGCCGGATGCTCCGGAATCGATGACCATAGATGTTTCGACGGTTTGTACTCGTTTATCGGAAAAAATGGATGCAGGAATTCTTAATTCATTTCTGGTTCCGATAGAACGTATTAGTCGTACATGAGTGGGAGTTACTGACGTCGAGGCAGTGTCCCTTTCTAAAAATCCATCTCCACGAAGCGACGTTCTACTTCGGTGAAGTCGCTGTCTTCTTCTTCTTCGATTTCCTTGGCTTTTTCTTTCATAGTCTTCCTTCGGACTGGTGCTTTCCTCTTTGGAGTTTCTTCTTCGTTCCTCTCTTTCTTTCTTCTGATGGGGTTCCTGGAGGAGGAGGCGCGACTTTCGACTTCGTCGTCGCTGCTACTTTCTTCCTCTTTGTTTTTTTGGATCTGTCCTCTTTCTCTGGGGTGGAAGGAGGTGTCGTTGGCACGGTGTCCTACTTGGTGACATTTGAAGCATCGTCCTTCTTTGAGGTGCTTCTTTAACTCTGCGTCTGAGAGACGGCTTATGCGGTCGACTTCCATGTCATCGTCCCTCTTTGGAACGTAGTGTCTATTTCCGAAGTTCTTCTTCTTCTGTTGCTGGGGTCTTTCTTTCTTCTTGATGGCTTTCCATCTTTGGAAGGCGTTATCGAGATTAATGCAGGAGTTGACGACGGTGTCGAAGTTATCGAGAGTTTCACCTGTTCGGTGCAGGTTGTCCTGAAGCCCGTAGTCTAGGCCTTGTCGAAAGAATTCGATGAGGGGGGCTTGTTCGGTCATTCCTGCTCGGTGTGCAAGGAGTTTGTAATTGGAGATATAGGTGTGGAGATCTCCTTTCATCTCTAATCCTCGTATCTTCATCATGGCAGTTCCGGCGGGGTCCATGGGTTTAAAGGCTTCGTCGAAGTCCTTTTTGAATTTGGCCCAGGTTCCGTAGCCGATCATTTGTCCAGAGGTGTCTTTCCTCTTGGGGTCTAGGGCTGCTTCCATGAAGTCTTCTGCCCAAGCTGCTGCGTTTCCTTTCGTCATGTAGGATAACACGAGGATGATTTTCTTCTTATCATCAACGTAAACTTTGTCGTTAATGTCGAGGTATGCATGACATTTCATCATGAATCTCTTTGATTCTTCTCTGTCTCCATCGAATTCGGGAGGGGAACCGATCTTTAGTTCTATTTCTTTGTTCTGGGTCGTCATGGTGTTCAAAGGAGGAATGGTTGGTAGAGCTCCTAAGTTCAAGGCTCCGATCAAAGGAGTTAACGAAGTCGTGGTGTCGGTTTCGTTGCAGATGGCAACGGTTCAGGTAATAAGACTTTAATCTTTTGTTACGACTGGGATGAGTCGAGCTATCTCTGTCTGAGTAGACAATCGGCAGAATGCCAGATAGACGTGAGTCTGCTCTCGATTGAGAGATCAAGGGTTCTGGCTAAGGCGAGTGTCGCTGACTCCCTTAGAATAGTGGTTCTTAGACAGTAAGGTTGGAGACCTTACTGAAGGACAATGTTCCAGGTAAAACCCAGTAGATTAAAGTAGAGAATACAACTGTAGGTAGGTAGGTTTATATACCAGTGTTCAAGCGGAGCTTGTAAATGTGTTATCAAGATAGAAGCAAAGAAGAGGCGGACAGCCCGCTTGGCGAGATAAGAGTCAAGATAAGAGATAGGCATGATAAGAGATAAGCGTGGTACGGACGGCCCGTTTAAGAGGTAAGAGGAAAATGAGTATAGGGGCCTCTTTAAATGTTATTGTAACACCACACGTGCTACATCTGGGTTGTTTTCGAGCGACGACCGGTTGATTGGATTGAGAAGTAGATGGGAGATTTTGTCGTGGACGCGTGGCAGTAGTGAAAACAGGTATGAGCACGGGAACTGGTATGATGCGCTGAATGATAGCTATGACATCACTACCAAAGCGGTCCGCTGCAGACCACTTTGTTTCCTTACGTAGGTCATCGGTAGTAGAAATTTTATGGTGGTGAGCACAGTCGACAATACGGTCCAATGCTGAGTCCGGCATTGTCACACCAGGACCATAGTCGTTGAGCGCCGAATCACCGTATACTCTCCTAGTTATTAATTCTCGCCATTCTTCCAGAGCATCACGGAGCTCAAATTCCCGTGGCCCCATCTCGTACTTGACAGTGCGTGAACGGTGGGCGATTTTGGAAGGTAAAGATATATTGTTATGTGAGAGAGAGTCGGGATTATGGATGTCGCAACAGACACTTGATGTGAGTGGTGCGCAACAGGTGCAGCCGTCGGAATTTGATGGGTCACATGTAACATGGTCTGGATCTGTGTCATAATAATATTACAACGAGTCAATAGAAGCAACCGCAATTGGAAAATATATTACCAGCCAATGAGTCATTGAAGTGAACATGGAGGACCTTGCGTCGACAATGAATTGTACCTCGCAGGTGAGCATTAATCAAGCAGTCCATCGCAGGATCTAATTCCCTCTTCTTCCGTGAACCACCTGGCTTTCCCTCCAACTTTGACTGCAACTGCCCTCTTAGCTCTTGATCACCTACCTCCGCTTTGTCACCGTCACTATCGTCCCCAGGAATATCATTCTCCCACTCATGTACATCATCCTGCCTGCTTACAGGATGTAGCTGGGTACGCTGTCTTGTAGCCGTACGTTCTCTGTTCTCGCCTGCTTTGCGTTTTTTCGTCTCTTGCCGCCAGCGCTTTTCTTCCCGCACATCGTCGAAATACTCTCTTTCAGCAAATAATATGGCTGTGCCTTGGAGTCTGCGATCCCTGACAGCATGTCCCCATCGTTGCCAAAGAGTGGCCAACTTGCATGTCGCTTTCCACTGGATGACAAGTAATATATCTGGTACGTCCATTCCCTAAATGTGACGATGATTAGCTATGATATTGTACTACTAGATGCATACCGATACCCTTACCATTCCGAATGATTCTGTGGTGCAAAGCCCCCAAGTCTCTCCAGATATCAAGCGGTCCACCTCGTCTTCTTTGAATCGTGTTGTCATGTCAGAGTTAAACCACTTTATCCTGTGACGCAGTGCTGATGGGAGTCGTTTCTGTATTGTTTTTGCCGCCGCTATAGAGTCTTGAATGTCGTCAAAGAAGATGAGAAACTTTGGAGGTGCTGGGTCACTGTCCTTCCAGCCATCAGGTATTAAAAACAAGAGGTCTTGATATGATGAAAGTGAGTACATGATTTTACGGACGCAGAGTTTGATATTTGCACGATCGACAGAAGTTTGAATCGTGAGGAGTTTGTTTGAGCATATGTGGAGTAGCCGCTTCACGTGTGCGAGATTGTCCACTGTGAGCGTTGCGGATGCGAGCATGAAAGGGACGTAGCAAGGCAGGATATAACGGAGACGTTCTAATTCCTTGTATTCAGGACGGAATTCACCCCAGGTTGCGATACAATGTGCTTCATCAAATACCATGCCAATAATCTGCTGCGCAAAAAGCGGTTTGCGCAGCAGTTTCTCAAATTCCCCTCCAGGCTTCATAAGCTGCTCTGGACTAACGATGACGGCCCTATACTTCATATCTTCGATGTCCTGTGTGAAAAGACCACGTTATGATAGTAAGTCGTCCTCCCATAGCATAACTGTTAGATTCTCACATGAAAATTGGCCCAGCTAGCTGTCTCTGAGCTTATCGATATACTTAGCAAGCCTGCTTTTGCCAGTGACGAAACGTTCTGTCTCCCGAGCTGGTTCAATGGAGTCACGATAATTTGAAGGCCGGGTTTGAATAGTAAAGGCATCCAAAATGTCATAGTCTTCCCCATTGATGTACCGGCAATGCACACAATGTCACGGTTAGCTTCAATGAATGCTTGTGTGATTTTGATCTGCCAAAGGCATGGCCGTTTTCCAAAGCGCTGCTGGGTGATGTCTCGAATTACGCCCAGACTAGGGGCTTCTGACATGTGACAACTAAGTGCTCAAATGGAATATTATATTTTAATTAACGTACATATACCTACTCGATTTTCAGTTTTTTTCAATTGCCGCAGGTTTTTGCCGCTGTGGCTGAGACTGTTTACAAATGTTTTCTTCCAGCCGCTGCTGGAGAGGTTGAGGAATAAGGTTGGGCTGGGTTTAAATTTTAACGCTGATGTAACATAACATAGATGTAATAGCACTCCGTCCTCTAACCTCTCCGGCTGCGGATGGGTAGGAGCCTGGGGATATACCCGTATCCTAGAAATGTTCCAGTGCTTCACTAAAGTACATGTCATTATTATTGATATATCATGAGACACTTGAAAGAGCATATCACAGAGGGACAAAATCAAAGTAGGAGCATGATGCCCTTGTACTTCATTATCAAGACAAGACACTGAAACCAAAAAAATCATGCACAAACGAACGCACAGGTATACTCATGTCCGAAGACTCAACAATGTGGGGACGTAGTCATGACGCAGACTTGGATTCCAAGGTACGGTTTTCCCGATGATCTGAATACTGCGGCGGAAGTTCAACCAAACCATTGTGGTCTGGCACAACATCATCAGCGTCGGTATGCACAATGATTTGAGTAGGAGGTTGATAGGCTGTTCGCGCGCTAGTCGACGCCATATATTGACTTCCAGATGCTCCGTGCATAGCTAAGCTATCTGTGTCAGGGGAAATTTGTCTCTCAACATGAAAGGGCGTGGGAGGATCCCTAACTGTGACGTCGCTGGAAGAGGAAGAAATTGATTGGGATCCAGGTTCAACGGGTGATGAGAAGTGGACAGGGTCTCTCTTCCGTGGTAACGGTGGTGCTGGTCGAGCCCCCACAGCCATATGCTCGACGGATGTCATGTCTGACATTTGAATGCCTCCATAGACAGCAGAGTCTGTGCTTGGCTGGGATCCAGGTTGAATGAATGAACTAAGGTAGCTGGCAGGATATGGTGATGATGATGGCGATGGCAGAACGTCACTGTAAAGGCTGACTTCGTCTGTATCCTGCACTTGAAAATAGGTGATTTTAGAAGGCTGAATGCGGGATGCTTTCCGTTTACGCCACAGGCACATGCCGAGGATGACCAATGCAGTAAGGACCACCGCACTGCCGACCCCCGCGCCTGCGATAAGAGCAGCCTTGTTTGATGAACTACTTGATGGATTGCTTGAACTAGATGACGGCAAAGCCGTGGCCGATATGCCTGCAGTGGATGACGGCGAGCTGGCGCTTAGGCACGTGAAATTACTCTGCTCTAAGACCTGCAGCAACCCAGAGCTCCCACCTTGTCTGCCCTTGGAGTCGGTGACAAAATACAGGAGACTCGTCCCTCCTGTAACATTGACACTTGAGGTAAAAGTGTCTTCATTGGAATATAATACGGTTGGTTGTCCGCCAGGAATAAGTTGCTGTAGCAAGATAAGTAGATTGTTTTGATAGAATTGGCGATGATCTGACCGCAATAGTAATGGGCAGGACTGCACCATTGGCAGCAGCTGCACTGCTATTGACCGAGATGGTAAATTGACTGCAGTAGTGGTAGATCAGTGCCACAGGAAGTACGCAAACCAAACTTACCCGCATTGCACTATCGGACTCGGAGTTGGAGTCAAGATGAACATGTAAGGAGGTGGCAAATTTTGAATGTTGCAATCGTTGGTTCCAGAATTCCCAACAGTTAATTGGTTTGTCGTCCCACCCGAACCAAATCCGGTGGCGTCCGACATAGTGAGTAGAAACGATGTTCCAGCCGACAACGTCAATTGTGGTATTGAATAAGAGCCTACGCCGTTCTTAAAGGCTGATGCTGGTACAGATGCGTTCTGATACGGTTTTAAATACTGGGAAGCACAAAATTTAGCATGTGATTGAGGAGCCTGAGGCGAAGCGCCAACGAACGGGAGTTAAGAGTATTTCAAACGGCGCTTGCCCACCTGATAGCCCCGATAAAGTTTAGCAGGAGCGTATAGAATATACTAGACATGCGCTTACCAGTCCATGAGATCTTGAGAGGACCACATTGAGTGGGAGTCCCAACAGTCACACTGAAAGCACGAGTAACAGAGAGACAAGAAGCAATGTACGTAAAGAAGCGAACAAAGTGCATGCTCAAGAATTGAGGAAGACAAGAGGAAGATGGTAAGAAGATACGCAGGTGTAGTCGAGTGTTGTATTATCTTGAAAAAAGGGAGTCGAGGCAGACTCGAGGTGAGGGAAAATTGCGTCCTAGGTAACGCTGACCGGCGAAAATCGATTTACTATATATCCTATTAGGCAATGACACGAACTTGCGGCAAGGTGTTCCTGATCATTAATACTACACCGCCTTTGGATTCCTCCTCTCGCAAGTTCAAAAAAAAGTTTTGATGTTTGAAACACGGTGGTAAGAATAAGGGCTTGAGTGGTGCCCTTTGCGTTTCATAGAATAGATGGGTGACCGTGACATACTCGTAAACCCAGGTACTTAATGCCGTAATGAATGTCCGCTGCCAGTGGGTACGTAGTCGATGACCAAATGATATGGCTGACGTGACACCGAGTCCTCGGGTCTGACATTCTGCATCCAGACGAGTCGTCCGAGTCTCTACTCTACATTGGCCAGCCAAGAGCGGCTCTGAGAGAATGCACGATGGATGTGGTAATGGTGTGTAGATCACCTGTGCCGCAAACGCCGGCGCCAACGGTAGTATATTGGAGGGGCTCGATGTGAGGGAGGAATGCATCCAAGAGGACACCCCGCGTGGCGCAGATGCAGGCACCAACTACAAACGGTCTATTCAAGTGCTGTGACGGGTTGCCTGCCAAGCCGTCGACCTTTCTCCACGGGTGAGTGCCAAGCGAGAAGCGGTGCGGTGCTAGGCTCAATAGCGCCAGAGTAGAAGCCAAGTGCCAAGCGTTATTTCCAAGTCACGGCATGAGGACATAGAGTCCGTATCATGAAACCAGAGAAGATATAAAGAACGAACAAAAATTATCAGAGCTCTGATGAGCCAAAAAGCGACAAAAATCAGGCAAGATGGTGGTCAGAAACTTCCCCGTACCGCAACCTTTGAAAACTTCTCGCATCCACCTCCATACGCGAACACTTAGCCTCCATCAACGCAACTCGGGGCGCCAAGGACCACAGAGCTGCTTCAGAGAAGGAGTTCATCATACCCAGAACGTCCTTCTCGTTCTCATTGAGGCCCGCGAGCTCCGGTGACGAGGGAGGTGTAGTATGCGATGTGATGTACGAGTATTCACAGAAATCGCAAAACTGGGTAATCGACGTAGGACTTTCTTGGACAAAGGGAGATGAAGATGAATCAATGGCCGTCTGTGGTGACCGGCAAGACCAGTAGATTGACTGGTCACTAGAAGACGATCTCGTCGGAGTGGGTGTATGAGGATTCTTCTCAATATCGGTAGACTGCGCCCATAGAGTGAGCACAGTTCGCATGACTTACCAAAATGGGTACCAACCTTGAGCGCCTCTGCAATTGTGAGTCCCCCACGCCGGCCAATAGCCCGTGGAGACGGGTGTTGAGGGTTCTTGGAAGATACGGGAACAGCTGCAACTCGCTTCGGCCAACGGTCATGGAGCACCTGGAGTAGCCGTGGAACAACAATACACCGCGGATGGCGGAAAAAATGATTGCCCTGCTTAGGTCGTTTGAGATAACCGCGGATGTAGAGTTCTTCTCTGACAACTTCACTTGCTAAGGGTGAGAGATTGGAGACGTGGATGCTACGCCAATATATGTAAGCGTGGCAGAACAACACAGGACAAAGAGATACAGACAAGTCATCCGCGGTGACGAAGGTGTCGTCCGCATCTGTCGTTGCCAACGAACTAAAAGAGTGGATGGTTATGATAGTCTCCAAGGCATCAGACAGAAAGTTGTACGATGGTTGGTCACAGTTCGTAGAGAGGGATCCAAGCTTCCCGAACGCACTTGTGCAGATCTTTGTGAGGTATCGCATCGGAGTCACGCCAGGTCGGTGGTTCGAGTTGATGGCTTCCTCCTGCTTGCGTTGGCGTGCCACCTGGGGTAAGGTAAAGACCTCAGTTGTTCCAAGAGTTGAGTCGTACAGGGAAATACAAGCTGGCGATGAACTGTTCGCAGAGAGGGATCCGTGCGTTCCAAACGAAATAGTGCAGAATGATCTGATCTTTGTGAGGAACCGCATCGCATTCATACTAGGTTGGTATTTCGAGTTCACAGCTTCCTCCTGCTTGCGTTGGTGGGCCACCTGGCGTAAGTTTAAGAGCTTTGTTGTCACAGGAGTCGGGTCAGACAGCGAGATGCAAAGCTGATTGTGAATGGGATGGTGGTTGATAAGACCGCCAGGTGGACAATAAGCATTCGAAGGCATTATCGTGAAAGATGAATGAATGACAGGCGAGGGCGGTTGTAGAAATACGCTTCACAGCGGTTGGGCATGGTAAAAATGTGATTTTGACCTGAGCCGAAAGAGCAGTTGGCTGACTCGGAGGCTGACTAGAGATTTGCATCATAGATTATCCAAAAAATCCACAGCGGTGCATTGGTTGGTATAGTGTTGGGTCACAAGCTACAAGTCGTCATGAATCAAAGATAGTGGTGCAAGGGTAGGGAATGAGGCGACCGAGCAATTCCTTTCGTTAGCCTTAGGGTTGAGCTGAAGAGACACCCACAAACCTTGATATGGTTAGCACCACCAAGTAATCGATTCACATTGTGTCATGTACCATGACAACCCCTTCTCTACATCCTATCTAATCTATTCTCCAATCGACAAACCAACCATATGTAAAAAGTGGATGATAACGAGACTACTGCGAGAGGTACAAGGACTCAGATTGCTGTTCTCGAAAAATTGAACAAATGAGGGGAGCACAGGTCAATTGATGATGAGAGCCGGAGAGGCTCATGCATGTGCATTGTGCCATGAGCCGGGCGCTCGCCGCTCGGCACTACATGTTATCAGGATACACAGCCTAGTAAACAAGGGAGTTCGGTAATGTAACGTAGTCATCCGAGTTGTTTCCGGTATGAGGCCGGCGCGAAGCACAGTGTCGTATCATTACTTTTGTAAAAATCATTATACGTTATAGAAGAAGATAGCAAGTCTCACTGTACTCGTCTGCGACGACTCTGCGTCAACCGTAACATGGATCAGCTTGGAGATATGATTCAACCTGAATACAAAGTGCCAGCTCGACAGTCTCCGACAGCGCTTGGAAAAATTCGGCTAGCAGAAGAGGAAGGTGATCACAGCGCGCTAGCCAGCAGGTTTTTTTTTGTGAAACACGCCATAAAGTGAATCGTACCATAAAATTTCCAAAGAAGATCAATTGAACGTTATATTCAATTTCGGGTCATGATGCTATATAACCTACTCTCCCTTTGCCTTTATATCCGCAATCCATTCCTCGTCCTCTCATTCCAATACTACACAAATGGCCATTCCTCCTGTTTCCTCAGTCTCCTCTGCGCACGAACTTCCTCGTCCAAAGGATGTCGGTATCCTTGCAATGGAGGTCTACTTCCCTCAAAGGGTAATGTTATGTGCTACTACATGACAACCATTCTCATCTTACGTCACTTTAGTGCATATCTGAGGCTGACCTCGAGGTCTTTGATGGTGTCCCAACGGGAAAGTACACTATTGGTCTCGGCCAGGAGTACATGGCTTGCTGCGATGACCGGGAAGACATCAACTCATTTGCTCTCAACGGTATGTTACACCGTCTTACCACACCCTTTCACAATTCATATCTTGTTCCTTCCAGCTGTTTCCGGTCTTCTTGAGCGTTACGACATCGACCCCAAGTCCATTGGTCGCATTGACGTTGGAACTGAAACCATCATTGACAAATCAAAGTCTGTGAAGACCACCCTCATGGACCTCTTCTCTGAATCTGGTAACTTCGACATTGAAGGCATCGACTCCAAGAACGCATGTTATGGTTCCACTGCTGCGCTCTTCAACGCAGTCAACTGGGTCGAATCCACCTCGTGGGACGGCCGTAATGCTATTGTTGTTGGCGGTGACATTGCCATTTACGCTGAAGGTGCCGCACGCCCAGCCGGTGGTGCGGGTGCTGTCGCCCTTCTCATTGGTCCCAACGCACCTGTCGTCGTTGAACGTACGTCCATTCCATTTTATTTCGGACGTTATGGCTCGTTTCCATAATGCTCCTCGAGTGATGATCATGGATCTGATATTCTATACAGCGATACACGGTAATCACATGACAAACACATACGATTTCTACAAGCCCCGATTGGACTCGGAGTACCCCGAAGTCGACGGGCCTGTCTCAGTTACCACTTACACTTCTGCACTGGATGCTGCATACTCGCGCTTCCGTGAAAAGACCGCCAGAGCTAAGAAGGCTCACTTCAACGGTCACGCGAATGGCAAGGAATCCCTGACCTCCTTCTCCATCGATGACATCGACTATGCTGTCTTCCACAGCCCATATGGCAAGCAAGTTCAGAAGGGTCTCGGTCGCCTTTTCTACAACGACTTCCTCGCAAATCCCTCCTCATCCCATTTTGCTAATGTCGCTAACCCCGATTCCGTTCTTGCAATCTCATACACCGCTTCCCTCACTGACAAGAACCTCGAGAAAACTTTCATCGGTGTATCGAAGGCAACATACGCCAAGAAAGTCGAGCCTGGCATGGCCTGCTCGAAACGCTTGGGTAACATGTACACGGGTTCGCTTTACGGCTGCCTTGCCTCTGTCCTGTCTTCTGTCACACCTTCTGAGCTTTTGGGCAAGCGTTTGAGCATGTTCGCATTCGGTTCTGGTTGTGCTGCCAGTTTCTTCACTCTCCGTGTCAAGGGTGATACGTCAGAGATCCGGGAGAAGATGGACTTGCTTGCTCGCTTGGCAAGCATGAAGCTTGTGCCCTGCCAGGAGTACGTTGACGCCCTCACAGTAAGCCCAGCATTTGTTTGTTTTGACATGAGTTAACTAATATCCCTCAAAGCTTCGCGAGAAAAACCATAACGCTGTAAACTACACGCCAGAGGGTTCCATTGAGAACATTTGGCCTGGCACATTTTACCTCGAGAGCGTAGACAGCAAATACCGTCGCAAATATGCACGTGCACCAAGGGCATGAGAGGCTGCATGCTTGGTGTCATCATTTGATCTTCTTGCTTCGTGATATCTGTTTCATGATATCTGTTTGGGTTGTGAGTTGCATTGCATTTAGACGTATATACCCGACGCAGTAGTATGATAGTATGTATATTTGTAGACGAAGATGTTGGGATACTGCGGCGATAATACGATTCACGCGCATGAGATTCTTGGGAATGCTGAGTATCTGTGTATTGTTGAAGACGGGCTGTGTGCACACGTAATTCTGGCCATCGGAAGCCAATTAACGATTTTCAATTCAAGCAGCAAGATTGGATGTTACGTAATTGATGCAAACAACACGTCAACAAACCCCTTTACCACACACGCGTCATGTCGAGCGCGAAGTCCGCGAAAACCATCAGTACCCTTGCTTCAGCGATCGAACTAGAAAGTATGCTTTAATCGATTATTTGGGGTCTTTGAAACTGAACTTAATTATGAGCATTAAGCCGAATGACCAGCGGGACATGCAGCATGCTCCCCCCACGAGGGCACGAGGTACAACAGGCAATGAATTTCTAGCGCGTCCTCACACGAGCAGGCGATAGCTCGCATCTCTGCAGCTAGATACCTCGACTTACCAAGACGATTCGTGCACAAAATCAAACTGTCCTTGATTACCCATCTGACCGACAGTGTCGATAGCAAAGATGGGGATCACGACGAAGACGACACGGAGCAGCGATGAAGTAGGCTACAATTATTCTGACCGCGCAATCCAGTGTGCTAACCTTCTATTTAAGTTGAATGTCTTCACGAGCCTAGCAATCACCCCTTAACTGGCAACGCAAAGAATGGCACTTGGGTAGACTTCCGACTATTTTTTTTTCGCATGGTCACTCGGCTATATACCTACGTGTGTTGACAGTCCAAAAGCAGTTCCGACGCTGCCAGTAAGGTCCCACAACATGTCAACAGTAGAAAGTAACTCGCTGTCCGCTTTTTCTCGTACTTCTTTCCGCCGGGCCATCGGTACACACGACCCTTGTAGAAGCGCACACGACACCAGCAAACACGATCCTCGAGAAACAGTTGTAACAACTTCAAACGAGAATCAGGGTTGCATGGACTCGAATGTAAATGATTGTTATGCATTCAGAACTGTTGCGATGCTGTTCAGAAGTATACTGTATTCAGTTGTCCTATCACTGAACCTCTTGCACAGTTAATGTAATACACCTTACTAAGTCCAGTCGCCGCGCCGTCCATCCACTGAAGTAGTCGCTTCTTTGTACACAAGAGATAGTACATAGATACATATATAAATCGGCCCTCTACTGCTTACTGTCGTGTATCAAAGAACTTGACAGGACCCGGGCCCAACTACTTCACCCCATATTTTTTCCTTGATCCAGGTCAGAATCATATGTAGTCCATTTCGTGTTCCTCGCATGTCGATGGCAATGTCCAACATATGCAATCTTCGAACGTCGCACTGTTATGTGTGCGCTCTTCATTGGCATGTGTGTCCCAAATGCTGATAATCAGACGGGGCGCGATAATAAACGGTGCGGTATTGATGAAACCCTCCGAGAGACTGATCACTGCCGGCTGTTGATGCACTTATTAGGACTGATCACCATAGTATAACAATATCATCATACCGGAATGTTGGCCCATAACACCGTCAATAAGACTTCATTTGTCAAATTCCTAGTGGGATATTGTGAATAACAGAGTACCAATCAGACAAGGGTGAACTTACAGGAGGAAGTATACGACATGACATCGAACGATCAGAATTACATATGTGTTAGGCTTCATTTGTATTTCTCTTCGTTCTCTGAGGTGTTTCACGAGGTTAAGAACGGCGAGAACAACCAGGAAGATATCGAAGCATATGATCGGGATGGAAGCATAGATCGCAGGCATAGGCCCTATGTTGAAGGAAGACGTGCAGTAATTGACGTTCGGAGTTACTATTTCTTTCACTATACAACGAGAGGTCAGCTTGCAGACAAATCGATCAACTAGAAAGTCACCCGAAAACGCTTCGGGTCGACTATATAAGTATATGTCGATCCCTATCGAAAGCGCGGCGATAACTAGGAACAACCCGACCAGCAAATATAGTATGAACTTGGATCGGTTGTATAAAGCGTAAAGACGCCAGATGAGAATGACTGCAGATGGAAAATCGGTACGCGCGATGAGATACAAATATATGTGACTGACCTTCCGCCAACAAAAAATAAATTGAAAAGCCCCATTCCAATAGAACGGCAAGAGCGTAGCCTGTTTCGGCTGCGTGGTAAGCGAATGCAAGTTCAAGCCAAGGCAGTATACTTGCAACTAGATGATACGTCAGTGATCAGGCTCAGCTGTTAAATGAACTTCTGACGTACGACTGAATCTGTGTCAACACGAAACTCTTCAAAGAAAGAAAGCGTGGACACACTCACCCCTTCGGGAATATACATTAGACCTCCCCCTAGTGCTAGTCAGCTAATGATGCTCAGTTTGCACAGCATCACATACAGCAGGCGCAAAGCCTAAGGTCAGTGTCAGTTTGCAATGTAGCAACTGAAGGACACAACCACCGCGACGTACATTGCGAGGAAAAGACCAAGGTATCGTGCCTGGCATAAACACAAAATAAAAAGTCGCGAAGCACTTGGACAAGGCGGAACTCACAGCGAGGTAGAGATACGTCATCGGTGACCATTTTCTTGTCTGTACAATGATTCAGTTTCCGGAGCTTGATATCATTGGGGATTGAACACCTACCCAAACAAACTTGACCTAAGGCAATTTGAACATAAGTACTCGCCCAAGAAAAAATATGCTTGTCGTTACCTCTTTCTCGAAGTGAAATACTAGATAATCTCGCGCTCAGTCGCAGTGTAACTTGAATGTTCGTGAAAGCTACGGACTGTACTCATAGGATACCAATCCAAAGATCATTACTAGAAAAACGATGAAATTCAGTATGATGCTTCGTTCACGAACAAGTCGGTTAACGAACTTGCTATATTGTTGTTCCATCGGAGAGCATAGGCAACTTCTTCGTCCGACGACATGAGATTGTGCAGATCAATTAGCGGATCCAAAGGGTGAGCACGGTGCACTGTCGATCATGTAGATACTTATAAACTACAGAGTTTTGTTATCGCGCCAGGGCTGGTGGTCGAATGGAAACTGTACGACATGTTACGAATTCCGTCACCACACTTCCGGTGTCACGACATTCTCAACAGTTAGCTACCAACGGAAAGGTTAAAGACTCACACGACTGACAATGGTCAGATGGGTACAGATTCTGCTTGTGTTCGGGTGCTTATCTAGCCCCACATAGACAGGAAACCATGGGATGAAGTCCCATTACCATCTGAAACTTTGTACGTGCCAGTAAATTACAAACTGGGCGCTTGCAGCCTGATAACAGTTCGACACCGTATGGCAGACCAATCTCTTGGATAAAGATGGATACGATGTTCTCGAGTGTGTGTGAACCTGTGTGAAAGGAAAGGACAGCAACCATCAGCAAAAGGCTCTATCTTAGTTTTATGGGAAAGTAACCACCTCAGCTGTGTGTGGGGTGGGAGTGAGGGCCAGGGCTTTCGGGGCAGGAACGAAAGGCTGATACGATGGGAGCGACACTTGGGAGACGGTAGAGCCACGAGCCATGCGTGAATCGTATCCAAATGTGCATTTGCGCAAGTGGGCTACCGACTTCGACGCCCACTAGGTCAGTTGTTGATTTTTACACCGGCTGGGCAGAGGGCATTTTTTCAAGCAAGATTTGGAGAATATAGTGTACCCGATCAGTGTACCCGAAGGCTAGTGTACCCGACCAGCGGCTGAGCGTTTCCCCTGATATGTACACGCGTATACGTGCTCCCGAAAAGAAATTTGAGTCATAGCAGTCCCTTCGTCAGAGTCGGCGAACGCTAACAATGATGGCGTGAACCGAGCACAAACGTCTTCACGAACAAGGAAATTCGGAAAGTGACATGGGATGTTGATTCCCACAAATGTTAAGTTGTGCAGAAATGATGAGTGTGGCAGGTGCAGACTGCATCAGTCACAATCCTGGGGATGATCATCGTTTCAGGGAAGTGTTTGGCAAAATCTCCCACGCAGTGAAGTCACAAGTGTTAGCAATCTGAGATTTAGCGTCGTCCCCAAAGTCACTGACAGGATGACGTAGCAAGCAAACTCGTAATGTTGCGTTGCAAGTGGTTGTGTTAAACCAATACGCAGGTCAACCATCCCTACGTATACGTAGAGGTACGATTAGTTGGACTGGAATACTCACCAGTCACCGGCTCGGATCCCTGCCGAAATACAAATATAGAACACTTGTGGGGGACTAGAGCTGTGAAGTCATTTGTCTTGTCTTGCTCGCGATATCGGATTCTGCAGTTCAAACTATAAATCATTCTTGGTAATAGGAACGACGGGAAAATTCGTCTCGAACACGGAGTTCAGCATGGGAAAAAAGAGACTACAAGCTCCATGAGTTAGTATGTCCCACTGCTTGACGCCCAGAAATATGTCATCTTGCCTGCTATCATGGTATCGGGCTTGCGTGCACACAATGTTGTTGATTCCCATTGCGGGATCACGAATGTCCTGTTCAGGGGTCGATGACTCGAGGTATAGCATCCTGGCCAATGTTTGTAGTGAACTTAGCGACGATTAAACTAGGTGTTAAGCACGAGGCAGAGAATACGGACGAACTCAACATCACCCGAGATTCAGCTCGACCAATGAATATCGCACAGTTCTTCGAAGATAATCGGCAAAGACGAAACGGCAGACGTAGCTGGGAAATCAAGTGGGTTTTTTTATAGAGAAGAAAATGATTGGTGGCCACGAGCGAATACCTAATCCCTGACATATAAAACATGCCCATGGACTGTAAACGCAGATCAATAAAATAGCACATAACTCAACAGGAAAGAAATGCGTACCACTTCGAGATGTTCATAGCAATTCGAGCCAAGAGAAATCCTCGACCAATCCTTCAACCAATTCTCTATAAACGTGCCCATTCCCCGTTTTTCAGACTCCCGCACCAACTCCACGAGCATTTCAGCAATGTTCCAGAGTTGCTTCAAAATGATATCTCGACTTAATCCAGGGTATTTGCTCATGAGTTTGAGCATATAACATCAACACCCGTAGTATCTGCATCATCACACCGCGATTGATCCGGAAGATCACAGAGCGAACTGATTCGCCGCTCGAAGTGAAAAGGAAGTAATTGACATCTTTGTCGACTTCAAGCATCTCAGCTTGACGCTCCGCAGCAGGAGAATATCTGCCCTTGCCAGGATTTACTGATCATTCCCATCCTTCTTTAGCGACGGGATCTGAGTCACTGAATGCCCAAAGGGAGTCTTCCTGGGAATGACACGTCGCGAATAACTAAAGTATTGAAGGTCGAAAATAAGAGCCCGTCAGGATAAATCGAGAATTTGAGACGATGGCAACTCACATGAATGATGTCTTATAGTTCATATTTTGATGGCCAAGAGGTTGAAGGAGCGGAAAAACACAACTTACTCACACCAGTCACATCTGGTGGCTTTGGGAGAATTGAGAGCATTGTCTGAGTGCGACGTGCGTGACGGTGTTGAGATCCTGAATGAGCCAACGTCTGTTATGTAATTGTCCTAGAATTTTGATTGCTACCGCACTGGCAGTCCGGAGTTTCACTAGCACTGTTCATTTGCGGTGCACCTTCCTGCAGACTCGCCGCCATGAATAATATAGAGACAGAACATGTGGGTTTGGTCGCGACAAACAATAAACTAGTACTGGGCAAGGTCCATGTTGGCAACGCCCCCCCTACTGTAATTGTCCTAGAATTTGATTGCTACATAGTACCGTGCGTAGTTGACTTGAAGATGAAGCAATGGATACAGTGAATATCTAATATAACACGACCAAACTACAGACGAAATATAACATCATGTCATGATTTTGTCTCACTTTCAGCTTTCTTTGTCGCCAGCTCCCTTTGAAGCCAAGCAGAGACCTCTCTAGCCGCCTCCAAAGGCCTGCTCTTCCGCGACATCAAATAACCCTGCAGAGCAGCCATCGACACCTCACGCTCCGGAATAGCTGACGCAAACTGTGCAGAAAGCGCAGAAAGTTGTTCGCTCGAGAGCTTTGGTGCATGTCCGCGGTGACGCGTGCCTATGTACATCGGAGCCGCACCCTCAGATTTTTCAGAACAGGCTGAAGGAGATGAGAGAGGGGAGTCAACAGTGTTTTCTGGGACGCCAAGGTCAATTAGGTTAGAGGAACCTCCGTCATGTGTGGAGCCATTAGGATGGGACTGAGCAGGATTGGAATTTGGTTCTCGGTCGTCATCTACGGGGGTCTTGGGCGAGGAAGGCAGGTAGAAACGCCTGAACAGCTCGTCTGCCTGATGTCTGCTCGCAAGCTTAAATTCAACATGGAGGTCCATACGACCGGGACGACATAGAGCAGGGTCAAGGGATGAATACTTGTTCGTCGTAGCGAACAGTATCCGTCCCTCTTGTGCGCCAATGCCGTCTAATGCGTTAAGTAGACCACTGAGCGAAACCCTGCTGGTAGTGTGAGTGGGCAGCCCAGGGATGGGGATGGGGATGGGCTCGGCGGTTTTGTTCGGTGGTGTGGGAGGGTCCTCCCGCGAAAGACTGTTATGGAGAGCAGCGTCGATGTCTTCCATGAGAGCGATGCATCTCTCCGGCAAATCTGAAATGAGTTCAGAAAGTCCAGTGTCGTCAAGGCCGCTGCGGGAGAGGGAGATGATGTAAACATCAAGTTCCAGTTCGCCCGCGATGCTATGAATTAGAGACGTTTTCCCTGAGCCAGGTGCCCCATACTGCAATGACAATTAAATGAGCGTCATAGAAAAACTCTTCAGACGAAATCATTCTACCAGTAAGTAACCACGGCGGAAAGGAATTCCTAGAAGCAGGTTCAATTGAATATCAACAGCTTCACTCCAAGTCTCAAGCAACGCACCTCGTTCAGCATACCACTGTTTACTGGCAAGGAAATCTTGCGCGTCCTCAACAACAAGTTCCCTAATTCCAGGATCTAGGATAATAGAATCCAGAGGCCGCTTGCGTCTCTTAGCAAGTTCTCTCCAGCAATTCGTACTGCAACACGTTAAAAGGGAGAACATCAAAAATTTGTAGGACTCACGAATCAGAAACGTAGACAGTAATGGAGCTGCCTTGCGCATTCTGATAGGCCTTTTTAGCTTCTTGTAGGATAGTGTTTAGAATGTCATGATTGCGCGCGAGGATGCTGTTTAGCAGCAGATAAAACAGACGATTTAATAAATGTTTGGAAAAGGTTACCTGACAGTCAATGAGTCCCTGTTGTTCGGGCCCCAACCAGGTATTGGCTCCGAAATACGGGTGATCCGCATCCATGTGTATTTGTACCATAGAGTATAAGACCCAGAGACTGCTGGCAGGTAGGAGACTTTGGGCTTCCCGGATGGATCAAGCTCCTCTTCGGAACGAGGAACATTCCCCAAATACCTTTCGCTAGTGCTGATATTTACGTTGCGCACATTCTCTGTGGACCGACAGAAAATATTTAGAAGAATACGAAAATGGTTGATCGGAATGCTTACTCCAGGATGGTTGCTTCGAAAGCCAGATCATCATCCATTCTGTCAAAATAACTTGTCATTGATTACCGCGCAACCGACTAATGGTCACTCACTGTAACTGTCATCGTAATCCTCAAACGAGGCGGTGAGAAAGAAAGAATTGATCATGGACGACCAGAGTGTGGCAAGGAGGCGTCGACATGTCTCAAAGAAGCTACCAATAATCAAAAGCTTTGCCCAGTCTCTCAGAGCAGAGATCGAAAGAATGAACGAGATCAATGAACCGAATCCATTCAAGGCAGCAGGTGTCGTCATATGCGGTGAGGTGCCATTGGTAGTCACGGTAGCGTTTGGACTTGAAGTATTCGACGCTGCAAGGTGCAGGAGCTGCTCGACGAGGTCTGGGAGGGACGCCAGCTTGGACTAAAAAAACTCGGGAACGCGGAAATGATTCTTGGAACACTGCACAGAGACACATTTTATATCGACCCCGTAGCTGCCGGACCCCCTCCTTATTATGACAAGGGATGACTCCGAGTCGAGCGTGACGCCGCGGGTGACTCAGAGCATCGTTGATAGGCTACAGCACTGACCATAGCGCTCGACGTTCACATTGACATGGAATCATCTAGATTGGCTGGTATACTTGGCGAACACGTTTTTGATGCCTATATGATATTATACCAAGTGATGTCGATTGACGAGCAGTCGATTGATACTAAGTCTGGACCCCGGTAGCTAGAGTGTCGGAGCTAAGTTTGACCTTTTGATCCGCTACAGCAACTGATTTTGAGCACCGGGCCATTTAAGTCTCCGCTAGAACCTTCACACCACGGTCATGACAGATCTAGCCACCCAACGTATCTCTTTGGACCTAACACATGTACTCTGTGCGTTAAAAAAAACCTGTATCTCGTGACCCTTGCCAGCTTACAGGTCCAGATGATCCTTCTTCAGACACTTCGTTGGTACTTGCATTGCTGACGCTGAGTCCAATCCTTCTCATGGTGCGAGCTCAACCATACACCGCAGCTTCGCGAGCGCTTATACGCCCACAACAGCCTGCATATGCAGTACTCGCAGTATATACCCGTGAATTGACCATCATCAACATGTGGACAGGACAACTCCTTTCAGAGGGTTTGAATTTGGCGTTAAAGCACATTTTCAAACAGGAGCGTCCAGTTGGTATGTATTCGTTTCCCAAACTATTCCCACATGAAGCTGTGTTTCAGTCTAAAAGGCTCTTGAAATATTTCTGATCAGATGGCCGGCTTCACCTTAATGGTTATGGCTTTCCCTCGTCGCACAGCCAGTACATGGGCTATTTTTCTGCATTCCTGATCTGTCACGTGTATTTTCGACACCGCTTTGCATCCACAGGATCCATCGTGTTCGATCAGCTTTTCCGAATAGTTGTCTACCTTGGACTAGCTGCGTGGTGTGCCATCGTTGCATATTCAAGGTAAGATTCTAGCAGGAATCGTTGACACTGACTTGGGCGCTCAACATTCTGTCAGACTCAACTTGCTGTACCACACGCCCCATCAAGTTAAATGGGGCGTTATGATTGGCTTGGTATTAGGTGTTTCACATTATGTGTGTACCGAACTACTTTCAGCTAAATTTCCGGACTCTATGTTTGGACGAATCCGATTTGCCATAGTAAATCACCCGATAAGCGTGTGGCTACAGCTAAGGGATGGCTGGGGGGTCTGGGCGGATGGTGGGAGAGGAGCTGAGTGGGAGCAGTGGAGAACTGAATGGCTGAAGCAGCATGCACGTCTAGCAGGGAAGAAAAAGACATGAGCTTCATCTTATGTTTTATCCATCAGATACATGATTGCGCACCACATCTTGGCTTTTACCTGCCCCAATGCATATCAAGTTTAGGATGGCACCGCAACCCCAAGGCAAATGATTTCTCATGAACAAAATAAACTTTCCTCGTGGAAGCCTAAATTCAACTAATCTGAGTGCTACTAAAGGAGTTAACGACTTATTTGGTCTGTCTACGGAAGACTAGCCACCTCAGGCAGTTTGTTATCGAACTTGACTTTTTACACACACCGCCTTCTACATGACTCAAACATACACTTTGTGACTCCTTTCACTAATAGATTGCAAAGACTTCTAGTCACATCAACAGATCTTCTGCATCATTGAACATCAAGGATGACAAGCCAACTTCATCCACTCGAGATTAATCCCCAAACTGGGGAACCATTCCTCCGGCTTGCCGCACCACACCAGAACATTATCATCACCCCACCTCGACAGGGAGATCAGTCTGTAACCATACAGCATATAAACGATCCGGCTATTTACAGATGGTTAGAGAACCCCCCAATCCCGTATCTACCGGAACACGCGGACTCTTGGATCCAGATTGTAATAAAGGAATCAGATGTTACTTTGGAATACCTACGAAAGAGCGAGGAGGAATTCCCTGATGGCCTGCTTCAGTTCGTGGATGCGTGCCCTGTGCGGCATATTAGGGAAGTCAAAGAGGATGGGACAGACGTTCTTCTAGGAGATGTGAATTTCAGAAGAAGTCCGTTCGAGGAGGTACTAGATGAAGTGGAACGGAAGCAAATGCAGGAAGATAATGCGAAAAAGCAAGCAGGAGACCCGACGATTGTGTATGCTATTGGAGGTATGTTGGTTCTCTGGACCTATGACGGTTGTCTCAGTGCTGACGAGTTTATCATGTTTTCGTTTGAGATAGACTGGCTCGCTGCGAGCCACCACGGAAGGGGCATCATGACTGCAGCAATCGGTCTATTGATGACCGCTTGGGGGATCCCTAGGATGGGAGTTCGCCATGTTGTAGCGCACACTTTTGCTGGGAATATTGGTAGTAACCGAGTTTTTGAGAAGAACGGGTTTGTGAACAGAGGGCTGTTCGACAACGGGAAAATAGCTAGAGGAGAGAAGAAGATAATGACCCTTCTTGAGTGGAAACACGAACAGTAGAAACGATGTGACTGTATTTCAAAGTATTTATTAGTGATCACGTGCAATCAGATGATCACAGACTGGACGACCTCGAGCACGAAGCCAGCGCAGTATATGCAATATTTTGAATACAGTTGGATGTATCACACCGGTGGAAATATTTGGGGAAAATGTAGATATAATGAGAGTAAAACGTGTAATTGTTGGCAAATTTCTGCGTGATATTGTGGTATATTTTCACACTTCAACCCACATTTTAACCGCGTCGTAATTCGCGCGTTTGTGCTGCCAGAGCCGCATCATTTGGGCGCCTCGAGTATTGAGCGCTGAGCATGAACATCTGGCGCTCTGTCACAAAGGCACTTCATCGATCAATGTCAACGTCAACTTCCTCCCTTCCACCATCACCCATCCCTCTTCTAACGTCGGTCGCATCGTACAGACGATGGCGGCAGAGAGCCTTCGATGAGGGGAAATCTGTGGGCTTCGTGCCGACCATGGGAGCTCTTCACGACGGCCATCTGTCTCTTGGTGAGCACATCCCACACACTTCTTTTTTGAAGTCTAAAAATACCTCCTTACTAATCTCAAACCATGCGATTCAGTTCAGAGGTCACTGGCCGAAAATGAGCTGACAGTTCTTTCCATCTTTGTGAACCCAGCCCAGTTCGCCCCGCATGAAGACCTCGCCACGTACCCTCGCACCTTACCAGGAGACCTGGAGCTCCTTACAGCACAACAGGTTACTGTGGGCGAGACTGTGAGGAAAGCCTCTGCCATATTTCTACCCTCGGTCCAGGACATGTATCCATCTGGTATAAGCCAAGATGTTTCAACACAAAAGGGAGCGTTCGTCGAGATGAAGGGATACGGACATCAGATGGAAGGCGCAAGCAGGCCGACATTTTTCCGGGGCGTGGTGACAGTTGTAACCAAGCTATTCAACGTGGTCCAGGTGAGAGGGCCTCTCCGCAAGACGCAGCTTAGTTTGACAACGACTGTAGCCTACAAATGCGTATTTCGGTCAGAAAGATATTCAGCAAGCCTTACTTCTTCGGAGACTCTGCAAGGACCTGCTTTTCCCACACCCCGAAGCTGACCACGTCCATATTGTCCCCACGACTCGTGACCCGAACGATGGGCTTGCTTTATCGTCCAGAAACGCATATCTATCTGAAAATGAGCGGAAATTTGCACCTGCGATTTACAAGGCCCTACAATACGCCAAGTCCGCGTGGTCGAACGGCGAATCCAAGGACCGATGCATTTCAAAAGCTGTCTCTGTCATCGACGAAGTAAAAGCACAGGCTGCCATAGATGGAGTGGATATGCGGCTGGATTATATAGAGATGAATGATTCGGAGACATTCGATGTCTTGGACGCGTCTTCGAATCATCAGTTGGCAGGAGATATACCTGTGATTCTGAGCGGTGCGCTATGGGTTGGGAAGACCAGGTTGATCGACAATATCGTAGTTGGTGACCTCAAACGTATAATAAGATAGCTCACAAATAGATGCGGGTGTGGCAAGATTATTAAATGCTGAAGCGCATCAGAGTCAGACTAGCTACTGTCCGATCCATTAGCAGTTGCCGAGCCACATCTCCTTCACCTCCAACTACTAGTACCTTCCGCGATCGCCAACCACCGTGACGATGGCCCGGGCGCATTCGAGAGTGATGCTAACCAACGGCACTTTGCCATCCACTCAACTCAACCAATTTTCGGCGGTACACCCTTTCACTCAGCAGGTATAGTATCGTTTTTGTACTTTTTTGAAGCGAAACGCCGAACACTTATGCTTCCTCAGCTAGACATCGTGTTTCCTGCTTCCGATGAACTCGAGAAGGCGCTTACATCCCTGAAGCCCACATACTATAAAAAATGTTGTACGCTATCAGATTTTTTTGAGTTTGCCTGCAACAACCCCGGCAGGTAAGGAAATTCTGAATCGTGCCTTGAAGAAACACTGATACGATCCTGTTATGTGTCAAACAGGAATATAACTGCACTGCCATCTACCTCCGAGTACGCCGATACATGGTGCATCGATCCTAGAGGCGTCCTCACCCTCTGCGTCTCAAAATCACTGTACGAGCAACTCGGCTTGATCGGGAGGAAACTCCCCTTCAAAGGGTGCCCCGAGCAGTACGGTATGTCACTCAGGATTCCAGCTCATGCACGAAAAAGAAGTGATGGAGACCTAGTGCAGTGATACGCATACCGGTTAGGCAAGAGACCGAATCTGTCGCTGTACGTGCGAAGCAGAAGGCTGCCCTGAAACTCTGGGACGAGCTCAGACTCGGAGAAGACGGTCTTGGGAAATGGAAAGTTCTGTACTGTCAAACAGGTGCGTGTGTAAGGTGGAGATTATGTATTTTCAGACCAACGCATTTTGGTGTTCTGTTAAGACGTCCAGCTAGGAACCTCCGACTCGCACGAGGTGGTGATTGTTCAGCCTCAAATCTGTCCTTCCGCCGATATACTTATCCCAGTCCCGGCACTTGCTCCCGTTCCCGAGGAAAGCACAGAGGATTGGGATGAACGTATCGGCGACCTTTTTGAATGGGTGGGCATGGCTTGCATAGGAGCTCCAAGGTTCGTGTCGTCACTTTCTCCAAACTTGTCCTCAACAAACAAACGGTAGACTGAAAGCAAATGACCGTGTCAATCCTTACGTTGCTGTTTACGAAGTTCCCACTCCTTCATATATCGGTGACGTGACACGGATAACATGGGCGGCTTTCCTTCACCAATCGTTCGTAAAAGACGCTCTGGACACGGTGACGTCAGACATTTTGAGGCTCAATGGTGTTAGAGAATTGATGATTTGCTGTGTACATAGGTCACATTTGGCATCTGCGACCGATAACCACGCGTTCGTTGCAATAACGAGACAAGGTTGTTGCACATCGCCTGTTGGCGCCATCCCTGATGCTTCTTTCGATACGGCCCGAGATCCACCTCTCCGAGTACCGGAAATCAACGCGGAGGACACCGGCTGTTTCATCCTTGGCCCGGGTCAAAATGGGAACTTTGTGCTTGCAGAGAGTATTGGACAATGGGATGCGAGATGGGGCTGATTCCATTATGCGCTGTAGTAGTCGAATCCACGCAAACGTTCTGATCGCAATTTTCGCAATACAAGGGATGAACAATGCTGAAAGCGGATGAATTCAGAGCACCAAGTCTAGTCTATACTTCCGCTAAACAACGTCTATAAAAGCACAGTATAGTACAGTAAACGACGTGGGTCATTTACGGCCATTGTAATAGTGCAATAAGTAATGGATTAGCTGAGTGTATGAAGCAGGATAAAGATCAGGTGAATGGTGCATGCTGGAACGCTTCGATAACCCTAGTCAAAATGAAGGAAAGGAAGACGTTATGTATCAAAAGATTGCGATGATGCGATGATTTACAAGTTAAGCCATGACGTCACGGACACGGACGAGTGCGGGGGATATATGAGTATGAGACATGCGTGCGTTATTGTTAGGAAGAGGACTTGTGGCGGCTGGCGAGTATGTCTGGCGACGAGGCGCCCAGGTGTAAATACGAGGTGAGACTGTGGGAGGCGGTGACGGGGAAAAACGAGAAAAGGATGCGTGGCGTCGTGGTGGTGTTGATGATATATGGTGGTGATAGAACGAGGAGAGAGATAGCCCTTCACCGGATGAAGAGGAGTTTGTGCCGGGAACAGGGATGGGTGCACTGGGGCTCGGAAGAGGGAGTTCATCTCGAGGTTCATGATGACGGTGATTAAAGATATTATGTGGCTGCGTGGCAAATATTGGCTGTGGAGATGGATCTAATGATGCCATCACATCCCGCGAAGAGTCGATCTCTACTGATTCGTGCGACACTGGCGCATCACTCTGGACTTCACCAGGGGTAGCATGGGCCGCGAGACGAACTCGGACGGGAGCTTCCGCCTCCATTGTCTGCCTTCGGTAGGCCTGACCAATGTACTGGGCTAGGCTATCACCGCCAACAGCCATTGGGCTGTCACGGTCGAGAAGACTGCCCTCACCGGTGAGGTCTAGTCTGATAACTACGGCTTCTCTGTCCTCCTCCATCTCTTCTTCATCTTCCGAGTGTTCTACAGGCATGTGGTCAACGAAGGCCTCGTAAACTGCCTGGTCGCTTTCGAAGAACTCGTCAGAGTCTGGATCGAAAGCGTTGATATGTGACCACTTTTCGTATGGGCAAGGAGCCTCTGGCTGTCTGATGATAGGTTCCGTCTGGAAAGCTTTAGAGTAAAGAGGGCGACCCATTTTTGATAATAAAACAAGTAGTGATAAAATTTTTGAGAAAGGGAGGGTATATATACGGAGGATGATGATCGCCAACTTGAACAAGACGCGTTAAAACACGCATTGATTTTTTTCCGGGCTTTAATTATAGGTTCGTGATTTCATGTACAAGGAGTTTAGGGCAGGTGCGGATTTTGACGGTAACTATGTGCTGCTGACAAAGTTTGTCTTGGCTTAACGGAATGTTCCAGTCCGCCTCAATGAACGTTCTTTTCTGATTGTACTCGGACTTCAGTTATGGTATCACTATCCTTTTTTTGAATAGCTCCACGCTATTATACTTTCAGCACACCGAAATGAAGTGTCGAAAGTGGCTATGGCATTCTGATGGACTGCTCATGGTCAATTTCGTACAAAGAACGAGCCAAAAACGAAGATCCTCGCAACAACATTCCGTGATATACTTTCCGGCGGTATTGCATAACCACAAAGTAGTATACGCCGTGCAGCGCCACTTCAGACCCCGTGGTTCATGCCGACATACATCCGCGCTTCACATGACCGGGGTCTTCGGACAGCCGAATCTCGGTCTCGTTGCAGCTTGGCAGGTGATGGCATCTGGGCGTCAGACTATAATAACTGCGAACGTCGTGGGTAAATCCGAGCTTTCTGATCGTATTTCAGCAGCTTCTCGAACGATGGAAGTCTCCCCGGGGCTCGAGCGCTTCCGAGTCAAGGTTTTGTGTATGTAAGTCTCCAAAATTGTTTCATGCATTGTCAGATAGGCTATGATTCATATTGGTCACATCTCCGACCCGGACCAACCAGATATGCTTGAGATTTATACACAGCATGCCCAGCTTACTGGCACATTATTGGAGCATGAAACCCGTCGGTTTTGCTCAGTAGGATTGGCATCGATAGGTAGGAACGATTTTCTTCTTTCTATTCGGTTTGCTTGTCAGGGGCAACTAACTTAATAGCTGATCACGAGGCTCCCACAATCCACTGTGGCACTCGGTATACTACTAGCATCCCTTCCTGTGTAATCGGTACCCACAGAGCTCGGCACTTTCACAAAAGTCGCATTCCTAGTCACTTAAACACTACATTCTTGACCTATATATCATTCTCTCTCTAATACAACTCATTGCGAGGTTGAACGACCATGATTGAGGCAGAATTGAGTAAGATAGTTGAAGGTGCTGAAGTCATGCAGAAGTGTCACCTGCCGATATGTGCCGTGATGCACTCGACAAGCTTGTGCCGAGTGCCGCAACGATGCTAGATATTTTCATCAGCCAATTAAATTTTATTGCAATACAAGTCTAGCGGGTGAGTAGAGGGGGGCTTCTATGCATCATGTATCACTTGATATTTGATGGACGTCCTTTTCCTCCTCCCTGAGATAAAATTTAATTTCTCGTGAACCCCTCATGTATATTTCAAGTGCCCATATCGTCGCGTCGGAGGCATCTAAACGCCGCGGCCGCCCAAAAGGAACAAATGCTTGGAACCTGAAACTTGTGCGTGCCTTGTGTGCAGACAGACCACTGAGGGCGGAGACTCAGGACAAATTCTTGGGTGGATGTACATCTAGTCTGGTGATCAAGTATCTATACTACAACCGCAATTAGAAATGATCGGATATATAGCGGAAAAGACGAATACGTAGCCAGTCGTATCAAGATTAAAACCCATACAGTTATACTAAACGTTGCACTGGAACGAGGTAATTCCCTAGGATGTACGGGTGGAAGGCACTTTGGACAGCGATGCATACACATTTTCCGCTGGTTACCTTGTGAATCACTCATCCCTATCTTGTATTTTATCTGGCAATTGTGACCCTAGCCACCTCAGTACACCAGCCAGCACAATGAAGATAACATAGACTGCATTCCCGTTCAGAATATTGTGTTCCTTTGAGAATGCAAAAAGCGAAGTTGCAAATGCAGGCCCAACGACACGAGCCATGGACGCGGAGGTTTGACCAAGACCATTGACAGTGCCAAGGACATTCTTTGCGGGGGCAGAGGCCGTGATAAACATGAATACGGTCCCTATAATGAACCGGGTTTTAGTTTCAATGGCAGGATGGGTTTCGTCGTAACACGCACCGTATGCCATATCCCATATCATCGTCAGCGCTAGTTGGCTGATTAATGTAAGTGTGATTGCATGATCAACCATCCCCCTTGCGTGTACAAGCCACGACATGATAGGAAACATGAGCATGATTGGCGCGAAGCACGACACGGCACCACAAAAGAAACGCTTTGGACCAACCCAATCGACAATTTTGGCGAAGAACAGTGCCTGGAAGATACCATTTGCCATTGCATATATTCCCATCCACAAGCCAATACGAGCAGGAGTGAAACCAAGGCCGCCAAGATAGGTAGGCGTAGAAAGGAACAGCGGTAAAATAGCCATGAGAGCAATATCAAGCAAGGCGAGCATGGTGTAGTTTGCAATTGGAATGACAATGGTAGGTGTGAGCAGAGATCGCATGGGCGTGTTAGATGTCTGTGAAAGACCTTCTTGATCATCACTGTTGGCATCATTTGAAATGCCTAGAGTGGTTGATGTCAACTTTGATCGACGCTTGGTTGATAATGTCTGTCGATCGTGAGTAACATTGTGCGATGACACAGGTAGTATGTAAAACTCACTTCTTCTAAGAAAGATACCACGATGAGAAAGCCCAGTACAAACGTGCAAGCAGACACTGCACAAGGTAGAAAATATGGGTATTTGCTCCAAAATGGATGCGCGAATAACTTGGGCCAGTTGTCTTGTGGACGCGCAAGTATACCACCTATTAAGGGACTGGTGTGCAGATTTAATTTTGGCCATTTAAGTAGTCGATGATTGCACTCGCCCAATAAAGCCTCCAATGCACCACATTACTGGAAGCAAGGCAAATCCCTGAGCCATATTCGTAGAGTCTGTCAATTCGCCCAACATAGTCTTCAAAACTGAAACATTGCCGTTCAGTACACCGCACATGCAGCGGCTAAAAATAACGTAAGGGTTGTATTTCATCTCTTTAGCTGAAGCCATACCTAACGACAAGGCCCCAGAACGTCGTCGAGAGACCGAAACACAGCATTGACATGCAAGTTCCTGATAGCCCCACTAGTAACACTGGCTTGCGCCCAATACGGTCAGACAACCGACTCCATCTCAGTACTGTCAGTGTCTGTGCGACGAAAAACAAAGACTCCTGTCAATCGTATCCGGTAGTATGAGAAAATTATGATTCTGGCAACTCATAATCTCGGTGCCTACAATTATTCCAGCATAATATCCTACAGCCGCATCATCACCTCCAGTGATGCCAAGTTCTCTGATAAGCTGAAAATAAAAATATGAAGAATGGATACAAAAAAAACTGATGCGCCCATTGTGAAATCATCGTACCTGATTGATGTACGGAAATATGGACATCGAAGCGATAGGTTCGACAAGACGCAATGTCATAAGTATGCCTATCTGAAGTTTTGGAAGAGGTGTTTTAGGCTTTTTCGAGGTCCCTGCTGAGACCAGAGGCGTGGTTTCGCTCGTTGTGCGAGGAGAATTTGAGGTGTCCATTCCGCTAGTCAGCCTTGCAAGTTCAAAGAGGAGATGAAGCGGACTACCTTGACATGGACGTAAACTGTATTTATGGCCTGCCGTGACCAGCTTGTGGACTTTTAAACTATTACCATGCCATCCCTTCCGGCGCATTGGCTACCGGTACCCTACAGACTTCATCAGAAAAGACCAATGATTTTCGCTTGCCAGAAAGAAGTTTGATGCTTACGATGAGCTTCCGGCGTTGGTGACGACACAAAGCGATTTGTGAAGGTTCCAAGGTTGTGATATCATTGGTGTCTGTGGGTCTCTATTGGGCAAATCGGGACGCAAATGATTGCTTGACCTTCTTCAAGGGACGGGCCAGACCTTGGAACCCCTTTGCGACAGCTTTTTGAGTGACTTGACTCTCTCGGAGATGGACGGCGCAATCATTACGTCGTTCATCTCCGAGAGAGTCAAGTCATCTAAGTCTATGACTATAGTGTGACCGTGTAGATGATGCATCAGATGCCTTCTTTGTGAGTTTGCCCATGGAGAGACGACTGGGTGACTGGGACCTCCTCTGTCGTGAAGCGTCAGCTCGATAAATTGTTAGAACGAATGATAGGGGCGCAAAAGACATGACAAAAATCAGTATGTATAGCATTCAGGTGTGAACTTGTCTTTCAGAGAAAGACTCAGTCTGTTCAAGTCCGCATCGTCCGACGATGCGGACTTGAATAGACTTGTTATCCATGGTAAAATGTAAACCAAGACTATGTAGTGTATACAAACACCGTCCAGCTGAGTTACACCAAACCAAAATTGAAGCAGAATTGAATGAGATAGTTAACAGTTGAAAGTGCACTTCGAAACTTGAAATTTGAAAACTTTTACGTCCGGAAACGGCCGAAAAGGGTACCTCCTCGGTGAGTGAGTTTGGGTTAAAGGTTATGAGACTTGCTAGTGGGGGTCTGATGCTTCCTACACCCACTAGCCCTCCCAAACCATAAACCACCCTACCGGTGGGTCATGATTACTGGATGCAGCTGGCCGGTCACATCGGACGTGGTGCAGTCGTGCGACGGAATCTGTACATATACTAGGTGCACCGTGTAGTACATAGACGGCTTGGCGGTGGTATTATTCCTAAACAGAACTTGGAGGGCGCGGTTGGAGTAGCGGTAACCCCAACGAGAATTTTCGCAGGTTTGAAACTACTGCTATCCTCGGCGTTCCTCCTTATCCTACATAGGAGACGGGTGACTGCAGCAACTAGTCGCGCTTCGCTTATCCAAGCTAGTGACTCAAACCCTGTGTGACATTTGCGTGACTGCCTGCCGATTAGGGATAGTATCAATCCAACTATATATGTGGTACCAGCCATGATATTGATTCTAGCCTTTCCTGCAAGATACTTTGTATTGATAACTGGGGTAACGCCATTGGATTCTGGAAGGTCAAGCACAAAACCCATTTGGTAGTTATTAAAATGATGAGCCACAAATCGTTAGACATTAATGTATTGTTACATCCAGTCATAAATCACATCATAAGTTACATTGAGGAAAGGGAAAAAAAACCACACCGTTCACATCGTACCGCAGTTTTCATAGAGTGTATCTGTACCCACTCCATTCGTCTCCCTTTTCCCTCTTGGCATCTTCAACGCTTGCGAAACGACCGTTGACTTCAAAGCCTCCCTCACGTCCCTCGATGATTTCGTCTCGCTCTCCGCGGTCCCGACGAGCGTTCTCCCGCTTTAAGAGGAACCTGAATGTGGCCGTAGCGATGAGACCAGTTCCGATGTACATCAGCACAAGTTCGTGGCCTAATGGGTACCAAGGTGTCTGGTTTGCACGATAGACGTTGGAACTAACGGCGCCTTGCAAGTTACCCCTGAGTCGGTGTCAGTCGTAGATCACGCGCACCCCAAAAATAACTCACCAGCTGATGACCATCGCAAGAGCGACACTACGCTTGTATGTTCCCTCTGAATTGTTAGACATCCAGGCACTGTTTCCGATCGGTCAGAAGGGAACAAATCGTTAGTGGATCACACTTACACCGTGTTTGCTGCGGAATCAGAAGTGATCGGCATTAATGCTAGAGATACCATAGAAAGAGCGCCACTCACGAATGCAAGGGTAAATGCCGCTACATTGTACTTCATCAGGCATAGATCAATTTCATAGTAGAACTGGCTTACCAAGCAGATAAGAATACCGCAAAGTATGACAATGCGGCGTCGCGGGAGACTATCAAGATGATGTATCCAACACCGGCTATAAACATCCCAGATAGCGTGAGCGACGTTGTTACCACGAGGGCGCACCATGCAAACTTACCGATGGAAAGCAGAATGCTAGAAACAAAAACATGGTGGTAAGCAATGGAGCCGCAGTGTAGCGAATGGTAAACCCACAAGTTAAACATCCCACGGTTGCCGTGCCGGTCGGCGAGGAAGCCGACGAGGCAAGTAGATATGCAAGCAAGCGCATAAACAGGGACGGTTAGTAGATTCGCTTTAGTTGCAGAGTATCCTGGGGACAATCAATCGGTGAAATGAATGTCACATCTTAGAGTATGAGAGCATACCGAGCTGTTGCACGAGAGTTAGCAAGTGCGATTCATAAAGACGGAACGTAAGACCATGGACTCACGTGGTTAATGATACTCGGCAAGAACAACGCGAATGCATACAAAGGCATGTCAATTCCGGCGTAGACAATCACTAAGACAGCTTGTTAGCGAACGTAAGTTGCGGATTAGGTGGACTTACTGGCAAGGTAGGTTTTCCATTCGGTCAGTGCCTTTTTGATGTGTCGCCACTGCATCTTCTCTCCAGCAGCACTGAACTGGGCGTCACCCTGCAGGCGGCGAATAACGACAGTCCGCTCGGCCTCGGTAAGGAACGTTGCGTTGTCCGGGAAGTCGACGATAATCCAGTAAGAGACAGCACCTGCCACGACGGTAACAAGGCCCTCGATGATAAATATCCACGCCCAGGCAGGCTTTCCACCGATCCCATTCATCTTGGCTATGCCGACCTGCATGGCACGAAAATTTTAAATTAGAAGAATCGCTAGTTGTAATTGGCACATACAGCGAGAAGGCCACCAAATGCGCCAGAAATGGTCGCAGCCGAGAAGAATATGGCAGCGCGGACACCAAATTCCGAACGCTTATACCAGCTGCACGGACATCATGATACAGATCAGACAACGCTTTCGCACACAGAAGAGCTAGTCGCACGTACCATGAGAGATAGTAGGTGACTCCGGGAAAAAGTCCAGCCTCGAAGGCGCCAAGCATCCATCTCATTACTATTTTGAGTAAAGAATTCAGTGATATCCGACAATCACTAGGCGATGTACCAACCTAGTAGACCGCTGTAGTTGTGCACTAGGCCTTGCACAACCTGTAGAGGGCACGGGATTAGTGCGACTTGATCCAGAGAATAGCGTCGGAATACACACCATCATGATACCCCAAAGAACCATGAGCGTCGAAAGCCATACGGAGGGTTTTAGACGTTTCAAGACGACGTTTGAGGGCACCTGGTACAAGGTCAACTCGCGTCCATTGATCTCAAGATCACGCTCACCTCGAATAATGCGTAGGATATAAAGAAAATCGTCAGGCATATCAAATACTGAGTGTCAGTTAGTCCTAATTGCGCCTCCATGTTGTACAGCTACGAAGAGATTAGATCTCGTGTGAGTGATGTTCCAGTGGATGCATGCTCACCTTTGCATTTCCAATACTCGTTCTGTCGAGGAAGCAAAGTAAATACAGAAAAGATAACCATGGTATAGTCCGCATGTCAACTTTTCGCATTAAAGCGCGTTCGTCGATACCCGAAATGTCGATATGAGGGTTGTAGAGCCCGCCTTCGGCAGCAGCCTTTCCATCCTCGACATGGACCACATCATCTTTCTCGGAGATGCTGGGTGATGAAGACAACGTCATGGTATATGGTGTAGGGATGTCTTCAGTCGATGGGTGGATGGGGTGGCAGTAGGAAAGGGACCTCAACTTTGAAATTAACGGAGTTGCAACCTATATAAGCATCGAGTCCGCATGTTTTCTCGGTGATGACAGACCTGCAAGCGACTTCACCCCACGGTCACCACCCGGTCTCTCTTGGTCACCCCTGGTTCTTTGAAGGTTCTGTCAGACCAGACTCCAGGAACATATCGAGTTGTCCAATTCGGTAAGTCGAGAGTGATCGTTGATCTAAGCACGTTGCCGCGGTTCATATCCGTTATTGAACCAATCACGATGGTTGTTTCAGCGTGATCATGTGCGCCAATCCAAGCTAATGACAACGGTTACAATCATTTACCCCACTGATGAGTAAAGATAGTGGCACATCCTCCAGGCTGTCGAGTCCCAAGTTCACAGAATGCACCCAGCGGCGGGCGAGTCGCGTTCGCGTGTGATCTTTTTGGGAAAAATTGTTGACCTTTGTTGTGGCCAACCTCATCCGAGTCCTGTAGATTTAAAAACGACGTGCCTCAGGTAGGCTGCAGTTCGATGCACTGATATATATAGATCGATATGGAGATCCTACTAGGCTACCGCTAGCCAGTAGGTACTAAAATCAGCTGATTTGCCTTCGAGTGCGACAGCTCAAGAGATGACTCAGACATTAATATTGGCATGTACAGGCGTGTCAGGGCGTGTCGTGTGATCGAGACGCCGACATCCAATTTTTCGATGGGGATTATGTTCCCCAGCTTTCACAGGTGATGAAATTTCAGACGTATTAGAAATTAAAACCCCCACCCCCACTGAACTGCTTCGTATTACTACGAGACCATTAGACGGATGCGCAGCAAGAACAAGTATTCTGGGGTGCTCCGCTGAGGATACACCTGACAGAAAAAGCCAATCGTAGGTTCCTGTGCCTGTAAGTTATAACCCCGGATCAGACTTACTTTGACTTGTAAAATACCGGAAAGAGATCATGTGAGGGATTTCGTGGAACCACAGTTACAAATAAGTAGCCTTGGCGTGTCGTTGCAGATTTGACGTTGAGAAGAACCGGACACTCATGATATACTTGTTGTTGGCATAGCCGAATAACTGCAGCCTGCAGCCTTTGTTTATTTTCGATGCAAAGGGGAGACACCGCCATATAATCCCTCTTGCTCCGACACACACATACTTCCAGTTCTCTTGGAGTAGATGGAAGGGCATATTGATGGGAATGATCGATGAGCGGACCGTCGCGGTATTCAAAAGCGCGCACAAAACTTGGATACCGATGTGAATATCAAATACACGTCAAATAAGCAAAGAACGTATTAGAAAAACACGCACAGGACCCGGATAATATGTCGAGACCAAGAAGGGACGTATCATGGTCACTGCTGTCTGGCAACAGTCTTTTGGCGAGCCATGGCTTGGCTTCGAGCAGCGCCTCCGTACCCGACGACAACCTGCCAACTGTCACCATGCCAGGTGCCTATGTCATACTGATGTCAGATCTTCGACGGATGAAACAAACCTCGTATACTACTCACCCTCGACAGGTTTTGTTCAAATGTCTACAAGGTCTCACTTACGCCGTGAGACTCTTCGAATATGTGGAGATATCGCAGCCCTTCGGTTGTCTCAGCTATGAAGAACAGTCGGACAGCCAGTTCCCTAGTCTAACCACGGAAAGGAAAGAAAGACAAATGCGAATGGGATTACAGGATGAAAGAAAAAAAATTATCATTGGAAATAAGATAAATTGCATATACAAGCACGCATCAAAACACCCAAGCCTCTCCATCAAGAAAGAAAGTGAACGAACATGGATGACAGATGCACCGTCGTAGTAGTGTTAGCTGTGTTGGCCCAGAATTTTCACTTTGACCTGACAATCGGAGTATAACACTCGTATCATGTCGAAGCGAAATATTAATCTCGCACGGACAGATCACTAATTGCGGGGAAACGCTCTTGATATATGTTTTCCCGCGCCGTAAGATCCAATCGCAAGTCACAACCCTCTCGTCAAGTTCCTAGTTCGGGAGCTTTGGTGACGACTTGTCAGCATCAAAGCCCCCGTTCATCACGGACTCATCTTCCAAGGCTGTTCATGATCCTCCAGCCATATCCAAGAGCCCTTCTATGCTCTTGCCCAAATCCCCTCCGTTGGCCTCCAGTACCCAGTCGCGTACCTCTGGGTCCACTCCTGGGAAAATCTGGGCTAGAGTCGCACGAGCAGCAGCGCTCGCTTGTGCATGCGCTCGGTCGATTTCTGCTTCGACAGCAGTAAGGTCCAGCGAGGGAGTGGGCGTACGAGATATATGTTGGCCTACAGAAGGTGGTTGAAGGTGCTGTGGAATAGCGTTGGGGGGAGGTAATGGTTGGGCAGGACCAAGCGCAAGTGCTTGGTGTACATATAGCCCTCTAGAGCCAGGTCTACTTGGGGTTTCGTCGGCTCCGTAAGAGTACCCCATGTGCGTGGGTGGAGTTGGAACAGGCGACGGACGACGGACGCGGGGCTTGTAAGGTGTTTGCATGGGCGCCTGAAGTCCCTCACTGCCTGTCGGTGTGTGCGGAGTACCACCAGCGAACTGAGCAACCTGGTCAGGGTGTGACCAGTGTCTCTCCCGCTCTTCTCTACCAAGCTCAAAGGGCGCAAACGGTCCTGGAAGGTAGCCTATCTTTTCATCTAGTGCCTCGCTGAATATACGACTGATGGCACCGAGAGGTTTTGATACCACATCCCCGGTCTTCTGCAATAACTTTCGAGCATCCTCGCCAATTGTGAGATTCTGGGCTGATGACGGGACGGCGAGAGCGAGCGGTTGTGCAGATTCTTCTCCTGCGTGTGGAGATTGACGTGGAAGTTGATTCGGGGTTTGTGAGCCTTGGGCTATGGTTGGTGAAGAAGGAAGTGACGGAGGGAGTGTTTGGATTGCTGCCTCTACATTTCTGTCAAGAGGAATGAACATGAATCACGAACTGAATGTAAATTATAAAAACCTTTCAAATTCTGCCTGTGATATACTAGAGAGCGATGTATGATCCATACTTTCAACGAATTGTACAGCACCCATCTGAGAAGTAATCATTAGCACGAGTAACCGACAAAGCAGTCATAGACTGACGAGGCTTGAAAGATAGTAACCCGCCTCGCTCTGTAGCTTCGCAGGATTTCGAAAGCGATTTATAAACCTTTGGGAAATTTTGTCAACTTCGTTGGGCCTTGCACGGTGAAAAAACCTGTACACACTCAACGTTCGAAAGCAAATGCTCAGGGTTCGCTCTCAAGACCACGTAAATCAATATCGGCACAAAAGAGTCTGCACCTTCCTCCTTGCGTAAATGTCGTATCAAACCTGGATGACATCCGAGAATGTGAACATGCTGCTGAGATAGAAAGTGAAAAGCGCGAACCAAAGATAATCTTGCAGCAATTCAGAATGCAGATGAGTTTATCCCGTGGAGCCTTGTAATGATTCACTTTGCAAAGTTCTGCCACCATTTAGAATTTGGCTGACTAGCAAGGAGGATGAATACTACATACCCTGTTGAGCAAATTCTAAAAATCCAGTGTTTCCATCGTTATCGTCGGATTCGAGTTCGGGTATATCAAGATGTCGGGGTCGTACCCAGCTAAACAACGCAATCCGTTGAGACAACACACGATCGCGTTCGAGGTCATCGGCTGTGACTGGTCGGGGTGGAGTAAGGAGAGGAAGACAAGGCGTGTACGTGTATTCATAAAGCCGGTTCATCACTAGTTTCTCCATTCCTTCCATTGCGTTGTCAAATTCTTCCTCCGTTGCATTTCTCCAAATGTCCGTTTCCCGCATTTTCGTGGCAATGAACTGATAAACTTGAATGTCTTGATTTTGAATAGAATGAAAGACACGTACGCTCAGGAAATCATTGATTATCTTGATCTGGTCGTTGACGGTAAACGTCCGTTTCGTGAAGTTGCTGAGAAACCTGCAGAGTGAAGGACGGCGAAGTGAGCTCCTATAACGTACACAATGTCACCAGACGCACGATCGCACGTATTTGCCAAGTGGTTCGGCACCCCTAGACTTCATCTGGTCGAGGAACTTCTGGAAGTTGAAAGAAGGGTCCTTATCCTTGCGTGGAGACTCTGATCCAGATGGCGATGTAATAGCTGGAGTCGCGGACCGGGTGTCCGGTGCGCTTTGTGTCTTCGAGGCAGCGTAATCAGACGGAAGAGGAATCTGCTTGGAAAGCGGTGATGGCGCAGTAGACTGAGACTGTTGCTGTGCAAATGAGGACACGGTTGTAGGCGAGGGGGTGGCAATGGGTTTGGCCGCATCCATCGACAAGGGCCGAGGGCGCGCTCTAGTCGCCACGCTAGGGATGGAGAAGGTCCTAGCTATTGCAGCGAGTGATGGGAAGGCAGATGAGGCGGAAGAAGTCGATGGTTGTGGGGAGGGTGAACCAGATCTGGAAGAAGGCCCATCACGTTGAATGTCCTTCGAGGCAGACCTGGAGTGTGCTCGACTACTCGGCCGCGATGGAATTCGGGGAGGTGGTGGATGCCCTTCTGAGCTGGCCCAGGCCTGGTGCGCACTCAGCTCGTCCTCGTTTGTAAAAGGATCAAACTGAGTCAGAACATCCTTGCTAACACGCACTTGGTGATCGAGAGCGTTGTTGATTAAGTCTGCAGGTGCAGCGAAAACAGATGGTGAAGCGGCGTTAATCGCTGTTGGATCTGGGGTATGTGCTGGCTTCAAATCGAGCTTCAGCTGCTCCTCTGACCATGGATTCTGGGCTTCAGTGATAGATGGGATGGCAGGAGTCTGTAAGCCAGGAGGAGGGCGTGAATCAAGAGATATGTGAAGGGAATCAAAGTCGGACGTTAATGTTGAGTTTTCCTGAGCGTCGACCATATCGTGCTACTGGATGACACGCCTGACGGAAACGACGTGGAAGTCGAAGGTAGAAGCTGGCAAGTACAGACACTTAGAGCCAGTGCAACATGATGCACAGCACCACACTATCCATAAAAGTACATCGTCAAATTTAAAGTGCCGCAGCCGTCAGCGTCTAAATAGACTCAAGCTACAATTGCAAGCTTGGCTGGTCAAATTTACGCAAGTCACTGCGAAAGAATCTTCAACGAAGCTGGCATACGACTTCAAGCTTCAACCGCCGGCATATACTTACTAGCCCTGGACCTCACATACTCTCATGCTAAGCCAGCATCTGCCTCCCAGGCTCATAGTACTAAGGGTACAAAACGCTGGTTGTGGCCAACAAAGCCCTAGGTGGTGAATCTCGGATCTCGGTGGGCACCTCCTCAATCAGATTCGGCATGTGTTACCTGCGGCGCGGAATGCCTATTCGATTCGCACTCTATAATGGCCACGAGATTTATTGAGGCAGCGACCACAGGTCGGTCAGTTTGAGTTTTCCCTCGGCATAGTGGCGAGCTTCGAGGAAACTCGCTTTACCATTCTGAAGTGACACCCAGAGGCTCAGTCTCTGAGCGCGTTTTACATAACATGCAGTATTGGTCTTGCACCAATGGTGTTCTTATTCCATGGAACTTTGTGTCGTCAAGTCTCACCTCGGAGGCTCGGACCCTTGAACATTCGACAACTCAGAAACACTTCACTCATGGTAGCCATTTACTGGTTTCAACTCGCTGGTCCTTGCACGAATTAAGTACCTCCTTGCTAACCGGCGGCAATACGACCCAGTCAACAACCCTAATATGCACGTGTCAATCTCATATTCAAATCAGTGGTCTTTTTAGGACAACAGTCCGCGAGTTTTTGAACGAGATTGACTGTTCGATATAACAATACTCTCATGTGAGTTCCAATACACTCCATTCCGATTTAACGGTCCCGATCACTGGTATAGTTTTTCATTGGCATCACACATCCTTCTTTGCCTTTCCTTCTCTTGCGGCCTTTGTCCTGATCAATTTTTCGTTGACGTCCACCACGCTTCATTCCTTCTTCTCCTCCCCTCTCGATACACCGCTCCCAACCATTACAGGTGTTTGTCGATTTCTCCGCATACCCTTCCTTGTATTTCCTTCCCCATACAGCCCCAGCCCCGATCATTACAGTTTTTTGTTGATTGCTCCACATATTCTTCTTTTGCATTTCCTTCCCCATACAACCCCAGACCCAATCAATACAGTTTTTTGCCAATTCTTCCACACGCGTCATTCTTGCCCTTTCCTTCTTCACATTCCTCATGAACGCTCCAATCTCGATCATCAGTCTTTTGCCGACGCCCTCCACATGTTATTCCTTCCATTCCCTATTCCTTCCCCATACTGCTTCGGTCCCGATCATCTCTTTGTTGACGTCCTCCAGCATTCTCCACATGTCCGCCCTCCCCTTTCTTCCCCCATTTGGCCTTAACCCCTAACTCTGCGCCCAACCTTCACTTAGCTGATCGCCGACGATGCCACGACGATACCAACACTCATTGCTACTCACTTGTGGGCGCTTGTATGTACATTTGATCTCGACTTTCAAGGGTGTTTACGGATCAGAGGTTGGGAGACACCAAACCGGAAGGGGAGAGTTTCCTGATCGAGCATGCATCTTGGTTAGCATATCTTCTTTTGTCTACTTACCGTTATCTGAGAAAACAACTGTTCGACAAGTGACATATCTCCATGGCCATGTGGTGCTTTTGTACCTTTTGCTGTCGTATATGTATTTAGTATGTCGTAGAAGTGCATCTGTAAGACCTCTCTTCGATGGCGTGCTGCACGAAGTTTAATTATTATTATTCCCTTGAAGTGCATACTTCTTATGTTTTCCAGCATTCGAGGAGAGTGGTCGCTTATTGTACTGACATTGATAAGCAGCAGTTCTCAAGACCCTGCAGGCACGCACGACGATATTCAAAAACAAAACAGGGTCCTGCTGTCTGATTCTGTGTGTCTGTCGCAAGCAAGCGAAAGACACGCATGTTATGGCCGTGACAGTCGATCATTGGTAGCGGAATTATTCGTCAAACTTCCACTGATTCGACCAATCGATGGGAGCAAGATGAGGCGGCGAAAGCAGTTGTACGGGTACCAGGTTGACCGCTGTACCCCTTCATTGGTTGACGATGGGCCGCGACCTGTCGGGATCGTTTTATTTTTATTTGAGTTATCCGACTGCTGTTAGTGCGGAATAATAGAAGCGGGCCCTGGCGGGCCGTAAATGCAATCTCATTGACCGGATCCGTAGAATAGCCGTCAAAGTAATAGTGAGTAAGTTCCTATTGGTCCCAATGATGATCCTTTGTGTGGTTGGCGGGGGCGGGCAAATTATTTTTACACAAATGGCTGGGTGACGAGATCCGGGGGGATCATGCGAAACTGCCTAACATGAATTGGTTGCTGTATGTGCTCCGTGCCAATCAGGCCAACTGGCTACGGGATCATGGTAGGTGTTTGGCAGATATGCAGCGTGGCAGAAGAAATGCCCAAGTTTGACTTCAGAATATCAGAACACTGGCCAATTGTTGGGAAAAGCCGGTTATTAGACGCCGATATATTTATCTTAGTTCAATTTATGTGGCTGCGTCTGGTTGAAAGGCGTACCGCCGAGCGTTAACGTTTAACGGTCACCAGTCAGAGCCCACGCCACCTGGCAGGTCGTAAGCTATGGAGTAGGGTCATATGATACTTGGCATGGGAGGATACTGGCACCTTGCAACTGCGGGGCTCCAACAAGCCATGTTAATTATGTAACATACGTTTCTAGTAGGGGGTGCGGAGAAGTTTCGGCGAAGAAAGTTGGTCCGAACCATAAAGATGAACCTTCCTGATTTGCATGCTGGCAAAGTTCCGATGACGAAGGCATGCCCACGATCAACGGGCATAACGACGGTCAAAGTTTACATGCGAGTGCGGGCGGATCATATGTAGTGCACAGCGCAGTTAACAGACACCGATGGCACTCCCGTAAGCTGTTGGCGCTGCGGAGGCGATTATGAGCACTTGGAAGTCGGAAGCGGGTAATGGAAAGCTAGGCCAGAGAAAGGATAGCGGTGTGGTCCAGTTCAGGGAATGATGTTATCGCGATAATATTGCAGAGACGCCGTGCTCGTGGATGCGGTGCCAGCAGAATGACTGAGGATGGCAAGAATGACGAGAATATAGGACCAAAAATTTACTGAAAAGGATGATTGATGTGGGGTAAGTAATGCGGGGGGCCCATCTGATGCTGGTATTATTTCTTCGAATATTTGTTATATTTTATTATATTATTATTGAAGCGGACCGAGCCGTGTGAAGAGAATCGGGTAAATCGGCACGAGAGACCCCGAAAAGTGATACGGAAAAAATTGAATTAAGACCTAAAAAAAGTGTTTGTCGTGTGGCATTCGTCTGCCTGGCTGGTCCAGAATCCAGATCTTTCTCTTGCCCTCCATCCATGCAATTTCAAGAAATGAGTAACCTTCATCTTTAAAGAAGGCGTAAGCCGCCAACTTTGCAGCTCTCTAGCATTTAGCCGCTGTGCTAGCCAAGTTCTCACTATCCCCAGCAGCTCCTTTCCCCGCTCCTCCTCTCTCGCTCATTCTTTTTTAATCTAAATTCTCGTCATCTCAAATCCAAACTCGGCTTCGTCCTTAAGCTTGTTCTTAACTAGCTTCTTACTTCTCAAAGGTAAGTCGCATACTCGGGTCGTTCGCTCATCATCTTTCAACCAACCCAACATCCCATCCTGACCCTATTTGTTAGTGCACACGAAAGGTTTGCCACATCATGGCTAACTATATGACCGTCTTACTCGGTTCTGTAAACACCATACCTGATGACACTGCTGTATCGGAACTTCCCCGTGGTCAAGTCGATTATCTCTCTCATGAATGGCGAGAAGAAGATGTATGGCGCTCGTGGCGGAGCATGACTCGTCTAAAGAACGAAATCACAAATGGAATGAGGTTGGAGAACGCTTCCTGGCGCACATGGTGGAAACAACGCAACAATCTCAGCACTGTCAGCCCCGAGACCCTTAATTGGTGAGCTCAATGTTCATTTTTGAATACTATACGCCCCTTCCTTGCTCGCATGGTTCAATTCGACCATCCCTTTTCATTTATGATCGTCGAGCACGAACCCCGCGATTTTGTGGGGCCCTGCATGGCCATGTGTCCAATAATCATTCAAAATCTTTGCCTAAACTGCTCATTGTGTCACCGTCACATCGTTTTTTTTTCAAACCCTTTTGGTAGACTTTTACCCAACGTCATACCTTTTACTTCATCTCGAACACACCCTAACAAATTTTACAGGCTGAAAGATTCTGATGTTACGTGGTTATATGGTCCTCTTCACACGGCAGATTACCCCGCCCCCACCCCCACCCCCAAACCTTCACCCAACACTGCCGCCGCTCTCGATCTCCCCATGCTTTCATCATCCCCGCCCACCACAAAGCCGATTCTAAAGCATCGTTCTATCATGGAACTTCTAACTTCCGACCTGCCTTCTTCTCCCATATTTAGCCCTCCTGAATCGGAAGAGGATGAAATACTTCATATGCATTCCGAATATGAAGCTCCGAAGCATTTGTCGGGACCTGTTGTGGGAGGAATGATCAAGCGGCCACCTCTCACGCATACCAAGAGCGATACGCATATCTCCCGCTGGGGCCTCAATCGTGACTGTAGGCGGGATTCACCTCCGCGGATCATTGCATCTGGAACTCCTGACATTACGAGTGAGGTGCCTCCCGCCTCCAGGCAGGGGTCCTCCCCAGATGCTGTGATTGTGCCTGGCCAAAAGCGGAAACACATCACCTTCAACACATTTGTGGAACAATGCATCGCGATCGAGAAGCCAAAGAAGAAGCGCACAGTATGGAATGTGGAATATACTAATTCCAAGACAGTGGGTTCGAACGATTATAGTCAAGACTATAGCTTTGAGGATGATGGGTCAGTCTTCGGTTGTTCCCTTATGGGTGCATACTTATGGTTCGCCGATCAATCTCTCCCGACAGATATGATGAGGACTCCGAAGATGGGATCGTCGACGAAACTGATGAGCTTCTTTTTGGCGACGAAGACGAACACCCCAACTCACCATCACATATTCATGCATCTTATCCTCGGTCTTCCCCACCACCACAGAATACTTCCCCTGTGTCGTCTTCCACGTCGGAGGAAGATGATGAAGATGAAGTCCTCGAGATGCGTGTTAGGCATGCTAACGCCGGGGCCATGCTACCTCCCCGATCATCCTCGCATTCTTCTTCATCGACCTCCTCCTCTTCCTCGCGGTCCCGTCCACCTAAAGTTCGTTCCGCGTCGTATACGCATTACACGAATGGTTCCTCGGTCCATCATAGACGAACCACTGCCGGCGCCCTCATGCACACGCACAGTTCAGACAAGGAGCTTGTCACTATCGCGCTCATTGCACCAACTATCTTGAAGACTCGGGCGGAAGAGGATGAGCACTACCCGTATACCCATTCCCATGGTTATCCTCATCCACCTTCAAGTGACAAGTGGTATGCCTACGGTGGGCAGGAGTCACCCGTGGAGCTTGTTTACGTACCCACAAGCTATATTTGTGCGGACATTGACGGTGTAGACGGCGATGGGGTGGTCGACGACATGATGGCCGAGCGATATCACAAGAGCTTGAAACCAGCGCAGTTTTTCGACCGCCCTATCGTCGCATCTCCACTTCCGGACGAGGATGTACCAATGAAGGAGGTTGATACTCGCACATACTTTGAGCAGCAGGAGTTTGTTGAGCCTGGGGCTGAAGGCCCAGAGAGACTCCGCTCCTCCCACGGTGGCACACGGAACATTCCTGTTGTGCAGAACTTTGGGCGAATTGGGCGACCTGAAGTCGTCGTGAGCTCTGAGGATACCTCTGGAGAACGTTTATCGCGTTCCGGCTCAAGATCTCGTTCCAGATCAAAATCTCACTCCAGGTCTCGCACACCATCGCCTTCTTTGGCATCCATACAGATGCCTTCCCAAAGTACAGCAGTCCCTGTACCCAGGTCTAGCTCGTTTTCCTCCCCATCCGGATTGCTTCAGCCACCTGACGCGCCTCGTGGCCGATCTGCGTCGTCATCGACATTGTCCTCACAGGCCGAGGGGCAGCAGGCACGAGGACGGAGTATCACGCGGACATCTTCGTTCTCAGATCGTGACAGTGAGAGTACGGAAAGCTTTGGGAACCTCAGCCCTGACGGTGGTTTTGGACTGGCAATCGGAATTGGCAGTGCTTACGTGGGTGGACGAGATCGGGACGCGCGCAGCGATCGCCAAAGGGAGGGAGTCGTACGCATTGCGGAGCGAGGTCGGGATCGTGTCGGGCGCCGAACAAATTCGAATTCGGGCTCAGGTTCAAGTCTGAGCCCAGAGGATCCACGGGCACCTCCTGTGGTTACAGCCCCACTAGAGTCACCGAAGAAGAAGTTTACCTCTGCGTCATCCTCGTCTTCTGATTCTTCAACGATATCAGCTGTTTCGGTGTCGACTATGCGCCCGCCATCGCGGCTTGTGTTGGACACGGAGCCTAGTACGCAGACTGATTTGACAGAAACTGCTTCTGCTTCTGCCACCTCTGTATCATCCTCGTCTACAGTCATACCCCCTACACCTAATCAAGCGCAGGAAATCAAAGAAGAGCAAGAGTGTATCTCGCGACAACCTACGCCTGCCAACTCACCCATCCTGACTATGCGCCCGGCCTTTCCCTCCCCGAAATCCCATTCCACTGCGAGCTCGTCACGGCATGATCGTAAGCTGTCGGCTGGTACGTCGAGAAGTCCTACAAGGGCCGACGATCGACAGCAGGGTGGTCTCGTTGGGCGCGCTGTCGAGATCATGTCGAACGCAGGTGCCTTCCTAAATTACTTCTGGCATAGTGGCCCACAAGCGAGTGTTACCGCGCCGTGATTCTCGTTTCGAATTCTGGAGCCGCCGAACGTCAATGCGCCACCCACCGCAAGCACAACATGTCAATCCCCTCTGTCCCCCCCCCCCCCCCTCCAACTTTGACGCCTAATCACATGATTTACTTATAACCGGTATTTTGGAACTATTTCATCTTCGCTGGGTCTCATCGTCCATCGCTCGTGGTTTTTCGCGTCTTCTCTTCTATCTTGGCTCCCCGTTGTGTTCTTCACCGGTACATATTATATATCACCCCTTGGACTTAGACCTCCAACCATATCACGCCCTTCTGTTTTCTCTTCTCCGCATATTACCAGTACCCCCTTCGTCTATAAGATTAATAGCTAGCTAGCTACTCGTTGCACTTACTCATACTGACTACTTTTGGCTTGTACATAGGATGTATCGTTGACACGCCGTGGTCGCGTCCTTGCAGATGCTTTGTCTATTACATGCGTGGTTGTGGTTATATGTATGATTGCGTGTTTACAGATCATAGATCAGTACTCAACTTTGTGCTTGATCATGAACGGAGTTGTTAACGCACAACCGAGCATGATGCATGATGCCTTGAGGTGACGTCAGTGCGTTGTAAAGTACGCGCTTCCCACCCTTGGCCTACTTGTATCGCACTCTCGATAGTTCATCACCATCAAGTGCTGTTACGATTCCAACCATGCCCGTGCCACGTAGTATAATTAAGCAGATCAAGCAGATCATCCCCCCTCTGAACGGCACTTTGCACAAAGGACAATCAGGTAACGACCGTTCTCCACTCTGCAGCGAATGTACATGATCTCTACCCTACTCAGGCAGAGTCGGTGTGCTCGGAGGAGCTTTGGAGTGAGCGTTATTCAGAATGATTTTGCGATTGTGGGGGTTGATTGTATTGCAGTTACACTGGTGCACCATTCTTCGCAGCAATATCTGCATTGCGACTGGTATACATTCTAGTGTATGAACGTTTTCACAAGTATATACTAAGCTCTTATATGCAGGGAGCAGATCTTTCGCATGTCATCTGCTCGCCCACAGCTGCTCAAGCTATCAAGTCCTACTCCCCAGACCTAATCGTACACCCCATTCTCCGTGAAGATACGTGAGTCTGTTCACGTACTTTGCAGTTTCATCTGACCATCATAGATCATATGAGAAAGTGGAGAGCGATCTCAGGTCTCTGCTTTCTCGACTGCATGTCCTCGTTATGGGACCAGGACTAGGCCGCGAGGATTACATGCAATCTTATGCTCGCCTGGCGCTGTCTATCGCTCGTGAACAGGCTATGTTTGTCGTCCTCGATGCTGATGCTCTGTATATGGTCGGGAAGGAACTTCCTCTCGTCAAGGGATACTGCCGTGCGGTGCTCACTCCTAATGTGGTCGAGTTCAAACGTCTGAGTGAGTCGGCGGGCGTTTCGCCAGATGTACCGACGAAGGAACGCGCTGGAGAAATTTCTAAACTACTTGGAGGTGTCGTAGTGCTGGAGAAAGGTCCGGTTGATTTAATCGCGAGCGATACTACGGGTGAAGCTGCTAGTCTTGAGGCGAGTAAGCTGGACGAGGGCGATGAGGAGCGGCAACGTGTGAGGGAGGTGGTTGAGGTAGATGTGGAAGGCGGGTTGAAGCGGTGTGGTGGCCAGGGTGATGTTCTCAGCGGAACGGTTGGGGCGATGCTTGCGTGGGGGAAATGCTACGAGGACGGTGCCTTCGGGTGAGTCTTGGCTTGGCGATGAAATGTGGCTGATGCTTATTGGTGGATAGCGATGGGAGTATTCCTGCTTCTCGTCTCCCGCTTCTGGCGGCGGTGGGTGGAAGTATGGTCACCCGAACTAGCAGTCGAATGGCGTTTCAGCTACAGGGAAGAGGTCTTGTCACGCAAGATATGCTTCCGCAGCTTGGCAAATCTTTCTCGGAGGTCTTTGGAGAAGACTTGTGGGCTGGAGATAAAGGCAGGCTCTAGGTTTAAAGACAAGGGAGGGTAGAAGACGTCTGCATGTGCAATAGAAGAAGTTCCACTCTGCATTCACCTGGTTCGGGAAGAGGAACAGTTGTGACGTGATTAATGTGACAGAAAGAGGGGGGATTATGGACAAGTCTTCCCAAGGTCGGGCGGGGCCTGCAGGGGCAGCCTCGGAGTGGGGGGAGTTGGACTCCGAGGCACAAAAAGACATGACTAAATCATCACAAAGGAGCAACAGACCCTGAATGATTCTAGTAGAAAGGCACTTAACTCACTCGTCTATAAACCACTAGGGACAACAATTGAATATTAATATTTTTTGGAGGTACGTTAGGATACAACTGTCGTTGCACGGAGCGATGCACGTTCCGCTAATGTTAGACGCGCCAAAACAGCCCCTTGTTTCTATCTCGTTCCTTGATTGCGTGCCCTTCAGGGTCTATGCTATGCACGTGATGAAAATCACGTATCACGTGCTAAATGATACTAAAAGAAGACCATTGCGTCAGTTTTGAGGTCAACTCTCCACCTACATCAATGAGCTATCAAGTGAAGGAGATTTCAACAAAGCCGTTCGACGGGCAGAAGCCTGGTACATCAGGACTAAGGAAGAGGTATTTACTAGGCCGATCACTGATAAGCCATACTAATTTGCATTCCGAAGGGTGAAGGTGTTCCAGCAGGAGGTATGCGATAGTCTGCCGCGATAATTCTGAGAGATGATGGATGTTTTCTCTCTCTTTTTATCAGCATTACACAGAGAACTTCATTCAAGCTATATTCGATTCTATCAAGGCGGAAGGTGCGACGCTCGTCATTGGAGGCGATGGTCGTTACTTCTCCCCCGAGACCGTCCAGACCATCTTGAAGATCGGATCTGCAAACGGGGTGAAGAAGTTGATCGTTGGGAAAGATTCTATTCTTTCTACACCCGCTGCATCGAATGTAATTCGCAAATACAAGGCGGATGGTGGTATCTTGCTCACCGCGAGCCACAACCCCGGGGGCCCCAACAACGACTTCGGGATCAAATACAACGTCTCCAACGGTGGACCCGCACCTGAAAATGTAACAAACAAGATATATGAGATCACGAAGACCATTCAAAGGTACAAGGTTATCGAGGCTAATCCCGTACGTTCATATACACCCATTCGTTGGAATGATCTTCATCAATGATCAGGTCGACCTCTCCGTAATAGGCAAAACAAGTTATGGACCGACTGAAGTCCAGATCATCGACTCAGTAGTCGATTATGTCGAACTCCTTCAAGATATCTTCGACTTCCAGCTCATCAAAGACTTCCTTCAGAACAACGCCGCGTCCTTCCGTATCCTCTTCGATGGATTGCATGGTGTTACGGGTCCTTACGCACGCGCGATATTAGTGGACACCCTTGGGCTCCCTGAAGCCTCTATTCAGAACTGTATCGCACTGCCGGACTTCGGCGGTGGTCACCCCGATCCCAACCTCACGTATGCACACTCACTCGTCGAAGTTGTCGAGGCGAAAAACATCCAGTTTGGCGCAGCAAGTGACGGCGATGGCGATAGAAACATGATCTACGGCAAGGGCGCGTTTGTCACTCCTAGTGATTCAGTCGCCATTATCGCAGACTGGGCGCATGTTATTCCATACTTCAAGAAGGGCGGCGTGAAGGGCCTTGCGAGGAGTATGCCGACCAGTAAAGCGATCGATCTGGTTGCCCAGAAGAAGGGCCTGGAGTATTTCGAGGTTCCTACTGGTAAGTCGATGGTAATAAGATAGCGCTATACGGTGCTCACAGCCATTGAATAAAGGATGGAAATTCTTCGGTAACCTCATGGATGCTGGCCGTCTTTCCATCTGCGGTGAAGAGTCTTTCGGAACGGGCTCAGACCACATTCGTGAGAAGGATGGTATATGGGCAATCATGGGTCAGTCCCGGTCTCACTCACATATACAAATACTCACCGCCAACCAGCTTGGCTGAACATCATTGCTGCTGCCAATAAGGAGTCACCAAATGAGCTCATTGGCATCAAGGAACTGCTGAAGAAGCACTACGCTGTTTACGGACGATCATTCTTCAGTCGATATGACTACGAAGAGGTTTCCTTCGAGGGTGCCAACAAGCTTGTTGCACTGCTGGATGGCGCAATCACTTCATCATCGCTCGCAAACAAAATTTACAAGTCGAAGAGTACCAATCAGAACTTTACCATCGCATCTGTTACGAACTTCAGCTACACAGACCCGATTGACGGGAGTGTGAGCAAGAACCAAGGACAGGTTGTGCTATTCGATGATGGGTCACGGGTGGTATTCAGGTTGAGTGGTACTGGGAGTGCTGGTGCGACTGTTAGGCTGTATGTGGAGAGGTATGTTGGACCAGAGGCTGGCGAGAAAGTGTTGGCGGGTGACACCGCCGAGGGCTTGAAGGGTCTCATCGAGGTTGCCTTGGAAATCAGCAACTTGAAGGAGTTCCTTGGAAGGGACGAGCCTACTGTCATTACGGTGAGTACGTCTGCCGATGGTGGTTGTTAGTCGCTGACGACTTGATTTGCAGTAATAAATTGAGTATCGCATTTCTGTGAATGCAAATAAGCTGATGCCTGTGGATATTTGTACCACCAGTGTATATCGATAGAGTTTCTTTTGCTGGATCAGAGGTGGCTTGTATACCCGCATACCAATAAGTATTCGAGAAATAGATAGAAAATGATACCGTGAACACACAACCGACGAGAGGATAAATCCCCAAAGGTTCGAACTGCCCACATGTGATATCGATATGTGCCGTAGCAGGCAATATTTGATTTACCTGCAGGTCGAGTCTGAGCAGCGAAAGGACCATTAAAAACATCCATATGCGTTCACGATCCGTCGAATCATTGATTGATTCAGATCAATCAATTTCTTTCAGTGTGATCAAGTCTTACATCGTGCCCACTCAGACTCCATATCTATGTCTCCTAGCTGCTGGCTCCAACGCTCGCGGTCAGCTAGCTAATGGTTCTGATGATGATATTGCCGTTTGATAAGCTGCACAGGGCACGCTTCCTCCCAATACGCGCGGGATTTTGCAACTTGCGACTGGAGCAAACCACACTCTCGCATTGTTGTATTTTGGTGACAGTCGAAGGGAGCTTTTGGGATGTGGAGACGGACGCCATGGGCAGCTGGGTCCTGAACACGTGGAACAGTTGACAGAATTCACGCCGATCAGTTGTCTCATCGCTGCCGCTTGGGAGATGTCATACCTTCACGTGCGAACTGTTCTCAATAATGAACATATGTTCATTGGCTGGGGGTTGATGGCCAACTAGGGGACACGAAGATCATGAACTATGACCGCCCTTGCATCATTTCCCTTGATGTATCTCTAGATCTGGTGCAAACATGTTCTCTCGGTCTCCAACATACCGTCGCCTGCCATCAATCAGGGCGACAACAGTCTTTGGATCTAACAATAAAGGGCAACTCCATAGGATGGATTCTTGGGGATGTGTTCGACAAGTTGGGTGCACGTGCACGTGGAATGGGACATACCTTCTCAGGGATGACGATGAAAACACCTCTACTCATTGTCAACTAGATCGAGAGTCCCAAGTCGAGGAGAATGGGTTTGCTGTCGAGCCTGTCGAATTTACCTTATCCCACGATGGCAAATTACCTTCACTGAGATCCTTTGCCTGTGGTAGCGAACATGTGATGGCATTGATCTCTCCACCTGGCTCGTCGGACACGGAAGTTTGGGGTTGGGGGCGGAAAGAGCACGGTAACTTGGGGCTGGATCATACGGATGATGTGCCGAAGCCCGTCAAGGTCTGGCCAGTAGGAGGACATGCGTTGGACAGAAGAATTTGCAGGCTACATTGAACTGTACACTCTTTGAGAGATTGAAAGTCGGTTAATTTGATATGAATGAAACTGCAAGTGTACGAACCAAATGAAGGTAAGTGACTACTAAGAGACCCATGTCGTACGCTTGTAAGCCGCTGTCAGAATGTCGGAGTGCCAAGAACAACGCTACTTGAATGCATCGCAGGACACGATTTGAAGGAACAGAACCGAAGGTTGTCGAAAGTTACTTGTACTGCAGCACGGGTGTGGCTATTTGGACGTGGTACATTCCGCTACAACTGCAGTTTGCAGTGATAACCTGAAAGAGACCGAGCCGGTGACCTCAGGCTATTGCCGAGAAATACAGGAGTTCGGCGCACTGGCGAAAGTGGTATTGCGCTGCGACATACATACACTGCACCGATTGTGTACTTAGTGTACTTATCCTGCTCATCTTGTTTTACATCAGGCGACAACTTACACTCCAGACTCAGTCCTTGCCACAGCTAAACAAACAAGGAGAACCTCATACCAAATCCTGCAGCACTCGATTCCACTCAGCAATCTTTTCTGTCCTTTAAGAAGGATTGGGATCTCTAGGCATAACGTTTCTACGTCTATGAAGATAGCCCACGCAGTCATGAGGAAGTGGTGATGGCGATGGTGATGATGACATTCCCGAGCGGTGACTTAGTACTGGGAGTCGGCTGAAGGAAGGCTTCGAGGGAGGTTTGAGTGAGGTTCGAGTCCTCCATTAAAATATCGAGAGTCATTTTAGTCGAAGTGATGCGGTGGTTCAAATTGCCGAGTGGGTGTGCAGGATCTGCAATAGCGAGATGCATTGCGATAGTGCTGGGGGCAGAATTAGTGTACCTTGGGCCTTGGCACACGGTGATAGAACGTTGATAGAACGCTGACTAGGGCTCTAGGTAAACCGTTATCCAGGGCCATGAGTCAGTGAGTCATAGCCAGTTCGATGTGAGTACTAGAACATTAAGCCTTCCAGCTTCATCTATCGCGAATGCGTTGAGGTCAGATATATACTATAGTGGTTGGGCTGGGACCGTTAGCTCAGCTCGGATACCGGTGAGTTTGCCGCTGGGTTGGCTCCTTTGGACGCATGATGGTATACGAAACTGGTATTATTAGAGAACGAATGATCAGATGTAAACTAATGATGATGAGACGAATATTATGATGTGAATGTAATAAACCTTGAGAGTGGAAAGGGGGGGGGGGAGCAAAACTGAGCGAGCGAGAGAGTATTGTGAAAAACGAGCGAGCGGGTCGTACGGCCGTGGCACCTTTCACGTACAAGCGACAAGCAGAAATAGCAGCCGATGATAAAATTGGCCATGGTCAGTCGGAGCCGAGTTAGGTCGTGTCAAGGGTCGACTCAAAAGGTTTGCAAACGTCATTTTCAGAACATTCAATGTTTCGACCAAGACCTCATGCACATGGACAACGTTACCCACTAACTACTACTAGGCATTATCGTACTGGTTTGCAATCTTTTGGCCCACCGCTTCCCTCTCATTTGCCTCGCGTCGTACGATTAACAATCAATGTTGACTCGGACATTGTCTCGAACATTTATTCGGCTATGAGCGTGGGTGTCGGGAATGACCATACCTGTTATTGTCAAGTCGAACAAGGTTTCGCAAAGATATACTTATTCTTTACCTCAGGCTCATGCAATTCTCGAAAGCCGGCGCCGGCACCCTAACTTTGTGCGCTCGGCTACACTAAAGTACGTACCTCATAGCTCAATCACAGCTTGCGATGGTAACCCTGACGCTGTAAATAAGAGGAGTCAAAGCAAAGCATCACTGAGACTGAGCTGGCTGAAGAATATACCTGGAGGCTGTATCACTGCCGCACCGAAGCAAGGTGGGTTTACACGTCTCCTGAGTCCAAACTGACCTGAGACACGATCAGGCTGCCCGCCGTCTATCAGGTCCGGGTGGCGGTAGTACGTCCAGATATCCTTCCACAAGAATCAACTACCACAGATGAGGTAAGAAAGACATTCCTTTGGCTGTGTCGGATCATGGGGTTTTTAACCACGACCCTACTAGTATGGCCAGACCACCGACTTTGCATGGAATTTCCTCCTTTGCTTCAACTCAATGCACTCTCTCCCTAACTCGTTTCTAGTGGCTTTATCGTTTACCGTTCTAGTTGATGGCAGCCATTACTGGTCCTCGCCTCGCCACCGCACTGTTGCTCATAGACAACTTTCCGGCGAAACCTACATGATACAAGACTTTTATCAAGGGGAAGATTTTTTCAAGGATGTACCACCTATACAGTTTCAACTTGTATCGTGGCTAATCGTTTTCCATCATATAGTGACTGGACTTTCGATGTTGGATCGGATCCCACTGATGGAAATGTCATCTACCAAAGCCAATCGGACGCGCAGTCTAAGGGTCTTGCGTATATCAACGACAGCAACAACTCATTGATCCTTGCAGTTGATTCAACCAGCACCGTTGCTCCTGGTGGTCAGCGTGCTTCGTGCGTAATGCTCGTGTTTATTATGATTTATGAGTGTTCATCATGAATGCAGTGTTCGCATCACATCTCAGAAGAGTTACAATGGCGGTCTCTTCATCTTTGACGCTTCCTACATGCCTGTAGGTTGTTCTACGTGGCCTAGTTTCTGGACCGTTGGCCCGCACTGGCCCATGGCAGGTGAAATCGACATCGTTGAGGGTGTGAATAATCAAGACACAAACCAGATGGCGCTTCATACCGGCACGAACCAAACTTGCACTAACGAAATGACAAATGGTACCCAGCAGTTTACGGGCCAGATAAAAAAGACCAACTGTTACAGCACTGGACGTGCGGACTCAGGCTGCATCATCGAGGACACGGACACAAGGTCTGTATCGTACTTATCTTTTCTTATGTGCCAATCGTGACCTGATGCTTCTGCGTAATAGCTCTTTTGCGTATGGTTTCAACAATGCAGAGGGTGGTGTCTTTGCACTTTTGTGGGACAATTCCACAGGCATGTCAATATGGCACTTCGCTCGGGCTAATATCCCTGCGGATCTCATAGCCCAAACGCCCAGGCCTTCTACATGGGGCATACCAGCTGGATTCTGGTCTTCACAAACCTGCGACATCACGGCCAACTTCTACGACCACCAGATGGTCATTGACACTACTATCTGCGGCCATTGGGCTGGTGGTCGTATCTACGCCCAATCCGGGTGCCCAGGAACGTGCTCAGATATGGTCGCCAATGCTACCAACTACATCAGTAAGTTTGGCAGGATGCTGAATTGTTTCACACTCTCAGCGTTCCATTGTAGATTCCAAGTGGGTCATCAATTACGTCGCCGTCTACCAGTATCATATCGCCAGCGGTGCGTACGCACCAAGTCCCCGACTTCCACTTATGATCATTTTGTCATTGGTAATTTACTTGTTGCTCCTGTAAGTATGACCAAATTAATAATTATCACGATGACTGTTGTAGCAATATTAATACCAAAACTGTTCTGAAGTGATGAAGCATGTTCAACAAAGTGTCTCATTTAGCATTTCTGGTGCAAAGGCCCTCCTGTCCCAATGAGCTGCACTACTCTGTCATTCTCATCGAATCATGTTTCTCAACCATCTTTGCAGCAGCCTTCGAGCAGCAGGGAGTCCCGCCCGACCTTGATGTGAGTCTCCACAATTCTGCCATCAGTCTTTGACTCTTCGGCACAGATTCCAACAGCAGGACGTTCCATCTGTCCTTGATGTGGTCATTAAGCTCAATCGAGCTTCACTACGCCTTCGTCATTCCGGCCATTATGATCGATCCACTTGCAAATTCCGGGTGAAGTTTGGCCTGAGGTGCATGTGACTCGACAATTCAAACGTCCTGGACTCCTGGAGGAGCGGCATAAGATTCAACATCACGATGAGCAGACCGAAGCCGAAAGCTGCTCAGACACATCAAACAGAGATACACAAGTCAGACTCGGTCAGAATACGCGTCACAATAGTGTCAGCCTATAGGAACGGAAGCTAACGAGCAATATCGATTGCAGCGGAAAGGTCAGATAAGCACGCACAGCAAATTATTTAACTAAATACTATAACGAAGACATTATCCAGACCCATGTCTCCTTGAATTCGAAATCCACATCGGAACACCAGATAACTTCGATCAATACCATCACGAAAGTAGGAGTAAATTCCCCTGCTCTTTGTAGAGCACTAGATAGCCGTCAACTTCACTGAGCATCACACACTACTGCCAGTCGATATATGCACGCGCTCCTGGAAAACGATCGAGGTCATACCAGTTGCTGCGTCGGAATCGGCCACAAGCCTAGCGGAGTATTCTCGAACACTAAGGATCAGGCGTGGTCCAAGCACGACCATCTGCACGACTTGCAAAATCTGAAGCAAGCCATAAAAAGCCTCAGTTTCTATAAAATTTTGGTCCTATAGAAATGATGAATTGTGGTCGCATGCAGCGGTAAGTGAAAGATTTGACATACCGCTGAGAGTGTTGGAGAGAAATCGATGATGAGCTCGAAGCAGGAAACAGCAACAAAGCTACCACGTCCAACCCTTCAGTGGCAAAAAAGGAACAACAAGCATGTTATGAGCTTACCTCGCAAAGTAAAGCATATGAGTTTTCATCAACACTATGAGACAGTCCTCTGAAGGTAGTCGCTGTTCACGGAAGTGTTTTACTGCAACCCAGACTGCGAGACATAGTGCGAGGACCTCCCACACAATGAATAGTATCCAAGAGACAGAATTCGGAAGTGGGATATTTTCTCCATAGCTAATCGAACACTGATGTGCCGGAGATAATGAGTTCCTCTTGTATCCATCAATGAGCATGCACATTTGTTTCATTCACAATGAAGCGTACCCCCTGAAGTTTGTATCGCTGTCATTATGGCTACTACTCCGTCGAAAATGTTGACAGCCAGGAAGGTGACGATGAGAAATATCAAGATCTTTCTGGATCGTTGATACATAGCATGCAACCGAGTGATGAGGATGACTTGCGACATGTTTCAGTTAGGTCAATATCACTAAGGTCTCGTAAGTGTCAAGCTCACCTCCCAGCATTGGAAATACCAAAACAAGCGTCCAATCCTGTACGATGTACATAATCCAGCCTGACGAATCCAGTCAGTGACCAGTCTCGGGTAGCACATACTCCAAATAGACTCACATCTGTGGTAGTATAGCGTGGTAGTCACTAGTGAACCAAGAAGTTAGTAGAGAGCCACACCCACTCCTACAAGGCACCACGATTAATTGTAGGGGAATAGTAGGCATCTGAGCAGAAGACTCACTGTATCTGTCAGCTCGATGGTCAGAACATTGCCTGTATGTCGTCGGTCAGAAGAAGTAAAAACAGCGAATGTGTACTAAGGAGACATACTCAGCATGATCAGGCTGATTATGAGAGAAAGACGATCAGCACAATACATACTGTTTAGCCTTCCGGACATACGCAGCAAAGAAGATACCAAGGTAGCGCACCTAGTATAATTTCAAGTCAGCACAACACAGCAACCGCGACAAACAAGATACGTACACCGAGATACAGAACTGTTATCAAGGACCAACGTTGCCTCTGTAATTAAATGTTGAGTTTCCATTGTGTACTTCTGACATGAGACTCTACTCACCCAAATCAATTCGACCTAGTATAAAACAATTGTTAACGAGATGGCTGCTCCGGTCATGGCATCGACATACCTCTTGTGCGAATGTAAGTGCTGGAAATACTCGTAAGATATCAGCATTCCTTTAATATTATCACGCTCACCCCAATCATACGCCACTCCAACAAAGGCGGCAACTGCGAAACCACAGTCAAGGTTAAATAGAGACATCAGCTTCAACATCCCACGAACCTGCAAAATAGCTGTAAAAGCGATACGCAATGATGGTCGACAACCAAGTGGGATCATTTAAGACTATTGTCATAGTATCGGTAGAGAATGGGTGTGGGTGAGAGGCGAACTTGGTGGACATGGTATGACCATTGGCAATGGCATTCATACTAGATATACCACAATCATGTGCCTGGATTGCTGGAATGAGATCAAGAGATGTGGGACGGCATCCATTCCTGCATCGGTTGCCTGAAGTAAGTGTTTCCACATGAAGAAAGATGAACTCAAGTCAGTGGTATGCGCAACTGGCAGAACCTGAGCCAGGGCAAAATCACGTGTTTTTAGGGGGCGGATGTACGTAAGACCCTCGTGGAATCAATATCCCAAGTCCCATCCCTCATCGGAGACTGCGGTCCAATGAGGGTATTAGCCATTGAGCTTGATTCACGCTACCATACTGGAGGTTCTGCCATCCGCCTGACAGTGCCCTGCCACTGGCACGGCAGAATGGTACAGTTCTTCCACAACACTATCAACATATACATATATCACATATGTTGATTGTGAAGCAGTTGCGCGGGCGCAATACTTGAACACTGCAAGAGATTGAAAAACTTCAACATGCATACGCACCTTGCTCTCTGCCTTGATCATCGAACTTTTCTATCATAAAAATGGTGAGCGCAGAGACTTCAATTTGCAACGTGGTTTTGATGCAGTGGTGGCAGGCATCAGTTTGCACAGCCAGAGACATACTGGCCGAGAATCCATTGATATCTGGTATAGATACAATGTCATCCCTAAATTAAGACAGCGCTGAGACAAGACATGAAAAAAAGACTCGGGCGCGCTGAAGGATCCCATTGAACGGTAGGTATGGAATTGATACAAGGCGCACCACACTCGATTGTCACATTCTGATTGATGATCCATGAATGATGCGCGGAGAATATAACACCATCCCTAAGTTACAAACAGGAACGAGAGGCACAGGGAGAAAGGATATACAGGCGTGGCCCTTATGACCACAGGAAGTTGGAAAGCTATCATAAAAGTCAGAAATAAAGTAACTGCCACAAATTGATAATCGACTCACCTCTGGGCTGCAGATACACGTTTACTATTTAATCCCATGCGCTGCTTTCCTCATTCCGCCCAAATCCTCGCTCCTGGGATTGATCGTTGTGTGTACAGTTGGGCATGCCACTTCGCAGTCCCATCCTTGGACAGCATCCTAGTAAGATCCATCAGTTGCAGGATGGATTTAGCACAGCGCGTGTTTTCCACTAATGACTGTTCTCATTCCTGTGATACTACAACCAACCAAATATCAATTTGAATGACCGATCAAGGTGGAAAAGGCCAGGAGATAACAAGCAGGACTTTTAGTTTGCGGTACAGCTGGGTTGTGGACTCCGAGTTCCTCGGGTTGAGTTAGCTTAGTCAGTGGGAAAATACTTCTTTGAGCGCGTCAAGACTGCGTCTAGGGCTTAGACTAGAGCTCCATAAACCTTGTAACAACCGACAAGCAGAAACAGCAGCCGATCGCTTTCTCGAAACACAAAGGGTTGTTGACTGTATCGAGGATAGTTGGTCGGGACCGAATTAGGTCATTGAAGGCGTCAAGGTCGGCTGATAACGAGGTTCGTGAATTTGAACGTCTTTTCAGAATTCGATGGTCAACCACGAGTCTAGGCATGGATCACGTTACCCGCTAACTACTACTAGGCAATCCTTTGGATCACTGGTTTGCCTCGCATCATACTACTATACAATCAACATCGACATTGTCAACATCTATTCGATTCCCTCTAAGCGTGGGTGTCGGGAATCGACCATACACATACGTGCTTGTCAACGAACAAGGTTCCGCAGATATATATTCTTTGTGCTGCTTGCTTCATGCAATTCTCGAAAGTCACTAAAGCCGCTCCACCTTTGTGCGCTCGGCTACACTAGTACGTACCGTTTGACAACATATTTCTAAGAAACAAGTCAATGGTGAATGAACTGATGATCAAACGCAGTGCAATTCATTTCTTACCCCATCCGTGGTAGTTGATTCTTTTCGAATCGTACTGCAATATGTGAACTTACTGCCGCCACCGGGACCTGATAGGCAGCGGCGGCCTCATTGTGTCTTGGGTCAGTTTAGACTAGGCTGGAGATGTGCAAACCGCCTTAGACAATTTGAGTCACTTCAACCTTGCTTCGGCGCCGCAGTGATAGAGCTCCAGGTATACTCTTCAGCTAGCTCAGCTCCAGCGATACTTTGGTTTGACTTCACTTATTTACAGCGTTACTATCGCAAGCTATGATTGAGTTATCAAGCTGCAAACTCATCGGCAAGAGGGGATGACCAACAGCACAGGAAAAATTGAGATTGTGCGGGGCCGAGATATAATGACGTTGTCGATGGCGTGCAAGAAGCCTTCGAGTCGTGAATGGTTTTCAACCACGATCCTACTAGTATGTTCAACCACCGACTTTGCATGGAATTTCCTCCTTTGCTTCAATCCTATGCACTCTCTCCCTAAGTTGTTTCTAGCGGCTCTCTCATTTACCATCCTGGCTGATGGTAGCCATCACTGGTACTCGCATCATTACCCCACTGCTGCTCACAGACAACTTATCGGCAAAACCTACATGATACAAGACCTTTATCAAGGGGAAGATTTCTTCAAGGACGTACCACCTATCTATTTTCAACTTGTGTCTTGGCTAATCGTCTTCCATCATCTAGTGATTGGATTTTCGCCATTGGCCCGGACCCTACTGGTGGAAATGTCATCTACCAAGGCCAGTCGGACGCGCAGTCTAAGAGACTTGCGTATGTCGATGATTGCGACAACTCGTTTATCCTTGCAGTTGATTCAACCAGCACTGTTGCTGCCGGCGGTCAGCGTGCCTCGTGCGTAATGCCTGTCATTATTCTGATCTACGAGTGTTCAATACGACTGCAGTGTTCGTATCACATCTCAGAAGAGCTACAACGGCGGTCTCTTCATCTTTGATGCTTCCTACATGCCTGTAGGTTGTTCTACGTGGCCTAGTTTCTGGACCGTTGGACCACACTGGCCCATGGCAGGTGAAATCGACATTGTCGAGGGTGTGAATAATCAGGTCACAAACCAGATGACGCTTCATACCGGCACGAACCAAACTTGCACTAACGAAATAACAAATAGTACCCATCAGTTTTCAGGCAAAATCGTAGCAACCAACTGTTTCAGTACCACACACGCGGACTCAGGCTGCAGCATCGAGGACACAGACACAAGGTCTGTATCGTACTTATTTGTCTCTTGTGCGCCGATCGTGACCTGATGTTTCTGCGTAACAGCTCTTTTGCGTATGGTTTCAACAATGCAGAAGGTGGTGTCTTTGCACTTTTGTGGGACAATTCTGCTGGCATGTCAATATGGCATTTCGCTCGGGCCAATATCCCTGCGGATCTCATAGCCCAAACACCTAGGCCTTCTACATGGGGCATACCAGCTGGATTCTGGTCTTCACAAACCTGCGACATCACGACCAACTTCTACGAGCACCAGATGGTCATTGACACTACTATCTGCGGCGATTGGGCTGGTGGTCGTATCTACGCCCAATCCGGATGCCCAGGAACGTGTTCGGATATGGTCGCCAATGCTACTAACTACGTTGGTGAGTTTGACAGGGTGCCGAACATTTCCCATTCTCAACGTTCCATTGTAGATGCCAAGTGGGTCATTAATTACGTCGCCGTCTACCAGTAGCATTTGCCTCAATCCTTCATCTCATCTACATCTGTAAGCATGTTCAGCTCCTGTTGACAACGAAGCAGACTGATTCGTTGCACGCTGCTGCTATCTTAATGACCGCTTTGTGATGTTAAGATGTCCAGGAAGCATACGAATTGTAGTAAGTAGAAACAGCAGGCTTCAATGTTGATACATGCCAAAGGCAACGCAGCTACAATTATTAGTATGGCCATGTGGACATGTATTGCCATAGAGATCAAGCCGCCTTGCTTTAGAAGAACGCAGCGGAGTTAGATAGCCACAAGTTACAATAGTGGAGTTAAGCCGTCCAGTGTGTGCACACTACTAGTAGTGCGCCTTCTCGGACAATTGTGAGATACATTCGCGAGCAATTGTTGCAGATAGAGTTAGGGCCAATGGCTTACACTTGAAGTTAACCTCCTTACAACTGCTCCGCAATGAACAATGTACACAAAATGGTTTAAAGGAGCAGAACCGATGATGAATTTACGCCCAGAGTACGCGTTCTCTGGAGAGCAATTTCCGAGAATCAGTGTCAGGGTGGACCCATGTGTTGAATACTTCCGAATCTCTAAATACTAAATTGGACAGTGGCAGCGGGAAGTCTATTCTTAGACTTCCCGAGCTTGAATTTTTCAAGACACTTCAGTTTTCAGCGCCCAGCATTAAAGCACATAAAGCATATGGTGTGTTTCACTTCTTGACTGCTGATTTACGCCAGTTCCACTGCACGCTTTGTTGACGAAAACGTCGGCAAGAAAGATTGACTAACCAGTCTTGGAATACAACAAAGTGATATGATTGGATTGAGGACAAAAGGATCATGTTTAGCGTGATTAGCGATATGATAAGGTCGCCGAATGTGGCCAGCCGAGTAGAGTCATAAATGCAGTGTGGCAGCCCACAGCAACGAGGTTCGTAAAACTGTTACTTTGATGCTTTAAATCCCTTGAACGTTCCTTCAGCGTTTCTTTGTTCCACTTTCCACGTCCCTTCTCTTTAAATTTCCTTTCGTTTAAGTCTTCGGACAACTGCTTTCCCTTACTTTCTTTTGCTTCACGATGCACACTCTCTCTAAGCTCTTTCTAGCCGCTCTTTCGTTGACCACCCTGGTTGGTGCTCACCATCCGTCGCGCGCGCACTCGCGTCACCGCCGTACTGCTGGCCGTAGAAACTCTGCCAACAAAATCTACAAAATTCAAGACTTTTATCAAGGGGAGGATTTCATCAAGTACGTACCACTTGTCATACTATACGCAATTTCAACGCGACTAATTAACCATCTAGTGATTGGGACTTTTTCACTGGTTCGGACCCTACTAGTGGCAATGTCAACTACCAAAGCAAATCGGAGGCACAGTCCAAGGGACTTGCATACGTCAATGACTGTGATAATTCGACAGTTCTTGCAGTAGATTCAACCAGCGCCGTTGCTCCCGGCGGTAACCGTGACTCGTGCGTAATGCTCGTGTTCATTATGATTTATGAGTACTCATCATGAATTGTAGTGTCCGTATCACATCTCAGAAGAGTTACAATGGCGGTCTTTTTGTCATTGACGCCTCGAACATGCCTGTCGGCTGTTCTACATGGCCCAGTTTCTGGACTGTTGGCCCGAACTGGCCCTCGGCGGGTGAAATCGACATTGTCGAGGGCGTGAATAACCAGGCGACAAACCAAATGACTCTTCATAGTGGCACGGGCCAAAGTTGTACTATCGCAAAGTCAGGTGTTAGTGCCGATCTGTTTACTGGCCAGGTCCTCGGGACCAACTGTTACAGTACCGGTAATGCGGACGCAGGCTGCGGCGTCGAGGACACGGACACAAGGTTTGCATTGCATCTTTCTCATGCGTCAGCTGGGACCTAACGTGTCCTTGTGGCAGTTCTTTTGGACATGGCTTCAACAATGCAGGGGGCGGTGTCTTTGCCCTTCTGTGGGACACCTCTTCTGGCATGTCGGTGTGGCACTTCGCTCGTTCTGAAATCCC